TGGCTGCCTTACCAAGAAGCCAGGAACTCAGCCTTGGAGAGGGATAAAAGGAAAAGGCTGGGAAAAGGGGAGGAAGCTGCAGAAACCAGGCTACAACTTGTTTCCTGTGCAGCCTCCTTCCCTTGTCTTCTGGAACCCCCCAGCTGGATGGCTGCAAATGGCCATCTAGCAGAATTGAGTGAAGGAGGATGGAGAGGTGAAGATTAAGACTGCTGCCGCCAGTCTGCATAGGATGCTTGTAAGCCTCCAAGTCTGGGGGCTTATGAGCATCAAGGACTCAGCCCATAGGACTGCATCCTGAGTCTGTGAACTTTGGCATGTACGGCCGCGGGAGGGGAGGCAACACAGGATTATTTCTGATTCTTCCATGGGGTTTGTTTCCATGTGTTATTCCATTTTCTGTTATTTGCTCATTCTTTTCTTCATAGCTGTGCCAGGGAGCAAAAACTCGAACCCTGTGGTGCTACGCTGGTGTTGTGAGCTGGTCTCAGAGGGTTGCTGTTGCTTATGAAACTAGTCTGATATTCTTGTGTCTGGATTACTGCAATGCATTATACATGGGACTGCCTCTGAAAATAATCTGGAAACTTCCCATGCTCTAAGATAGGGCAGCAAGATTGTTAATGGGGACATCCAGTATGATTCTGTTATGCAGTATGCTCAGTCCATTTCTGGACCCAATCCAGAGTGCTGATTTTAACCTGCAGAGCCTTCCAGGTCTTGGGGCCAGGTTACTGGAAGGATCATCTTGTCTCATATGTGCCTGTCTGGACCACCAGATCATCTTCAGTGGTCCTTCTCTGAGATCCCCCACCAAAGGGGGTGAGATGTGTTGCTACTAAGGAAATGGTCTTTTCTACTGTAAAGGTAAAAAAAGGTAAAGGTTTCCCCTTGACGTTAAGTCCAGTCATGCCTGACTCTAGGAGGCGGTGCTCCTCTCTGTTTCCTAGCCGAGGGAGCCAGCGTTTGTCCGCAGACAGTCTCCGTGCGCATGGGGCCGGCATGGCTAAACACTGAGGTGCACGGAACACTGTTACCTGCCCACCGAAGTGGCACCTTTTTATCTACTCGCATTTGCATGCTTTCGAACTGCAAGGTTGGCAGGAGCTGGGACGGAGCAACGGGAACTCACCCCGTTGTGCAGACTCGAACCGGCAACCTTTTGATCAACTAGCCCAGCAGCACAGCGGTTTAAACCACTATGCCACCTGCTTCTGCTGTAGCACCCCGATGATGATGATGATGATGATGATGATGATGATTACATTTCTATTTTGCAACCAGTTAGTCCAATAAGACTCTCTAGGTGGATTACAGAGCAAAAATTGCAGACTGAGCTTTCTGGAGAGGCTCACCTGGCACCTACACTGTGTTCTTTCCAAGGCCAGGTGACCTTCTCTTCCTATTTCCCAGATGTTTTAGGTTTTCCAGTTCCTGTTTGAATTTTTTGTGGTGTTATATTTGAAGTGCTTTGAAGTTCTACTGTGGTTTTTAATGATACTTTATACTGTAGTTTTAAACTTTTATATTGTATTTTATAATTTTGTATTGTATGCTTTTAATTGCTGGGAATTGCCCACACAGCTTTGGCTTTTGGGTGGCATAGAAATGTAATAAGTAATATGTAGGACATCTTACAAAGCTTTGTCACAATGAGATGGCAGTTGACCTGTAGCATCACAGGCTGGATTTACCTTGTGTGCAGTATAGATGATACAAACTACTTGGTGTTCCTCTGTAGCTGTGCACTTCACTGAGGTTGAGGGTGGAGGTAATTTTACTCTTGGAATAAGCTGTTCAGTGAAACAGGCAAATAGTAGTGTTATAGAATGAGCAATTGCTTATCATGTTGGAAAATAAACACAAACTAAACAGCAGGCCCCAGTGCTGAGAACACAATTGCATTGGCCTGCTCAGCGTTCAGTAACCCTCACTTATTGAATTCATGTTGGAACCAATCCTGAGCTGTCTCGCCACTTTGCTTTTCCATTATAATCCCTGCTGCCTTGCATTTTTGTGTAGTTGAAGGATTGCTGCTGTGTGCAGACTCTGGGGAAATAGCTACCAAGCCAAACCACTAAAGGATACTGTAATAAACTAGGTCTGCAAAAAAGATAACAAGCGCTGGGGAACTTTAGTGTGTAATTGGTATAAACATGTTGTACAGTCTGTAGGGGCTGGGCTACCTAAGGTATTCGCTTTCCTGGCTTGCATCTTATAGATGTGAGAAAAAAGAGGATGAAAGTGACAAACACGTATACGCACGCATTCACAATGTTTGAAGGGTCAGAAAGTAAACCAGTGTCGGGGTCATTGTTCAGTTGGAATTTTTATTTGCCCTTTGGGTTACAGATCTTGAAGGGAAACTGAACGTGGAGAATAGTCAGCTTGCACTAATTATTGCTCTGGAATTACATTTATTTATTTACATTTATATCCCAGTTTGTTTTTCCTCTTGCCAGGATCCCAAAGTGGCCATTTTCTTCCTCTTTATTTTATTCTCACAACAACCATGTGAGGTAGGTTAGGTTGAGTGTCGTGACTGGCTCAAAGTTGCATGTTGAGCTTTTTGGCCAGTAAGAGGGGACTCCATTCAATGGAGAAAAAGACACAAAGTTGACTGTAAGAAAATTTCCACATGCCTATTACCTAATATTTTGTATTTTATATTGGGTTTTAAAATATGCTGTTGTGAACTTCCCGGACAATTTCAGCTGTTGGGTAGTATAGACATTAATGAAATAAATAATAAATCAATACTTTTATTAGGGTAACCCAAATACCACCCAAAGGTTGTCATTTCAAGATCTCCATTCCTCTTCCTTGGGCAAGATGGTAGAAAAAGCAGCTTTCTTGGGTAGGGGATGTTAAGGGAAGAGGCGAAACCTGACTTGGAATAGAGGATGAAAAAAAATCTGACTCGATGGTGAAGTCATTATCTGTACAAGACCCAGATTGAAGTAGGTGGGGAGGAGACTTCCGACATTCTAGATAGGCTGCGCAGGTTAGTAGATGGCTGCAGTGTAGACATACAAGCACCTCAAGGATCTGGTTCCTAGCAGTCCCAGGCACAGTTGCAAGTCCAACCTGTAACCATCCCAGGTCTAGATATTTGGCCTGATGACAAATACTTGGAGATCTTGATGCCAGGTTGAACTTCTTAGCTAGGGGCTACTACTGAATCCTCACACAATACCTCTTTGCCAAAGTTAGAATCAGAAACTTGGATGAGAGTCCATGGATTATGTCATCCCTGGTTCATGTAAGGAAATCCTATTCCTAACATTTTGCTGACAAATACCCACCTAACCTTTCTTTGAAGACTTTCAGAGGAAAATGATTCAATCTCTTGGGTTTGCTTGCATCCCTACAAAAATTCTGTTAAGTCCGCAAAGATGCCTGCAATTTCAGAATCTGCCAAGTTTGCATTAATGTGTGCTGCCAGGAATATTGCTGTATCTTCCTTTTTGATTGGGGGTGGTGGTGCTGGGGGAAATATATGTTTTGCCATAAGTTGATGTAATCTGGCTCTTGACCAACAGAAACAAGAGATCTGGGTTCTTTTAATTCCTAAAACCAGGCAAGCAGAAAGAGAATTACGTCAGGATTTATTCTTGGTTTTGTCAGAGGATGCAGTATCATGACTTGCTGGTGCTTCATGAATTTTCTTATTTTTGACATTTGGGTTTTGGGGGAGGGGGCTTAGGTAGAAGGATTTGCATCTTATCTTTAAAAGCTTGAGGGAAAGCCATAGGACCTGGCGTCCTCAAACAGACTGGCATGCTGCTCAAAGCCAGTCTCAGGCTGTGTATGAGTAATCTCTGGCAGGGGTAGCTTCCCTAGAACAGCTTGAAGATCAGCCATCTTGGGACGGGGCCTGAACAGCACCTTTCTAAAAGTAGCTGTAGCCTCCTGCAATCCCAAGGCTCATCCTTATTTTATCATTGCCTTTTAATGCCTTGCACACTCCTCCCTGTTTTCCTTACATATCCCCATGAATAAGGATAGGACTCAATCCAGAGGTAAGCAACATGGCACCCTCCAGATGGTTTGGACTGCAATGTTTGTAATCCCTGACCATTGACCATGCTGGCCGGAGCATGCTTTTTTGTCTAAACGTGCATAAGATTGTTATGTCACTCTATTCTATGATTGTATGGTATTTGCAACCACACCGTACAACATCACATCACAGAAGAACATCCAAATGCTGCACTCCCTTCCTTTAATACAAGGGGGATACAAGTTGCTGGAGATCTTCTGCCTGCAGTCCACACTGAAACGAACGAAGGACTGCTTAAGAGCAATGCTGCTCTTGTGCTGCTCCTATTTAATCAGGGTTTGTATTTGAGTGCTTCCTGCTGGATACTGCCAGGGGAAGGGTTAGTAGAGAGTAACAGTATCCATGGCTTTGCAGAACACACCCAACCTGTTGGCCTGGAAAAGCAGCAGTGGGAAACTGGCGCAAAACCTATGCTACCATTATGAGTGTCCTTTGCACCATGCTGGGGACCCGTCTGCAGGGCATGAGGCATCACTGGCGTGAAGGGAGAACGAGGGTGGTTTACGTCTTTGTGACTGCGCTTCCCCAGTGAGCATAGTAACACTATTGTGCATTTCTGGGTCAAAGAGGAGATGACCATATACAATATGCTTGCATATATTGTTACAGAATGCTTGGGGGGAAATTTTTTGGTGAGGAGCCTATGCTTGATCCAAAATGGGCAGCATACAGGTAGTCTGTTTCAGCCTTTGAGAGATCAGCTGCTATTAGAAAATGGGCTGATCCAAACTGATGTGGAGAGATGTTTTTTAATGTCCAACAGGTGAGGGCTACTATGCAAGGATGTAGTAGATTTTGTAGATGTTGCTTTACATTCTTCAGTAGTTTGTGGTTGGCCTCAGTGCTTGGTATACCTAGATGCTGAGGAGGCCGACAGTGCAGGAACTGCTCAGCACTGTTATGGACAAATATGACATTTGTGTTTGTCGTTCCCCAGGATGAGATGACTGCAAATTTGGGTCTGAGCACAACGAAGGCCTTAACGATCTTGAGAGACCAGCTGTCTGCACTGCTGGAGGGGCATCAGAAGGAAAGAAAGAAGGTGCTTTCATGGAAAGTAAGCATGACTGTTGTGTGAGTTTATGTTATCTTGTTTTGCATGGATTGGTCTGCTTTTAACAGTACACTTCTTTGGAACCTACAGAATTACATTTTGAACAAGGGTTTGCACTATGGATCAGTGGGGAAAGCAAGGTATTCTTCATTACTGGACTATGCCACCTCCAGTATGGGAAACTAGAGTTGGGGCAGTGGTGACTTCAGGCAAGTGGAAGTTGAAGGAGGTGGGCAGCAGCCAGAAACGGGGGCGTGTGAAGCTAGCTGAGCAGTGCCAGGGTGCTGTGTGCACTGGCCTGCTGCCCTCCTTTTCCTATCCTGTCCTGGCTTTATTACCAGTTCACCACTAATCTGCATATGTAGAGAGCGGGTGGGCAGCAGCATTTGTGTCTATATTCGAAAAGAAACCGACAGTCATCTGAGTGGAATGGTGTGAATTGATGTCCTGTGCCAGCAGGGGGTTGGAGCCGATGGCCTTCTTGGTCTCTTCCAACTCTACTATTCTGTGATTCTATGATTTGTTCTAAAGCAGGGGTCTTCAAACTTTTTCAACAGGGGCCCAGTTGAAAAGTGCCAGTGGCACGCATGGGCTGGCAAGGGTGCGGGGCACGTGCTTGGTGTGAGGCAGGGGCGGGGCGAGCACGTGCAGCGGGGGCATGGGCATGTGGCAAGGCAGCCGCGCGACACAGTGGCTTGCTTGCTCAGAGATCATTTTCTCCGAGCGAGTCCAACATGATCTCCGCGCAAGCAAGTCGCCACCTCCCTGTGTGCTCGGTGAGGCGGTGGTGGGCATGCGCGGGGCGAGGTGGGCAGCGGTGGCGGGCGCGTGTGCATGCATGCACAGCGAGTCCAAAACCTCAGGCGGGCCAGATAAATGAGCATGGCAGGCCAGATCCGGCCTGCGGGCTGCAGTTTGAGGACCCATGTTCTACAGGATCACCATCCCCTAATGGCATTGCCTCGTGCAGAGTGGCCAGCTCACAAAACGAGGGGTGGAACTGTGACTCCTTCTCTTCTTTGGTGAAGCTGCTTATTTGACGGGGGGGTGGGAGCCCATGTGTTCTGTTCATAAATGATAGAGAATGCTATGGGAGATGGCGCTGTGTGAACAGTGTTCATTTTTGTGACTCCACTCTTTGTTGTGAGCTTAGACAATGTCGAGGTTGCATTTTGTGGATGTCACCTTTTACCCTTTGTTCTGTCTTTTTGTAGGAAGTGTGGAAGACAAGTTTCTTGTACCATGGCAACCGTTGCTCCTGTTTCCATTGGCCAGGGGCATCCCTGATGCTACTGACAGTGCTGCTACTATTATGTTGTTATGGGAGTCAGCCACAAGGAAGGTAAGTTGTCTGTTCATATATCACAATTTCTTGCATTTCCATCCATATGGAACCTTAATGGCAACTAATACTCAGTCAGCAAAACATAAAGCAGTGAGTACTTTTATTGCCATCATTTCAAATAAATTGCTAATTGGCACAAATTCAGCTGGAAGAATTACTGAGCCAAACAAAATCGGGTACAATGATAAAAATCTATGGGCAAAGTCCACGCAGATCAAAAGTGCACTGAAATATTAGCATCTTGATATGATATTCAAAGATGGATGAAGAAGGGAACAGATACCGTGCAGCAAAAACTTCCACAAGGTGGATACCAAGGCCAATAGGTGGTTATTACCACCACCAGAGAAACCTAGTCCTGCATTCTCGTCACTCATGAGACGTGGAATAGTCTTTGTTGAAGTTCTAAGCACGCAGGTGGCCTCATAGGGGAAAAGGCAGTCCATTGGCTTAAAAGCAACAGAATTGCAATATGGTGTCTGTGACTGCAGACTCTGTCTCTGACCTCATCTTCTGTCAATCTTTGCTGGCCTTTTTGGTACCTTGTTTATGAAGCCCTCTCAAGTCCCTTTGGAAGGTCTCCAGTGGAGAACTTGTTCATTGGCTTTCCAATCCCAGTGTGGACATGCAGTTCAGTGCAAAGAACTTGGACTGCCAGTTCCTGACCTTGAAAAGTGCTCCTGAGGCTTTTAAAATAGCTGCTTAGCTGGAGGAGATGTTTGGCAAGGATGCTCTTTCTCATTGCTGCAACCAAAGGATTGCAGATTTTTTACCTCCTGGATTTCATACTGCAATTTAAAGCTATGAGAGGCACAGGAGCTTTGTCTGATGCTGGCAAATAGCCATCTTGTGAGGAGTTAGGACATGAGCCAGACGACTGATGCTGTTTTGCACATTCAAATATCTCTGAGAGGAATATTTTTACATATCCCCCATATGGTTGTACTGTGTCAAAGCACAACTGACAAACAATTTGCATTTAGTCTTGGTTAGGATTCTTAAATTTTAAAATGTGATGTCAGTGTTGCTCCAGATCCCTCAGACAATTTGGCAATCCTGAGATGTGAAAATTGTGATATATTGGGCAAGTTTCTGCTGGATTCTTTTTTCCCTAGAACCTCCTTTCACATCGGTACCTTGTCTGTCTTCCTATTCTTACAAGAATTAGAAACACTGTATTTTCACAGTTCTGAGAACCCAGAGGATGAATAATTTCTGAGCTATTTGCTGTTCCCTCTGTACTAGAACATACTATTGAGAGTGAACCTCCCATGCACCCCCCTTTTCCAATGCATTTGTACCCCCATTCTTGGCTTAGAATGAAATGCAGAGGGCAAGGTCAGGGGAAGGGAGAAAATGGTGGAAGACAGCAGAACTATGGACCTTAGTCCAGTGCATTTTATTAAGCAGGATTGTTCAGCGAGACAGTCTGGTACAATGTGAGGGATCAACACACCTGTGAACCCTTTGTGATCCTTGTTTCTTTGTACCTGGGCTACAGAACCATAGTTATGTCTGCCATCAATATGGCCTACTAAATCATCCCTACATTTCAAGAGACAGTGAGTTGAAGACAAACCTGTTGCTTATGATCTTACCATATAGCTTAATTTGCTGCTGGGAACTCATGATTTGAATTAACTTGATCATGCAGGCTAACCTAGAAAGTACAAAAAAATCTTTCCCTTGGGCTAAGACCAGAGACTGAACCCTCCTTATGACTCTTGTCAGAATTTGAATCTGTGAAGAAAGGGAATCAAAACTGCACAGTTTTTGGAGTGACAGATATATTTAATTTTTACATTCAACTGCTTGTAACATCTGCTTTGTTCTGTTCTGCTTTGAACAGTGAAGGTTCTGAAATTGTCAACGCCTTGGCACTCTTCTTCCTGGTGCTACTTGATCTCTTCTTGATTGGACGGCAAGAGAGACTGAAGCGCCGGGAAGTTGAGAGAAGGCTCCGGAACATCATCAACAAAATAAATGGCAAGTCTTTCTTTTCTTCTTCCTTGGTTCTCTTTGCTATTCTGCATGTGGGTGCCTCTACAGTCTCCCAAAAGGCTGATCTGTATCATAGTCTGTGTCAGTTTTGAATTTATTCTTATGTAAAGTCCAGAAAAGTGTGTTCTTAAGCAGTGATGGATTGTGCTCCAAAATTATTATGTTACAGGAACTGTCCAGTAGCCTTTTCTCTGAATTTATCAATCTTGTGGTCTTCTACCAGTCCCGCAGTCTTCAGTTTTTCCTCCCTGCATCACATCTTTATGACTATTTTCAGATCAAAATTGAATGTGTCCTTGGCTCTCCCTATCTCATTTATCATCCCATTTTTCCAACAGGCAAATCTACTGCTTCAGCTCATAAGTTACATTCGTATGGTGTCAGTGAAATATTTTCGTGTTCTTTTATTTGTAAAAGGTGTAGACCATTTCTTTATCTGAAACGGGAAAATGGGATTTTGGAGTAGACATCAGATGTTAAACAAAGTAAAAACAACTTAAACCTAAACATCAGTATAGTAAAACTGAGCTGTTTCATCAGTTCAAAATAATTTACATTTAAAAGAGCTATGCAAATAAACACATTTGAATCTGGTGCACAGAACAGTCAAGTGTTGTGCCAGACTAGCAGAGAAGGCCCTGATGCTTGTAGAAGAAAAGCGTACTTCTTTTACAGATAGAATATAGATAAAAGACTCCTCTGGTGATCCTCAAGTATGCAGGTTGATCTGGGAGGAAGTACTCCTTCAACTAGGCGGTTATTCCCTTGGTCACTTGCAGTGACCTCTTTCCTTTCCTCCCAGCATTTCCTCAGGCAGCCTCCTATGGACAAACATGCTTTCTGCTCTCCAGAAGTATCCAGATGTGTAAGTTCCCACTGTACTCCAGGGGGAATGTGCAGGATACTAAGCTGGGGGCCACAAGGTCACTGTGAGAACCAAACTAGCTGCAGTATTGATTGTAAGAGTTAAATACATTGTGTGAATGCACTTTATCTCCATGGTGATGCCTGCTTTTAAATGTAAATTCCAGATTTATTTATTTATTTATTTATTCAAAACTTTTATATGCCGTCACCACATGCCTTGGCATCTTGGGAGGCTTACAGCAGGTACAATTAAAAACAATAGAACAACAACAAATTCCATAAAATATACAAAAACAAAAAAAGCAATTGTTAACAATAAAATATTAATTTTTAAAAATAGCAATTAAATAAAAAGGTTTTAACTTGGCACTGAAAAGAATATAAACTTGGTGCCAGGCGCACCTCTCCAGGGAGCGCATTCCATAATCTAGGCACCACTGCAGAGAAGGCCCTGCTCCGGGTAGTTGTTCTTTTTGTCTCTTTAAAGAGGAGATAATTTAATTTAGGGTGGCAATAGGGTCAAAGACTGGGTTCAGACAAAGTAATCCACACTCAGACGTTTTTTATGCGTTGAGTGTGGGTTGTTGTCAAATCATGGTTTATTTGGTTTATTATATTGTCTGAATCCTACTACACTAGCAAGTCATGGTTTGTTAACCATGAACCATAGAGTAGTAGAGTTGGAAAGGGCCAAGAAGGCCATCAGATCAAACCTCCTGCTCAGTGTACTACTCCAAAGGTGTACCATCCCTCTCAGATGTCTGTCCAGCTAAATAATCCATGGCTTCTTGTTGCAGTTGAACTGGGGATTATTCACCATGGCTTGTTATCTCAGTTGGCTTCAGACAACACAATAACCTATGTTTCAACATTAACACGCATTGGTAACTTCGCAATTAGACTTCTGTAACGTGCTCTACGTGGGGCTGCCCTTGAAGAAGGTCCGGATACTTCAGTTGGTGCAAAATAGAGCTGCCAGGTTGCTGACAGGGACTGGGTGTTGTTCTCATATAACCCCAGTTCTCCGTCAGCTTCACTGGCTCCCCATTGAAGTCCGGGCCCAATTCAAGGTGTTGGTTATCACCTATAAAGTCCTCAACGGCTTGGGACCTGGTTATCTAAAGGAACGCTTGCGTCCATATATTCCCTCCCGCCCCTTGAGATTGGCAGCAGAGGCCCTTCTCCGGGAGCCCTCTGTGAAGGATATTAGGAGGGTGAGTACCCGGAGGAGGGCCTTCTCTGCGGTGGCGCCCCACCTATGGAATGCGCTCCCCGGAGAGGTCCGCCTGGCGCCGTCGTTATTTGTTTTTCGGCGCCAGGCCAAGACCTTTTTATTTAAACGATATTTTAATTGTTAATTGTTGTTCTTATTTATTGTTTTTAAACTATTGCCAAGATGCTCCGAATTTTTAATGTTATTCTATCTTATGTTGTTTAGCTTTTTTGTAAGCCACCCCGAGGCTTTCTGCAATGGGGGCGGCATAAAAATGCTATAAATAATAATAATAACAATAATAATAATAAAAAAATAACTCACATTCTTGTGAACCTATTATTTGAACCCATTCAAACTCTCCTCACACAGAGATTCTGCTGCTTCTATCCCCCAACTCCACTTCTGTTTACATTTTAAAAACCATGCAAGTTCATTGCATTCACACAATTGATACTAAGTCTCAATTGATATTAAGTCTCAGATGAGTCCCAAATGTATTTCCCTCTTCAGTGAAGATGTGGTTTCACACTCAAAGCCTCCCAATATGTGGCTGTCATTCACTTCCTGTTCATCTGCTTTTCAGATGCCTTAAGAGGTGGCAAAGAGCTGAACTGGGTAAACGCCATGTACCCTGACCTTCACATGCCCTTCGCCCCATCCTGGTCACTGCATTGGGTCTACAGGGACGGCCATCTGGTCAACCTCCCAGTCAGCTTGTTAGTAGAGGGTGATGTTATTGCTCTGAGGCCAGGACAGGAGTCCTTCACTTCTCTTAGAGGGATTAAGGTAACTCATCTTTCCCTTCTTTTTGGACTATGTTATTAAGTTTATGAGAAGGGTGATTTTGTGTGCTAGTGAGAGTCAGAGGACAGAGGCCCAAAACTATGTATGTCTGAAATCTGGAAGTCCTTTTGGTTCCCAAGTGTTTACAAGATGTAATTTAGATATTTTTCATTTTTTTCTACACAAGTATAAGGACTAGAAATGTCTTTGTTAAACAAACAAAACAAAGTGTGTGCTTTCTCTTGTATTGAGACTTGTGATTAGTCACCTTCACACCCACTCAGCCTCAGCATTGCTGCAGCATTAAGGTACTCTTAGACTGTTCACTGGTCCTCAGAGGATTCTTTTAAATATCAAAACTGACATTTTCAGAATATATCATGCACCAAGATCAAGCCTGCAAAGTACATATGAGAAACTGTATTATGAGTGGGAGCTAGGGTATTTATATCATGCAAAGAACATTTTACCTACAACTATATCCAATGCATACTGTCAAGGTCTATATATGTGTCATCCAAAGTAGTCGCAAAGTTTGTTGAATTTCGGGGTTGCTAAAAGCCAGTGCATGGAATGCATTTTCCTACAGCAGTGGAGTCAGGAAAATGCATTGTTGCCAGCTTTATTGCTCTGGGAAACAAGAACTTTCCCACAAGAACTTGAAAACTAGCATGGCATGGTGTGAGATGGTTGGACTGGAACTCAGGAAATCACTTTTTAGTCCCCGCTTGGCCATGAATCTCACTGGGTTCTTCTGGGGATAAAATGGTGAGAAGGAGTTGTATAAACTGCCTTGGCTCCCTTGCAGAAAAAAGACAGGGTATGAATCTAATAAAATAAGTACTTAAATCAATATTGTTCCACTCATCAAGGGAATCTCTTGGGTTTTTTCAACAGGATGATGAACACATTGTCCTGGAGCCAGGAGATCTGTTTCCCCCATTTTCTCCTCCACCCTCCCCAAATGGTGAGCTGAAGAAAGGACCTCAGAATCCCCAGTTATATCGGCTCTTTTGTGTCACAAAAACACCTGTAATTGACAATGTGAGGTAAGGTGGATGCTGTTCCCAGTTCCGGGGCATGCTTTTATTGGCATTTGTGGGAGAATGAGTGGAGAATTCATCCATCACTTTGCTCATCAGAATACATCATAGACATAAAACATTTGGCTGCAAGTAGGAAAGTGTTAGCATCTGACATACTAGTTCTTGGAATGGAGGGTAGAGTTTTATCACATGGTTCAATAGCAGTTTTTTGCCACTGTACCTTTTATGTAAGGAACTGATAAGTGTGATAAAAGGATAATAAATATGTGTCAGCTCCAAAGCGCATTATTTTTTTTGTTTCAGGTTGTGCCTGGACATGGCTTTGTCACGTCCTGTGACTGCTCTGGATAATGAGAGGTTCACAGTGCAGTCGGTGATGCTCAAATTTGCTGTTCCTATTGTGCTGGTATGTCCTGCTGATGGGCTGCTGCTTGTGACCAGACTCAATCTAATGGACCATTGGTTGGAACTGCTGAAAATGATTTCAGCATCCTATGATGTGAGCAGTTCCAACTCATGCATTGGGTCCTCTGTTAGTTTTGGGTGGATGTTTAAAAAGGGATTTGGGGAAGCAAGCAATGTTCAAGCTTGCTAAGCGTCTCCTTGATTGGCATTCTGTAATTGCCGTTCGTTCATGAACAGGAAAATTGCACAAAAGGAACTCCTATGAAACATGAAAGTTGCACAAAAAATTACTGCATCAGTGAAGATTTTCCCCATAGACTATGGTTTATATTAAACTTATGCCTTTTGAGAAACATGTGCATCTTTCAAAGGTATGTTTGTGAACGCAAAAGGGATTTTCTGGTCATTTGCAATCTGAAAGGAAATTCACACACATCCCTGTAGGAAAGTCTTCAGTGTTTGGTTGTAAAGTGTGAGAAACATTTTCTGTTCAAAAGAGAGCTAGAAGAAATTCATGGAGAAGACAACACATGAGATGCCATTATTTGTTATTGCAAGTATTCATTTCCCAGTGTTTGGGATGCAAATCCTTCTAAGGTGATCTTTCCTGCAGGGCAATAGATGGTAGGCCCTGGGAGCAGGGGATAGAGAGGGGCGGTCCAGCTGGGACAGGTGGTCTGTGTCTTCTCTCACTAGCCAGTGTGATCATAGTAAGACCAGCCTGTTATGTGAACGCAGCCAGAGTGACAATGCAACAATATGCTGAAGATGTGTGTTAAGCCTTCCAAGGAATAGTTGACTATGTGTGTGCGGGTGTGTGATTGTGAGTTGGGGTTGATAGAATGGCTTTCTAATGTTCACTCATTTCCTTAAATGGCAGATTGGTTTCCTAATCACCAATGCCATGCGCTTCATTTTCATGGCTCCTGGAATAATCCCTTGGCAGTACACATTTCTTCAGCTGCAGGTAAAGAAGACCGTGTTCTTATTGTTTCCAGTCTATAGTTAATTGCCTTGTGATGTCAGCATGTTGGAGGGTGTGTGTTGCACATATCAAGAAGTGGTTTGGGTGTGACATTTACTGGCGTTATGTGAATTGACCAAGGAATGCATGTGGTCTGCCTCTGATGCATTCCACATGGGGAAGAGACTCTTCTCCATTTTTCTGTGGAACAGATCTGTTCTGCTACTGAAGCATTCATTCTCAGCCTGCTTCTAGAAACTTAGTTGTTCTTGACAGTTTTAGTGCGAAGTTTCCTTTCCCATCTGAGATTATTATGGCGACTCTAGATTCTCCTCCCACTTAATAGCACTTCAGTAGGTTTGTAGGTGATCAGCTGTCTGAATCTGAGCACTGGCCATCTGCAGCCTATGTACTTGGACAATCACCCACCCAGCCCAGAAAGAACAGCTGGACTGGTCCAGAAGGCAGAACAAGCGCTGCACCAAGACAGCTGTGGCTGTTGACCAGTTCACTCCCACAGTGGGAAGTAACCTCTTCAGTGAGGTACTTCCTGTTTATGAGCTAGAGCATGTTGAAGCACTGTCAGTTCATTCTGCCTGTGTAATCGCCAGGTAGTCCTGTTTGGATGTACTCAAGTTGGGGATATACTTGATGATGATTTGGATACTTTACCTGATGCAAATGGTAGTTGCTTGATAAAATATCTCAGTGTTCTGCAATCAGGTTGAAGAAGGGCCAATCATCCATCATCAAAGAGTCAAATGTATAGAACATTACTTAGTTTTGCAGATTTTCAGTGATTAGCAATGTCAGCTAAGCACAAATACAGTGGACAAAGAATGGGTCAAATTAAATGTTTGAGAAATCATACAAGATAGTTTTCTTTACCTTAGTATATGTGGCCATTTTTGGATCAGGACAATGGTCGTTTATGGAAGGTTAAACCTCTTCCATTTTTTAAAAACTGAAATTCCAAAGTGGGGGTGAGGGGTCAGTGGAAAGCTTTTTTTTTCTTTTATCCCCCTCATAGGTGGGGATTTGTAAGGCTTCAAGAATATTTTTTTTCTTCCTGTGATCCAGTTTTTCTCAGTTCTGTGCCTCTCCAGTTTTTACAGTTCAAATGCCAAGAATGTTGATTTTTGAAGAATGCAGATTGTAGGCAGCAGTGTACATCTTGCCTTTGCTTTGCAGTTTGCGTTTGCCTCTCCCTGTTCTGCGGGCGGAAGTGAGGGGGCTTCTTGCTCTGCAGGTCTTGGCTGAAATTGAGATGAGCTAGAACAGATCAATTCCATAAAGGAAGCGGCAACCCTAAGTTTGCAAGAGTGGAGCAGGCCTGTCAAGGACGGCACACTTTGGAGGGCACTTACTCATAGCATCTCCAGGAGTCAGAAACAGCTCGACAGCCTTTAAAAGCAGCGCAAGGATGCCAGTCTTTCCTGGTGGCCCTGAAATGCTGCCTTTGGGACCCTAGGATGGCTGGAGCCTCTTACACAGCCAGGTTTATCAGTTCCAGTGTGTTCTGAAAAGATGGCAAGTGTTGTTCACACAGGCACATATTGTCTGTATGTACCTGCTTTCATTTTAGCCCTGCCTCATATACTGTATTTTTTATTGTATGTGTGTTCAGTGGTCCTAAGTGTGGGGCACTTTGTGAAAATCTCAGTGAAGACATATTTGTGAGCAACCCTGTTACTACTGTCAACATCCTCTTTCTTTGGGTTTTGGGGAGGTAATACAACTTCTTCAGCTGTGTGGCGGCTGTACTGAATAGTGAACTGGAATGGCTTAACAGGTCAATGGTGTCTTGCCCATCCTCCCGCTGCTCTTTCCTGTCCTGTGGATTCTTGCTACGGCCTTTGGTGAAGCCCGAGTCTTGGCCCAGATGAGCAAGGCCTCACCCTCTTCCCTGGTAGGTATTCAGCAGTAAGGTGCTGTTGGAAGGGAAGGAAACAAGATGGGCTGGGCAAAGAGAATGCTGGGCCATTGAGTCAGGAGGGGAAGTATCTTTTGTGTCCCAGAGGTACCATAGGCCCACTTTTGCCATTACCTCCATAAAACTGTGGCACTTGGGTCATCTGTGGATATAAATGGAGGCTGGGAGGGGCAGGGAAACAAAACTTGAACAGCAAACCAGTCACACTTCAGGTGTGGGAACTGCAAAATGGGGATGAGAGGAGGACCTGACTGACATGTTGCTAGTTGTGGCTCTTGGCTGTGAAGAGCTCCTGCAAAGGCTTGTCTGGCAGGTGGCTGCTTGGTCGAAGGGCTTGCCTGTCGGTCCCAGCTGGCAGTGGAAACTTGGCTCTAGCTTCTGACAGTTCTGCAAAGGTTTTGCAATGGCTGTCTTAAAATCTCTAAAAGACCCTGGATTTTGTGGGCCTTGTTGCAACTTCAGAATTGGTGAGGCCCAAGAATACCAGGAATCCTGTTTCTCCTGGGTCTGAAGGTTCATTTGTCAATTGATTCTTAGCCCTCCAGCTGATCCTGTTATCTCTCCCTTCACTGTTCTTTCCCTCTTTCTCCTTAACCCCACTTACTTGAGGCAGGCTGGCACGTAAATCTCCGTGTTTTCCTTTTACACTAGGACTACACTTGTTGCTGGCATACTCACTGCCCTTGTGGCTGCCCTCATTTCCCCAGTTGTTTTGATTTTCTGCCTTCCCTGTCCTGCACCCAAGAAACCCTGTCCATACTTTCTCTGTGGTTACATCTAAGATGTGATTCTGCGTCTTTACCTGTTCTTACCCAAATGCTTACTGTGTCTCGGGTCAGTAGTCCCTAGAGTAGCACCCCTCTCTTCTGCAAATCCATTTGCAATGTCATAGATGTGGTACTTTCCTCTGGATTCTTGGATTATGTGTCCTCTTTTGGCACTTTTTAAGCTTTCCCTCCATCCTTAGATTGGATTTAAGTTAGCTGTGCTCCCACTCTGCATGCTTCTGCTCTCTCCATCCCATTTCCTCCCCTCCCCACTTTTTTTTTTTTTTTTGGAATTCATCTTCTCTCCCTAAATTTTCTCTTCAAGCCTACATCTGGGCCACATCTGTAGTTGAGGTTGCTCCCCACACCTAAGCCCATCTTCATGTCTTCTGTTAACCATACTTAATAGAATATGGTGCCTAATTTGTGTCAAAAGATTTTCTTCTACCTTCGTCAGTGTTCCAAATTAACTCCAGCTTTGCCTCCCTGATTCTGTCTCTGTGAGATATGCAGAAAGAGGAAAGGTCCCTTTGGGATTTTAATTCTCAGTTTTCAAGTGAGCACCCGAGGCAGCAATCTCCGTTACGTTCAGGTACAGCAGCGCAAATGTTCCTTTCACTGGTGAAGAAGCATCTTTATGAAAGGATGTTCTTCATTCATCGCTTTCCAGCGCCTTAATAGTAACAGATCTGCTCTCTTGCTGCAGCTGGCTAAGTTCTCAGAGGACACACTGAGCAGCTACACGGAGATGGTTTCTTCCCAGGTAGTATTTTATTAATCAACCTTGTGCCTTGTTCTGTACAATCCTCTGCATCTTTTCTTTGCTTGCTTCCTCATGCTTATTTCTTCTTGCTTGTCGATGGCTGTGCTGTGCAACTCGCTTGCATCCTACATGTCTTTCGTGCATGCAGTTGATGTGAGTGCACTTGGAATACTGTGTACAGTTCTGGTCACTGCATCTCAAGAAGAATATCATAGGGTTGGGAAAAGTGTAGAAACAGGCAACTAAAATAATCAAGGGGCTAAAGAAACTCCCCTTTGGGAAAAGCTTACAACATCTGGAATGGTTTAGTTTAGAAAAAAAGACAAGTAAAAGAAGATATGATAGAGGTGTACAAAATTATGCAGGGTGTGAAGAAAGAAAGTGAATAGGAAGACATTTTTCTTGTAAAACTCAAACCCAGGGTCATCCCATGAAGCTGACTGCTGGGAAATTCAGGAGTCATTAAGGGAAGCATTTATTCACACAATGCATTTTTAAACTGTGGGTCTCACTTCCACAAGATGCAGTGAAGTCTACCAATTTGGATGGCTTTAAAGGGGGATTGGACAAATTCATGGAGGAGAGGGCTATTGATGGCTGCCGGTCCTGGTGGCTATTTGCTGGACTCACGTCAAGTCCGGCTCGGGAGAGCTCATGGGGACCTGGTTGGCGCCAGGTAAACAGAATGCTTTACTGTGGGCAGACAAATCATGGTCTGATTCAGCGGGGCAGTTCTCATGCTCGTATGATGCCTTGCAAAGGGTGTTCGCAGTATTTCCTCTACTTGCAATCCTCTGCAAAGGAAAGGGCGTGTGACTTGACCTTGTGGTTAACCTTGTGGTTACCTGGGTTTAAAAAAAAGCATCAGTTGCCTTTCTTGGTTGAAATAGCTGGCTAAGAAAGGTAATTATCAGAGGTGCTGAGGCAGAATTTTATAACTTACCTTTCAGGGTTGGTGACTGTGTGGCCCTCCAGCAGCAACTTCCATCAGTTTATTACTTATTTATTGAACTGACAGGAAAGTCCTGGTGTTCCCAACCCCAAGCATTCAAAATAGTAACTAGTTTTTAACAAAAACAAAATCCAATATATTTTCTTTTGTGGGTTTGTTCCTTCCCAAATGTTTGAGGGCTGTGACTATTCTATATGTGCAGCTAGACAACTATTCAATCATGTTTTTCTTCTTCCCTCATGGCAGCAAGACATTTTGCTTCAAAAATAAAACAAAACATTGGAAAACCCACTTTATAAAAAGGAAGAAACATCCCATATCATTTACAGGCCATACAGTGACCATCTTGTGCTAGTAGTTTCCTTTTTCTGTTCTGCTAAGTAGAAGGACTAAAGCTACATGCAGAAGGTGAGATTAGATGACATGAGTGATAAACCTAGCCGGAAGTACGTCAGGGCCCTGCTAGATCAGACCAGTAAGGATTGAACCACTTTTGCTTTGTTTGTCACAGGTGAGCAAATTCTATTCCAAATTGCTTCCCAGAGTTGAGCTTAAGACAAAGTCCAGAAATCCACTGATCTCTGTCTGTTTGTAGCATTTATATCCTGCCATTCACCTGTAGGCCTCAAATTTCAACATTTTATGCACCACATTGCAGTGCTTTGGGAACAGTTCACAGTGTAAAATTAAACATTAAAATGATCCCTAAAATGAGCACCTTACAAACCAGATCCTGCACCACATGCCCTTTTCAACATCTGATGCCCCCCCTGCAGGCTTCTTTGTGCACGTGATTCCTCTTTTCCCTACCGAAGGGGCTGCCTTTTTCTGAAGCAGCAAGCACACCCGTAGTCTTGCTGTTACGGAGATGGGTCATGTTTTCAAATTACGTTTAACGGAACTTCTCCTTATCTGTTCTTCCTTGCTTAATGTATGCCTAGTTGTCTAATTTTTGTGGTTTCTTCTGTCAGGAAATGATACGATGTATCTGGAGCCACTTCCTGCATGTCCTGAAGGGCAAGTCTCCAACACTCACCTTCACCTCTAGCTTACTTCACAGCCTGGGATCTGTCACAGTAAGTATGACTGCAAGGAGAGATCCAGGAATGGGCATCCTCATTTTCTGGTCAGTCTGGAGGAACTCCTTGCCCTGGTCCCTTGGCTTCCTTGTTGACAAGAAGTTGCAGGAAAGGTTTGGGCCTCAGCAGTGGAGCACCTGCTGTGCCTGCGGAAGGTTCCTCCTTCCATCGCCAGCATCTCCAAGAAGGGCTAGGAAGGAACCCCGCCCAAAGCCCTGGAGAGCCAGTGCTTCCAGTCAGTGTTGGCAGCACTGGGCTAGATGACCCAAGGGTCTGACTCCATATAAGGCAGCCTCCTGGTTATTTATCATTTATTTATTATATTTATACCCTGCCTTTTTTCCTTTAAAGGAATTCAGGGCAGCTTGCATGATTCTTTTCATCCTCTCGATTTTATCCCCACAACAACAACCCTGTGAGTGGCCCAAAGACACCCAGTTAACTCCATGGCTTAAGTGGGGACTAGAACCCCAATCTCCCAGGTTTCTTTTTCTAAATCCTGTATGAACCTCTGCTAGTTAGATATTCCTAAGCTAGTAGCCTGCGGCGGCATGATATCTCTTATACAGAAGCTCAGATGTCTGTAGCTATGAGCAAGCCCTTCTGACCTGTATGGACTAGATCAACCTGGCAGTAGTACCTGCTGCATAGGAACAGGGCAATAAACCTGACCTTTCTGGCTTTAATTACTGAGTGTAGATCTGGAGTGAGTGTCATGCTCTCTTGGACCCCACAAACATTTGCATTCTTCATGCCTATTACAGACTGCCCTTCTTCAGTGTTCCCCACCTCAGTTCTCAGGACGGGTGGCTTCCAGGAGACTGCTCGTTATGCAGCAGCCTGGAAAGCCCTTGGCAGCAGGTTGTAGAGGCACCCCAAAATCTATATTCTGCCTTCATCTGCCCTGGCTGGCTTTCTACCAACTAGGGGTGCTACTTGCCATGGGTATGTTTCTTAACTTTGAAGTATCTTATGGTGGCACCTGCACATGCGCGTGCCAAAAAGTTGTGGAGATTTGCTCTGTGTTCAGTAGCATGAAGGGATGGGAGGACACTTGGAAAGGGTCTTCTGCCTTTCATTGTGCTTGAAAGCAGTGATGACATGACTGACTTCTGTCTGCCTCACTGATTCAGGCACAGCCTTGCCAATAGATTCTTGTATATCTCTGGGGTGTCGTGGGATGTCTTGGGCCTGTTTTTTAGGTGCTTTGCTGTGTGGATAAGCAAGGAATTCTGTCCTGGCCTAATCCCAGTCCAGAGACGGTTTTGTTCTTTAGTGGCAAGGTGGAGCCTCCTCACAGCAGCCATGAAGACCTGACAGATGAACTTTCCACACGTTCCTTCTGCCACCCAGACATGGACGAAGAGGTGAGAGACAGATGCTTGGGTCCGCAGAGGATGCTTTGAAAAGTCCTCAAATTCTTTCCTCGTTCCCCTCACCCTGTTCCTCCCCATTTTGGTTGCAAGGAAAAGCTTTTTAAATACTACAAGCAATTGCTTCAGTTTCTAGAACTAGAATATATCTTGGGAATACTGTAATACCTGCCTTTTAAAGGTGTGGGATGTGAGGTGTATGAAGAGGAAGAGACACAGAGTGCTCATGGATATTTATTTATTTAAGATATTTGTATGCCGTCCTTTGCGAGAGCCTCAGTAAATATTGTTACCAGAAATCCGAGTTAATACTGTTAGCTTAGTTAATCAGATAAAAAGAGATGGTTGTCTCTGGAACATTTCCTTTTATATCCTTGTAAGCATTACCTGCACTATGGAAACAAAATTTACTGTCTAGTGGGACTTAGGTTAGACCTTAACTGACCCAAGGGAATTCTCTCACATTTGTCACATTCAGTCAGCACAGCAAAGCTAAGAAGATGCTGTTATGATTGTGAGTAGCCATAGCTGTAGTCCAGAATGCAGCCTGTGTCTCCTCATCCGGATGACAGAAATCAGAAACATTACAACAGCCCCTCGTGTTGTGAGCCATCCCCACCCTGTCTCTTCAGGCAGCCATCCCTTAGTGATGCAAGATTGGCATCCTTTAGCTGACTGGTGCTGAACCTCTTTCATCCTCTGGGATGAATTCCAGGTGGTGGGTGGAGAAAAAGGCCTAAGAGTGGAATTAAGGACAAAGGGGTAGCATTTACTCCTACTGCTCATCAAGAGTTTAACCAGGTTTTTTACTCCTCCCAAACACCTGGTTAAACTCTTACAGCCAGTAGGTAAGCCTTAGGAGAGTCCCTTTTCAGCCCTTAGCACAAGGGGAGAAGTGGACAAAAACTAGGAAACCACTAAATGACCATTAGTCAGAGGAAAGGAGTAGGGCCAGGAAGGGGTGTGGCCATCCAGGGAAACCCAGAGCACTGGATTGGACCCCAGGTTAGCTGAATTTGGCCTCTGCTTTAACGACTGTACAGTTCTGTACCCAGGCTTCTGTGATTGCAAGCTTAGGTCACCAAGATATTTTGTATCCTGAAACTGAGCCAAAAGTTCACCCAAAAACTCCAGGTAGTTAACTTGTACCTAGCTAATTTAATGTAACAAATATGAGTGACTTCCTTTGGGACAGCTAAGGTCTAACCAAAGACCCACTGGACAATAAGTTTTGTTCTTCTAGTGTGGGTAAAGTCTGCAAGGATGGAAAAGAAAATGTAAGAAATCTTTGCAGCCAGAGGGTGGGTTGGGAGAAGAAGAGTTAAGAGCTTATTGTTTAAGAGAGCTCTTTCTGGAGCAGGTAGGAGAAAAGTAAGCATCACTTTCTTTTTCACTTGGAAGGTTAAAATGAGTCCTCCATCGCCATGAAGCTCCCCTTCTTGTTTTCGCTCCCTGGTGTTCCTCTGTTAATTCCTTTTCTTCCTATGCTGCTTTATAGCCCCATGAAAGGGATGCCTTGCTCTCAGGACCTTTGTCAGATGCGGTTCGCATCACCAATGAACAAGACAGAGCTGAGTGGTCCACCAGCAACACCCCAAAATCTTCAGATACTCATATTCACAGGAAACCAACCAGCCGCAGCAAGCACCCTTCAGGATCGAATGTGAGCTTCAGCAAGGACATGGAAGATGGAGAAGAGGAGTCTGTTCAGGTCAGTCACATTTCTGTTATGACGTTAACTCTGCCTTTAGTGTATTCATTATTTTGATCAAGTTGTCACTTTTTTACTTTATGGGCTTTTGTAATTCTGGTGAGTGTATACTTCCTTGCCATTTTCTTAGCACAAAAGAAGGCTGCAAATCAAACAAATAAATGATTTCATGCAGCTTTCAGTCTAATTTCAGGCAGTGGGGTGGCAGAAAGAGAAACAGAGACCCGGAAAAGGTTACAGGGAGAGATACCAGGATTCCCATTCTGAGTTCTGATCTTGCACACTATTAGCATACAGTTCCCCACGGATTACCTCTGAGGCATTATGGCACTCAGCAGAAAAATGGTTCCTCATCCCAGAGGTAAGGTACTCAGAAAGCTGAAGATTTCAGGAAGGAAGCTCTTTCCACTTAGGCCAAAGTCAGCAATTTGGACTGTTAAGCAGACCTCAGTAGAGAATACAGGAAGGTAAAAGTTGTGAACTTGAGAGAAGGAGGAAGTAACTCTGTTATAAAAAAAAGAACTTCTCTTCGAAGAACAAGAGCTCTCACTGTTGGCATAAGGAGGGAGCATGGCTTGGAGGGCAGAAGAGCTACTCGGTTGCCAGAGCCCTGTTTGCACCTGGCCACACTGTCAGGCTTAAGATTTGTAGGATGGGGAAGGGAGGAGCAAACACTGAGTAATGCAGCATGGGTTTCTGGTGGAGTCTCCGTGTTGCGATTCTCCAGTGGAGTGGAAGAAGAGGGTGTGGAAAGACAGTTATGAGTATGCTGGAAGGCTGTCAGATTGCTGTTTATGTTGTTGGCAGCCATTATGGCTAATCCGAGCAGTGTAAAAATTGCCTAGCAACATTTAGGCTGCACTTCTTGGTTTCTCTTAATCTACAGCGGCCTTTAAAAGTGACTTTAAAAAATTGGGCCTATGAAGCTAGTGCTTCATGTTCAGCTTCAAGAGTTGAATGAGAGGGCCACACTCATGTTGTATTTGGACTTAGGCTACAGTTGCTGCCAAGGCATGTTTAATAGGCTAGCTGCAAACACAAAAATTAGCAGTCGCTGGTTAATTGTTAGTTTTAAAAACTTAGGAGCCCTAGAAGTGCTTTCTGTCCCGATTTTGTACTTCATATGCCTTTATTTTACAAAAAATGTGACAGCATCAGAACTTTCTAAACTTTAAAGACTGTCAGCCTAATAGAAACAGAGATCATTGGGTTCTTTTAATTCATTTTAACTTGCTGCACTTTCTGCTACCACATTTCCTGACAATTTTCCATAATTGCAAGAGCTAAGAATTTGCTTTTTGCAGTTGAAAGGTATCATTGTTCATGCTTAGGTGAAGGAAATGGTGGCTGGCCCTTTAACTTTTAACACTGCAGCCATTTATCTGTAATCTTGAGCTGTGGTGGAGGAGAACTCCCATGTTCTGGTCAATTGGATCAGGTGTTTCTTTCATGTCGAGCCAGGTCGAAGGAGACAGCGAGGGACTGGCATGTGAGGCCGAAGACTTTGTGTGTGATTACCACCTGGAAATGCTCAGCCTTTCGCAGGACCAGCAGAACCCCTCCTGCATCCAGTTTGACGATTCCAACTGGCAGCTGCATTTAACCTCTTTGAAGCCCCTGGGCTTGAACGTGTTGCTCAACCTGTGCAATGCGAGCGTGACCGAGCGCCTGTGCCGCTTCTCTGACCACCTCTGCAACATCGCCTTGCAGGAGACCCACAATGCTGTGCTGCCTGTTCATGTGCCATGGGGGCTTTGTGAGCTTGCCAGGCTTATTGGTAAGGATGCCAAAGGTTGGCGGGCCATCTGGGAAGCAGGCACTGGGCATTGCACTCTGATTGTACTGAGTGTTAGAAGGCAGTCTCTCAGCTGGCACAAACAGCACGTTCTCATTCTGGCTCTGAGTATTGCTTTGTTGGATCAGATGTCCTGACAGTGGGATGCTGGCATGAGAGCTGCTGCATGCATAATGCAAAAGTGATCCTTCCCTCAGGAGGAAACCTTTTCCCTGGATTTCTTTTGAATTTCTGAATTCTGGAAAAACTAACCCAGAGAATGTGGTCTCTTACTGGACTCTGGGACTCCAGAGGGGCAGAGGGCATGATGCTCATGGGAGACACAGGCAGAGAGGCTGTGCATGACAACAGCACACTTCTTAAACTTAGAACTATGGGCTGTGCAATCTGATTGTCTGACTCAGCTGGCAAGTATTGATTTAGTGCAGTTAGGTGTGAAAAGGCAGCATGGATCTCATTGGCAAGGCACATGGGAATCGTTCGTTGCTGAATCAGTGTCCGACTTGTCTGATGGGATCTTTGAGTCATTTGCTGGTGGCTCCAACACAGTATGGAAGAGAAAGTGCAGCTGTAGAGGTAATCTGTGCAGCCTGCCTGTCTTTCCATAGCTAATCTAATTGCACTAAATCAATGCTGAGTTACTCACACTAACATTCTCCTTAATGTTATTTCAATATTTTTAGCCATCTTTCTGGAGATAAGTCCCTCAAGGTGGCTTGCAGACACAGTGAACCGCAAAACAGCAGACAATGAGTTCTGCTTTAAAGCAGCAGAGTGTACACATCAAAATGGCTAAATCATATAAACAACAACAACAACAAAACCCAAAGGAAGCCTAACAATTTGATAGCCACCCATATAAAACCAGTCTAAAATCAATAGTCCAAAAGTCAATAATGCAATAGCCAGCAACCTCATCCAGCGATGTTGAAAACTTGAAGTATACCAGATGAAATCATCTCAATATACCTCAGTCATAAACTGTATAGGTACAAGAAGCTAGGAGATGGCAGGCAGGCAAAACTGGAGAAACCCAACAGGGAGACTGCTTCCTATGTAATTAAGGGTGATCCCTATTGTCTCCCATGGTTGATTCACACATTCAGCATCTCCAGGGCAGTCGCTTCCAGGGTGGCAGGAGGCCAGACTGGGAAGTGCTGTTTCTGTGAACTGGTTGCTTCCCATCTGTCATGTGTGTAGCTGCTGTGATCTGTGTAATCACTGCAGCACAAGAAAGGGCCTTGGTAACAGCAAATGGTGGAGGCTTTTGCATAGATCCCTATGATGTGGGCAACTGTTCGTATCAAGGGCATCACCCAGCTGTGAAGCAGTGATAATCCCACATGTTTCTGGAGGTGATTGTGTATGGAGTTGTAAGTTGGCCCTCTGTGATTGTGTTTCAGCTGTAAGATATGCAAGAGCACGTAGCACCACCTATTGAGTGGTCTCAATTGCACACTCCTTGGGGTTCCATCTAATTCTTCTTCCAATATCCCCATCCCGTATGACCTTTCCTTCCCCTAGGCTTTACACCTGGTGCCAAAGAGCTTTTCAAACAGGAGAACTACTTGGCCCTTTACCGCCTGCCATCGGATGAGGTGGTGAAAGAGGTGATGCTCGGAAAACTCTCACTCGTCACCAAAAGGAGGCCACCTTTGAGTCATATGATCTGCCTTTTTGTTAAAGACACCACTACCAGTAAGGCTTCTTGACTTGGTGGGCTTCTGACTAGCACACAAATAGAAGTATGACTGCTGCATGCATTCTCTGGGATCTCAGTTGGGTTATAGTAACCTGTCCAATTTATTTATAGTCTGTATGTGCTTCCTGAGGGGAATAGCCATGGACTTGGGGCTGAAGACACTTCTTGGTTACAGAGAAATCAACAATAGGTTGAGGAGATTTGGGGTGGCTACGGGGGGGATGAGTGGATCCAGAACTCCTGTTCTGCAAACTGTCCTCCTGCTGGAAAAAGAGCCAACCCAGTGTCCACCAAGTGAAGGCTCCTAGAAGAGGAGGCATTTCTTAATGGCTGGCTAATGTTACTCAGTGCTGAAGCCCTCAGTTGGAATTTGGGCATTCCTTTGCTTCCTTAAAATTGGTAGTGGTTTTCTTTTTTTCTTTTAGTCTAAAGTGGATCACAAAATCCACTAGTTCAGGATAAAACTAATCAACACAAAAAGAGGACAGTAATAAAACAACCACATCACTTCTCAGAATAAGCAAGAGTAGCTGGTGGTGCCAATGGAAGTGAAGAAAATCCCTTGGCCGACAGAATGTGTCTTACATTGTCAGTGCAGACACTCAGTGGAAGTGGGGTCCTGGCTTGTTCTAGTTGTCTCTTAGAATCAGGATGTTAAGTCTATTGCCAGTATGCAATTTATTTCCAACATTTAAAGCCCTCAAGGACTCAGGCTGAAGAATACCCAGTGTAAAAGTGTAGTATACCATGGTTACACCCCAGCCTAACAAAGACATGGGTGTTTCTGTGTAGATGGGCAAGGGCAGCCAGTGGACTGGAGCAACTGCTCACTTGAGAAAACTACAGCTGGTCTCCCTTGTTTAGAAGCCTGGGAAACTCAATCTGAAATCAGCAGCATATCAGAAGAAGAAAGGACTGGTTTGAGTCTTCTCGCTTGCATTCCTCCTCTCATCCTCACCTGACCACTGCCAGTGAAGGCATTGGTACTGAGAAGAGGCAGCACTCCTGGCGAGGAGCGAGGAGGAAGGCAGTTGACAATTATGACGGGCAGGCAGCGAACTGTTGTGCTCAGGGAGTCTGTTGGGATCCAGGCTTTCTGTAGTTGGCACTCAAGTGGGAAGAGGTCTTGTCTCCATCTGAAAAATGCCCGAGAGAGAGAGCATACAGATGAATTGCATCTCCAGGAGTAGATCTTGCGGTAGTTCTGCCCACTCCACCATCTGCACGCCATCGTAATGACAGACTTTTTGTTTGGTGAGGTATAATAGACTTAATCAGCCTAATAGGAAAAAGACCTAATAATGCCTTGGAAAAATAGAAGGCTGCCTTTGGGCCTCTCCTGACCTCTCCTTCTGTGGTGGCTCATTTAATAGACAAAGGGCTGTTTCTGTTGCCCTCCTCAAGTGTGTTTATCATTATTTGTCATATTGTTAAATGTGCAGAGCTGCCTGTGGAGTGTTAGAATCTGTAAAATAGGCGAGTCTGTCCGCAGGCAGTTTTCAGGCCCCATTTTTTCTCGCAGGCACTGAGCAGATGCTTTCCCATGGGACTGCTGACATCATCCTTGAGGCCTGCACAGACTTCTGGGATGGATCTGACATCTATCCACTATCTGGCTCTGACAGGTAGGTAGCCTTCTCTATACCTGTTCACATCACTGGCTTTCTGAAGTGATTTTCTGGAGAAGTTTCTGCCTGGGGTGTATGCTCAAGGCAATGCTCGTTTCCTCTGAAGATTGACTGCAAGGCAACTGGGAGATCTTCTTGCCCAGGAAGATTTATTTTTTGGAGGTCCACAGACAATGCCTTTTCACATGGTGGCATTGTACAGCTTTCACTGTCCCTGGTACACCCATATGCACTTTTTGTGGCCTGTCAGTCAGTCTTGCAGGGTTTTGTGACATGTTTCAAGGTGCACCATGAAAAGTTGAAATGTTCTCATACAGGACCTGCAGCAAAATGTTATGGTTTTACCATTCCTGCTGACAGTTCAAGCCCTTTAAGCCACGTCCTTTTTCTATTTCACTGTAGTTCCCTTCTCCAGTAGGTTTTCAGTTTACTCCTTACCAATAGTCAGCAATTGTTCTGTGTCCGCTGACCATGCAAGGAAAGATCCTCCTCTTTTATTTTTCCCAGTTGGTCTGGCTCCTGATGCACGTTTTGCATTTCATCCTGAGCCTCTAAGGACTTTGGGACATGCAAAAGAACACCTCTTTTTTTCTATCAAAAAGGAGTTTTGACATCTTTGACAGGTAACTGTCAAACCTCAGAGTCTCTTTATAAAGGGGATTTTGAGAAGGCAATGGGTAGTTTTTGACTTGGACATATGCCTCTGTACACAGAGTTTTGACAGCTAGCTTTTTTGTGCAGTTTAAAAAATAATAATAAAATGTTTTGGTGACCAGAGACAGCCCATCCAAGATGGCATTGGAGCACTTTGCTCATCGATGTCAGAATGTGGATCATATAAGCCAGCTTTCATGGTCTCCCAGGAAGAAAACAATTGAAGAACAAAAAGTGGCATCAAAACTGAAACAGCTCACAGCCGTGGCAGAGAAAGATGAAGCTAGTGCAGGCTGCCTCCGAATGCGGCTTGGGCACTTTGGGGGCAGTTGGTGTTGGTGGTCACCTAGGAACTCCATAGCAAGAGCTGCAAGGGTCTTACTCAGGAACCTTTTGGCCAACTCCCTGCACCCTTGATGGGTGCCATTCATTCATGGTAGGCGTGTCATGAGCAGAGCCAGCTGGAGCCGGGGGTCAGACTAGGTGGCCCGGAAGGCCCCTTCTGACTCGCTTAGTTTCTATGTCTCTATTTGTGGGTATAACAATGCCTGGAATAATCTCTAGGTTGTTGGGGTGGTTTGTTCAAGGGAAACTCGAGGGAAAATGATCTGCGTTCCCAATGCACAACAACCTATCATGGGTAACAGCCCACAATGGATTGTTGCATCATGTGAGCCCAGTCCATGACTCCTGGGGTGTGGTGGGTTGAAAGGGGCCTGCCAGTTCATAAAGTCTGCAAACCATTTGTATGAAAGGAAATATGCTTTGAAGTGTCTAGACAGGAATGAACAGAAGTGTCTTCCACTTCATCCCTGTCTGGTAGGTTCTGTTCCTGAGAACACGACTCCAAGGAGGAGGAGGATTTTTTAGCATGATGTATCCTGAAAAATGGTCTCTCATGGCCTTTGTTCCTGCCTCTTTTCTTGCTCTCAGGAAGAAAGTGTTGGATTTCTACCAGCGTGCCTGCCTTTCTGGTTACTGCTCTGCCTTCTCTTACAAGCCCATGCACTGTGCCTTGTCCTCTCAGCTCAATGGCAAATGTATAGAGCTGGTGCAAGTCCCTGGACAGAGTGCCATCTTCACCTCCTGCGATCTACCAGGGACTACACCCATCAAGCAGAGCAGCCGGAGGAACAGCTGGAGCTCGGATGGTATGTCCCCTGTCTCCCTCCTCCCTTGGGCTCTGCCACAGGCCCTTCTTCGTATACCTCTAGTGCAGTGCTCTTTTGGTTCTTGTTTCTCTGCCATGTGGTGTTGTCCTATTTATTCAGGCTTCCAGTACTTGGGGCACCACATTTTTAAAATATTGTACAGGAGAAACAACAGTATATCAAGAGAAGGTCAAATGTGTAAGCTTTTGAATCAAACAATTACCTAGAGTCTGTTTACAAAATAGCAGTCTATGTGCTACTAAGCTAACCTCAAATTAATTATTCTGTAGTTGTCTAATGGAGGTTTCTCCATTTTCTACACGTTTTTTACTTTACATCATGTGGAAAGGCACCCTGATTGCATGACGATCTTGTTGCATCAGGATTCATTTTCATCTGATTCATGGTCTCACCCTTCTCAACTGAGTTGGCAATTCTGGAAAAATCTTGTTTGTCTCTGTCCTTGACATGTAAGATTCAGACAAGCTGCCACGTCATCAGAAACAGGCTTCATTCGATTGATCCTTTCCTGTCCCTTCTATCTAGCATCGCTACATGTTAGTTTCAGCCAGGCAGGATCCTTGAGTGTTCTTGGACACATCATGAAGGATTCATTTAGGCATCCCCTCCCCGCTGTCACTGGACAGATGTGATACCCTGTCCTCCAAGACCAGTTTCCTAATTCTCTGCTTAACCTGCTTCTTGTCAAAACAGGTGAAAGTACCTGATCATCTGAAACCCATGCCTAGCTTTTGTCAAAAATTGAAAAATATCCTGATATTCCTGTAGGGGTGGATGGGCGCCCTATTGCCTTTTCAATGACTGTTTCCTTAAAACTGATTAGTTTTTTGTTTGTTTGTTTGTTTCCTTTCTTTTCCTGTGTTTGTCCCACACTGTGTGCTTGGGATGCTTGGCTGTGATTGGGCCTGCTGGAATCCTTCCCTCCATGTTGCGGTGCGCCTGTGTCTGCGTGTTCTCCTGTGTCTGTCTCACTGTGCTTGCCTTCCCCTTCCTGTGTTGTCCGCTCTGTCTGCCTCTGTGCACTTGCCTGTTGTTTGTATGCTCAAAGAAGGGATTGGGGAAGTGATGGAGAAGGAGGACTGTATGCAGGCTCTGAGTGGCCAGATCTTCATGGGAATGGTCTCATCCCAATATCAGGCCCGGTCAGATGTTGTTCGTCTCATTGAGGGATTAGTCAATGCCTGCATCCGTTTTGTCTACTTTTCCCTGGAAGATGAGCTCAAAAGCAAGGTAGGCTGACCCTTTGCTTACTATACTATTTCTCAGTGTATTGTAATTAAACTAACCACATTGAAAACACAACCATCTTACACTCCATAGGGCCGGTTAATGCAGATTTCATTTTGATGTGTGTGTAGCATTTTAGAATTTATGAATGAATACTACAATTGTAAGAATGAACTTGAGTTTTTCATCATGGTTGTGTTCAACCCTGAAAATATCTGAAATGGTACAGTTGCTCTCAAAACCTGCTAATGTAATTCTGGAGATGTATTCTAGGCAGGCGTCTCAGTAAATCTACCTCTGGACTGACTTTAATATAATAGTTGGGGTTAGTACAAGTTATATATATTAGGAACTTCACCAAAGTATGTCCAAACATGCATGTGCATGGAAATGGGTATTTCTTGATCTGCTCATGCAACATCTTGTTTCCTGGGGTTGAAACTACAAAGCATTCCATCCAAGCATGTACAGAAAACCCACCTGACTGTGAACTAGAAGAGAGTTTCCAGTCCTTATGACTAGGAAGCAAAATTAGAAATCCATAGATAATATGTATGAAAGTCCCATGTGGCAGAGAGGTATATCTGATGATTTGTGCCATTAGGCTAGGATGGGTAAATGACTCCTTGTTTCATGTATCCTCTGCTTTGGCTGCACCACCATGGTGCCTCTTCCCAAACATCCAGATACTACAACCAAACCAAACTGAGAAGACTGTATGTTTCTGGGAAATGCATAGTTCTTAGTGTGTCTTTGTCAGCTTTTTGATCAGAGTGGCAAATGCTTTGTACAATGTGTTCCTAAAGATAAATCTAGACATGTAGAGAGTCCAGAGCTTTAACAATCTCTCTAAATAAAGCCTCATCCCTTGCTTTGCTGTAGGTGTTTGCTGAGAAAATGGGCCTTGAGACGGGCTGGAACTGCCACATATCCCTTACACCCAATGGAGATGTGCCTGGTTCTGAAATCCCTCCCTCCAGCCCCAGTCACGCGGGCTCCTTGCGCGATGACCTTCACCAGGGTGAGGGGGAGTGCTGGCTGCAGTGGCGGTGCCTGACGAACTGATTTATGCGCGTCTGCTTGATGTACACTAAGCAAGGCAGGGGCCCTTGTTAGCGAAGGGCCAGTCCTTAGGATAGTTATTCCAAGGGACAATTCCACTTTGCTTGAATGGGTTCTCAGCACCAACTGTGTAAAAGCCAGGCAGGTAACCAAGGTGGGTTCTGTTCAGAGAGTGGCTTCTCTTCGTGAGATGTAGAGAAGTGTGTGGGCTTGTGATTCCTCAGTTGCAATAGTTTGTGGGTGTGTTACACTAAGTCATCATCCTCAAGGATCTTGCAGTTTCTTTTTAGAGTGAAGAAAATGAGCTATCACATTAAATCATGCTAAAAACAGCATGTATTTTCATAGCTGTGCTAAACCAGAAGCTCCACCTTTCAGTTATGTGATTTAATGTAAGGGAAGGCAGAGGGGTAAAGACCCTAGAAAAGGGGGAAAATGTGTAAAGGAGCCAGTCTTAATCCCTCAGAGAATTCAGAAACTGAAGCCTTGGTTTAAAGCTCCAATAATTAATATTTTGGTGATTTGTTTTCTTTAGGTATGAATTTGGGTATAGATCATTGGATAGTTTGGGTTAAATCTGCTTGAAACATACCTATGTTTATAGAGTATGTTGTGTTGAGAGTTTCTTTTTGGTGGCTTGGAGAGCCAGGTCCATTTTGCTAGGTTTGCTTAGTTGAAACTTTTGAGACTTTCTCTAAAATGAAACCTCCTGGAGACACTTAATTAATCTTCATAGCCATTTCTCCATTTGACCCCTAATCAGAATTCAAGCCAGCTCTGCTTTCAGAGCATCATAAACAAAAACACATTGGCAGTATTTGTTTGTGTTATATTGCTGCAGTTAAAGTGGATTCTGCACTTGCTTGCCAATTGGTTCGTTGTATGTCAGATTGCCACTTTTTTCAGGAAAGTGGTCATGTACTCTGAGAGGGAGGCATGTTTCCAGTGAAATTCTTCCTAGCATTGGAGGTTTAGTGATGGGGAAAACTTTGACTGCTTAGCTAAGTTTAGGTTGCTATGTAAAAGTATGAAATCCAGGACACCAAGGTTGCATCCTCCAATATGCTACCTATTCCACACACAGGGCTAACTGAGCAGGCGACTGTAAGGAGTTTCAATGAGTGGATAAGATGGTGGAATAGGGAGGAAGGCTTCAGGTTTTTTAGGCACTGGGGAACATTTTTGGGTGAGACAGACCTATGTAAGTAGGCAAGGCTTCACTTGATCCAAAATGGAACCAGACTGCTACTGCTAAACCTGAAAAAAGTGACAGGGCAGGTTTTCAACTGAACCCAGGGGAAAGTCAACAGGAGATGAGAAGTAGTCAGTTTGGATTGAATTGTCCCGAGAGGATAAAGATGAAAACGTTTCTGATAGCCCAGATGTAGAAGGGAAGGGAATAGACCATGAGCATATAGTGAGTCATAATAGCCAGTCAAAGAGGCCTAAGTGCCAAAACAAAGGTTGCCAAGCCAGAGATGTCTGGGGAGGAACGCTGTGTCTAGGTGGTTCTGTGCAAATGCTAGAAGTCCTTGAGCCAAAATTTAAGAGCTGAGGATCCTTGTCTTAAAGGTGAACCTAGATGCAGTGGGCATTACAGAAATCTGCTGGAGTGGGGAGAACAAGTGGGTATAGCCATCTTGGGATGTAAACTCTGTTGGAAGGATCAAGAAAGACATACTGAAGAGGTGTTGATCTGTATGTCAAAGAGGGCCTGGCATATGAGGAAACCTAAGAAGTGCAGACTCCTCCACAGAAGCAGTGTGTGTGACAATACTTGGCTCCAAAATGAATTTAGTGCATGTTGTTCCCCAGACCAGAATGCTCAGGGTGATCTTGAGGTGGAAAATGAAATCAAGAAGACCTCAAAATGAGGAACTGTTGTCATAATGCGTGACTATCTATCCCAGCATTGACTGAGTAAATGCAAGTTCCTGTTTTCACAAAGGTTATTTATCAATTCCATAAATGACTGTGCCCTAGATCAATCGTTCGTGGATCTAACCAGTGAGGAGGCAATCGTGGATTTGATCCTTGGTAGGGTTACTCAGGACCTAGTAGGAAATATACATGTTGTGGAACCAGTTGGAAACAGTGACCACAGTGCGCTCAGGTTTAGTATCTGTTTGAGTGGAAGATCCCCAAAGAGGTCCAGTGCAGTGACATTTGGCTTAAAAGGAGAAAGGCCTCTCTAAAATGAGAGACTAGTAAAAAGGAGAGTCAAGAGGTTTAGCTAAAGCTGTTATTGTGCAGTCCTCTTGCCTCACCCATGGAGAGAGAGAGAGAGATCTAAAATAAGCAGCTAAGCCCTGTCTTTTGATTGGAGCTAGGAGCCCTCCATCAGGAAGCACTTTTGATTTTAAATATTTCCACACAAAAATTGTTCTCTTTTGCAGGCTTTATGAGTCAGGAGAAAGGAGGCAAAAGGGCAGAGATCTAACTAAAGGCTCAGTTCAGTCTGAGCTGATGCCTCTGACACTGGATGGATGAGTCATTTAACCACCTTTTATTTTAGAAGAAAATTGAGTGGGATCTGCTCGCTGACAGAAGTGGAGTTTTTGTTTCTAGGCTGCTGCAGTGCCATGTGCGAGGGTTGTGGGTGGGTGCCTTATGCCAGTCGTTTGTTGCTCAGAGCGGAGCTGCCTAGGTGAAGTTTGCGTGTTCTTTAATGCTGCTGTTCTCCCTGTCCCCACCAGTCTCTCGAGATGATGCGGAGGGCCTTCTGCTGATGGAGGAGGAGGGACACTCAGACCTCATTAGCTTTCAGCCAACAGACAGCGACATCCCCAGCTTCTTGGAGGATTGCAATAGGGTGAGACTGATATTTTAGCCCAGGTTCAGAACCACAGCACTTAAAATGTCTCCCACCCACCCCACCTTGGTGCGGAAAGCGTGTGGCTAGTCAGGAAGCTCCTTCTAGCCATGCACTGGAGTCCTGTGATGATCAGCTTCTGAGACACTCCAAAGCCTTTTTGTTGTGTGCGCCTTGATGTGTCTGCTCAGAAGTAAGTACCATTTAGTTTAACAGGACTTACTCCTAGGTAAGTGCATATAAGATTGCAGCATCCATCTTACAGTTGGCGCTCTCAGATAATCCCAGATGGATTAAGCGTCTGTAATGCGAGGCCCCAGTCCATCGCGCCATCTTTTATTTTTTCAAAACATGCAAGGAAAAGGTGTTCAGGATTGTCCATTTCAGAGGAGCCAAGAGGACACCCAGCACACAGGATGCCGTAAGCTCAGGCAAGCAAGCTGCGGCGACATACTATAGAGGATGCTTTTCAAAACAGCAATTTATTTCTGACTTCAGTTGAGGATGACCCTGTTATCATTGTCTTGGAAACGAAATCTCCAGTTGGGCCGTTGATTAAAATACCCCCGCCACCCACTTCCTGCCTACTTTCACACAACATGCATATACTGTGCATAGAAGTAATGATGAAATCACCACCTTTTCTGGGATCATTCTCTCTCTCTCTTCCCATTTGAATGCTTTTAATCTTCACATGTTTTTATTTTACATCAAAACTCAGTAAAGGGGAAAAGAGTTAAAAAAATACATCCCCAAGAAAGAAAACATGAAATAGAAAATAATTTCCTCTTTTGAAAGCTTTTATTGAAAATACCTAACCATTCCTTGCAATAAAATGAAAGATAACACAGTTTAAACTTTGTGAAATGTTATTGATTAGTATAGAGAGAGGGGCTCAAGCCATTCCTGATGCTTCAGAAATGGAAGTAGGACCTTGAGCCCATGTATAGCAGAAGAGGAGTGACAGGGTGATCTTGGAGGAAGAAGGCAGATTGCATCCTGACCTCCATAGATGACTCCTTTGCAGTATCCAGTTTCACCCTTCACTGCCAGCCCCCTCCAGTTCTCTCTCTTGCCTGAATATATTTCTCTCTCAGTGCTCAAGATTCACCAAGATTCCTACACTATAAGGACACTGCTGAGTGACCATGTACAGCAACCTTCAGCCCATTGTAAATATAACTAACTCCCACCACCTTCCGTAGGTCTCACGTTCTAGTAAAGTATGTTTAGTACTGCAGGCTTAAATTTATTTGTTTTTCCAGTATATTTGGTAAATTGTTCGCTACCATTTGTAGTTTATTCAAGGGAAACTGACTCTGCTTCTCATTTTGGATCAGAGAAGCTCTTGATCATGGGTAATCAGTATTATGCACTGTATTTTGAGGTGTGTTAACTAGTATGCTATTTAGAAAGGGATTTTGGCCTTAGTCCAGTTTTGCTCTCCACAGCAATTCTCAGACTTGTGATGTTCAGAGTTTGCCACACTGCTGGCTCTGTGACAGGTGGGAAGGGCAGTCAGTGGCTTATTTGGACTGACTAGGAGTGAGTCAGTGGCTGCTAGCAACTTAATATTTTCTGACAAGAGTCATTTTCTATTTTTTCCTGCCATAGCTCAGTTCATCCAACAAAGGACAGGGGCTAAATGTTACAGCGATCTCATTGTTCTTCATGATCTCTGCATCTACAGGGAATGCGGCTTTAGGAGAACAAACTTTCCTAACAACTTTGACTCAAGTCAGCAGTGTCTCCAACTTGTTTCAATTACCTTCTCCTTTCACTTCAGGCCAAACTTCCACGGGGAATCCACCAGGTGAGGCCCCACCTGCAGAACATTGACAACGTGCCTTTGCTCGTTCCTCTGTTTACAGATTGCACCCCAGAAAGTAAGTGAGGGTGAGGCGCCTGGATTGGTTGCTGCCTCAGCGGGGTGGCCCTGCGGAGCACTAGAGCTGTTCCACGTGCAAGTCCTTTCTCCGGTTCTCTTGCAGCCATGTGTGAAATGATCAAGATCATGCAGGAGTATGGCGAGGTCACGTGCTGCCTGGGCAGCTCTGCCAACTTGCGCAACAACTGCCTGTTCCTTCAGAGTGACATCAGGTGAGGGCCCCCGGGAGGACACAGGCTCGGAGTCTCCTGCCCTGAGGCTGTCCTCTTCACATGTGCCACCTTCCGTTTCTGCCTCTGCTTCCGTGATGGACTCAGTGTCAGCGGCTTTTCGCTGCTGCCTGCACATGCAGAACTCAAGTGAACCTCAACCGCTTCTGGATTCTTTTGCTTTGCTTTGCCTTGAATGTGCACCTTGTGCCATAGAAAAATGCCGCTGTCAGGTAACTCTTGGCATGTGGCGAGGGATGTGTGGCAAAGGCCACATTTGGAAAGATATACTGTGCACTGAGGTGGACAATTTGTAGCCTTCCAGATGTTTTGGCCTACGATTTCTATCAGCCCTAACTAGCCAGAGCAAAGGTGAGGCATGATTCTGTACAGCAACCTTTTTTTACGATGTTTTATAATGTGCTGTTTTAGATTGTATTTTTAATGGATTGTTGTAAACCACATAGAGAGCTTTGGCTATTGGATCATGTAAACATTAAAATAACAATAATAGCAATAATCATAAATCTGGGATTGTAGGCCAAACCATGTGAACAGACCCAACCCTTGCCCAGCCTTGCTCCACCTGCAACTGATTTGCACTTCTCTTGCTCAGTAGTGTTGGGCTCACTCTTGGTTGCCTGGTCCAGACTCCTGATGTGACATGAGAGACCCTTCCTCCCTGCTGGTAGTCCCTCTGCCTCTTAAATGCTGGCAAAGCAGAACTGTGGGGAAAGCAGTGAGGAAAGCAGGTCACAGCAGCTGGGGGAATCAATTTAGATAAAGGCCAAGAAATCCATTGCAAGCCCTTGAGCTATTACTGCTTTGTTCATCCATCCATCTAGTTCTGTTGAAAGCACCTTATGAAAATCAAAGGCCTTGAAAGGAACAGCACAGGGTTTGTTAGGAAGCTTAATTTTCTGGGAATCATTTTGTTGGCAGGGAGGCTGGTAGCTTGGCCCGGTTTTGGACTTGTCTGCTTACATGAAGGATTCAGAGGTGCTCCTGCTGCCGCTTGCTGTACCTTGGCTCTGCCTTGCTTCCCCAGCCCAGCTGGTAAAATGCAGAGGATCCCATACTGGGCACAGCCTCCTGTTTGCCCTGTAAGCAGCAGCAAACACACCTCACTGCCATTCTCAGTTAAGCCCCTCCTTATGCAACCCTTCCGGCTGCTTTTTGAGCACAGAGCAGTTCGCAACATGAGCTTTGGAGAGGTTGGTTGTGTTGTAGGAGCATCTGCTAAGAAAGCATCTTTCAGGCATCAGCTGTGAGGCCCAGGCAGCAGTCTGCACAGTCTGACTGTGCAGGCTCACTTGGGGTAAGTGCCGTTGAACACGGTGGAAGTAAAATGCGCCTGACCACTGAGTAAGTGCGCTCCACAGCCGTAGCCCGATGTTTAACTGTTTGTAGTGTTTTATCTGGTTCCAGCTTCTTTGATCCATTGATATTTGTGCTCCACATTGTCTTTAAATTGCCACAAGCGAATTATTTTGGAAAGGCATGGTATAAATATCTCAATTAATAAGGGTGAACTGCAGTGCCTGGCACTGTTGATGGTAGCTCAGCAGTAGAGCAGGTGCTTTGCAGGCAGAAGGTGCCAGATTCAATTCCTGGCTTCTCCAGTTAAAACCAGGAGGGGAACCCTGGAAACCCTCAGCCATTCAGTGTCAGCAGTGCTGGGCTAGCTGGACCAATGGCTGATTTGGTGTAAGGCAGCTTTCTAGGTGGGGCTGAGTTTTACTTCTGGTGGGAGTTGCTTGTTAGGTTTTTGTTATGACCCGTGGTCAGAATTTCGCTGTTCAGGCTGATCACGCCTGCTTGTCTGGCGGAGGAGGGGAAGCACTGCTTTTTCCACCCAGCAGCAGGAAGCTGAGCTGGCTGCCTTGCTGTGGACGGCCAGGAAGTCTGAGAACAGAAGAAGAGCCCTTCTGGGTCAGACCAAAGGCCCATCCTAGCCCAGCATCCTGCCAGCCAGAGGCCTCTGGGGAGCACTTGCGCAGGACACATGCAGTCTGATCCCGCTGTTGATTCTCAGGGACTGGTAGTGAGAGGCTTGTAACCCCTGCTCCTGGAGGGGTTTTACAGCCATTGTGGCCAGTAGCTATCAATAACCTTGTCCTGGTCTAGCTAGCATGTAATCCTTAAGTTTTTTTTTTTTTTTTTACTTAAAAAAAGCTTTAGATCAGTGTTGTGTTCCCATAGCGTTTGATTGGCATACAAAATTCCCCACTATGTTTTCATCTAACCTGTGTGCTATTGCCTGTGCAGCATCGCCCTAGATCCACTTTATCCATCCCGCTGCTCCTGGGAGACATTTGGTTATGCCACCAGCACGAATATGACCTGTATCACTGACGAGCTCACGCCCCTGCAGCTGTCCGGCCAGTTAAACAGCTTGTCCTGCTCCCTGTCTATTTTTCCTGAAGAAACCCTTGGAATCATCAGACTGATAGAGCAGGTGAGTCTTGTTTCCTTGGAGTTGTAGCAGACGCAGTTGTGACATCATCTGTTCCAGTTGTTGTACTTTAGCACAGCTTGTAGCTTCTAGATTAAAGCTTTAGTAAAAGGAAGAAAAATATCTTAATTCAGCTTAGTCTGGGTTAATCTCCAAGAGTGCTTTCTCTTTCTACTAATATCCAAAAGGGCTCTGTGTCTAACTTGATACACAGCACATTCTTATTTATTCTTCTGGGTGTGAGCAAGGATTTGGCATGCTAGAATGACATTTTGAAAACCTAACGGAAACACTTAATTTTAAAAGGGTGGTTAGGGGCACAGGACTGAGACTCAGGCGACCTGGGTTTAGTCTCCACTCAGCCGTGGTGTCAATTGGGTGACTTTGGGCCAGTCACAGGCACTCAGTCCAACCTACCCCACAGGGTTGATGTTGTAGGGATAGGGGTGCGAAGAGCAGGAGGAGAATGGTGTCAGGCACTTTGAGTCATTTTAATGAAAAAGATTGGATATCAGTCCAATAGATAGCTGGGGAGGGGGTGGGTAGACAGACAGACAGACAGATGTGAGTTAATTTACTGCACTCTTCTTCAAACCAGTCTTGATTATTCAGTCTGTGCCCTGAAGTGTTCCTATTAATAGTGGCACCTTTCTGTTTCCTCTTCTTTATGCAGCAACTCCTGCATGGTGTGAGTTTTCAGGCTGCCTGTTTGCTCATACCTTATATACCACCCGAATAATGTGCACCTTCTCTTTAGGCCCGGCATGCAACATACGGTATCCGCAAGTGCTTCCTCTTCCTTCTCCAGTGTCAGTTGGCTCTGGTCATCATCCAGGTGAGCTTTTCTAAACGCTGTTAGGGAGTGCAGAGGGCAACTTGGAAGCAGGGAGGGACCCGCGTGATGAGAACAGGCCCAAACAATAGGGCATCTTTACTGGCAGCATTCATCATCACTTCGCTGTGGCAGGTAAAGATCCAAGATTTTTGAATTGTATTCTAAGCTTATAGTCCTCAGATTCTGCATTTGTAATCATGTGTACGTGGAAGACAAAATGTGCAAGCTCTCCTAATTTTCTTATGATTTTCAAGATCAAGAGCCTCCAGAGTCTGGATTTTCTAAAGGTGGATCTGAGGCTACGTATGGGATGTAGAGGGCCTTTTTAGGGGCAAGGGGGTGTGGAGTCAGAGTTGAGTAACTCTGCAATGTGCGAACAGGGAACTCTGCTAGAAGCAAATATCAGACCTGTTCAGCATTTAGAAGCTGCCGGCAAAAGTGATCCTCGGGCTGTTCTTTTTCCTAGCAGAGATCCTTCTCATGTGTTTCACGACAGAGCCTGCAATATTCCTGTAAAAATAAGTCAGTAAATAGCAATATTTCTTTTCTCTCCAAAAACGAAATGAAATGGCAAGCACATTTTGAATGTCGCCACAGTTTCTGAGTCAATCAGTGCAGGATTTGCTGCCATGCCATGCACGCCGGGTCAGTGGCCCGCCCTCCTCGGCCTGGGCTCCTTCTCTGCCTGTCTCCACAAGACGGCTGGGTGGGCTTGCGAGGGCTCCCTCCTGGGGCCTCCGTTCTGTTGCTGATCAAGCCCTTTGCTGTTTTCTCAGTTCCTCTCTTGCCTGGTGCAGCTGCCCCCCATTCTCAGCACCACGGACATTTTGTGGCTCTCCTGCTTCTGCTACCCATTGCTAAGGTAAGTTCCTTGCAGTGGTCCATCAGCTTGTTCCTCCTTCAGGACAGCTCAGAGGAGATTGGGTCCCTTTCCGAAGATGATACGTGGCACAAAGGAGACTAAAACTTGACTTTCATGTTCTGGCCACCATGAGATGCTGCTGGAAGTTTTTCTTTATGGCAGCAGCTCTGTGTGGAGGCCATAAAGCATGGAAGCCTACATGGACTGATCTTAACCATGGGAAGAATTCACTGCGCATTTCTGCTATTGCTGGCACATGCATGTTCTGTGTGAGAATTCAGTTGATGAACTGAGGTTCTTTTACCTATTATAGCCCCCATGTGGAACGGATTCCATGGGGAGACATTCCCAGCACCTTCCCCTCTGAGAGCTGCATGTAAGGATTTCCCCCAGGGCTTCCTTAGTCCTTAATCAGAGGGCCTTGAGAAACTTTCTGTACTGACTATTGAACTTTTACATACCCTCTCTCTGCCTGCTGGCAGGGGATGACTGCTCTAATACAAGTTTTTGTGCCTGGAGGAAAACTTGCCAAGACCATTTGCACATCCTGATAGCCACTGAAAGAGAGAGAGAGTGGGAGGAGACCTGGGAGCAATGAGGTAGCAGGACGGCCGAGCAGATGCAGGGCGATGGCCTGGCAAAGCGATTCTTGTGAAGGGGACAGGGCGGACAGTCACACAGGAAGGCAGCTCATGGGTTGTTTAACCCATGGGTTTCGGGGGAGGGTGGGAATAAATGAGGACGGCATCTCCGCTTTGCTTATTGATGAACAACTTTCTGCTTTTCGTTAACATTCTATCGCCATCCCATTGATAGTGCTTAGCGTGACGTTCCAAACTTGGGCACAGAAAAACGAACCATGGGAAAATAACCCAGAGTTTTTCCAGGCTCAGACATCACAATAACAGCCTACAAATAGGTCATTCATAGAAAGCAAAAGCAATGAAGACAGCAGAGGCAATGTGCTCCCTAAATTTTGGCCATTTCTGGTACCTGCGAACCAGGTTGCTTGAGCCACTGCAAGCTGCTCTTTGTCCTTACTTGGTTTCTAAGGGTGTGTTCAGCAGAATGAGTAGCAACTGCATGTGGGAAGGGGCTAGATGAGGTGTGTTTGTGACGTGATAGCTGTCACCTTGTTGGAATGACATGCCAGTGCAGGAAGAAGGTGTATGGAAAGGATTCCCCCCAGCTGCGGTGGAGGAGATTTCAGAAGCGAGATTCTTTGTGCTGACCATCCAGGCAGATCTGGAGATCTGCTATCAGTCGGTGTAGGCAGTCCTGAGCCAGATGGATCACTGGTCTGACATTTGCAAGGCAACTCTCTGGCTGCTTGTCCAGGCTAATTCCAGCTTGCTTTCTTTCTTCCAGTGTGTCCCTCCTGGGCAAGCCCCCTCACAGTTCCATCATGTCGATGGCGACTGGGAAGAATCTGACCTCCATTCCTAAAAAGGTAAGCAAAGGTCCTAACTGGACGGGAGGTAACTTGGGGTGTTGCAAAGAGTTAGGTCATTTTCTTGCCAAATGCAAATGCATGACATCAGCCATTGCAGCAGAGGCCTCATTTGCATTTTTCTTTGTTACCGAAATATTTAGCATGCCGGGTTATATAATCTCCAGCTTTTGGTTGACATACTGCTTTCTGCTGTTCATGCCAAGAGAGTCGGCTCAGTTTCTTGCTGGTGCTAGGAGCAGTGGAATTCTCTTGTTCCCTTCCTGCAGTAAACTGGGGTCCAAGCTAGACAGTGAACATTCCTGACTTCTGTACTTAAAGTGTGTGTGTGTGTGTGTCAGAGAGAGAGAGAGAGAGAGAGAGAATGACAATGACAATGACAAGGAGAATTTCCCCAGACAATTTAGTGACACCTGTCTAATTCCAAAAAGCTGCTTCCCCCCGCCCCCCCAGAAGCTCAAGGGGTCAGTTTTGGGAAGGCGTGAAACATCCCTTTGATGTGTGTTGAGCCCGCCCCCCCACCACTTTCTATTTAAATAACAAAATCATACTGGGATAACAGCAGGCATGCACTTCACCTTGCCTAGTTTGGCCTTGAGCCATGGCCTCTCCACTTTCCCAAGCCGAGCAGGTGTCCCCTCGCTCTGCAGAGAGGATGCCCGAGTGAGTTGCCAGGTTCCTTCCATGCAGCACAGACCACCTGAGCTTGGTTCTCATTGCTGTGTTCAGTGGCGGGAGGGGGGAGACTAAAGAAGGGTATCCCTCTGGGAGAGGTTGGCCTCGGTGCTGTTAGCCTGTGGCCTCTACATTAGGCAGTATAGCTATCGGTTTACTAGAACCATTCCTGTTCTGGTGCCTTCCAGATGTTTGGGGCTCTCAGCAGCCCCTGCTGGACTACCTGCTGGTTAGAGATGATGGGAGTTGCAGTCCAAAATATTTCGAAAGCATCGGGGTATGGAAGACTGGTTTAATACGCCTAATGTGAAGCACAAGCTCAAAGTAGGTGCTTTCACTAGGGGTGGGGGATATGTGAGGGCTGCTGAACCAGGCTGCAGGGGCAGGTGGGTGGGCCTGTCGGAATGGTCCATCCCTGGAGGCTGATGGGCCCAAGTGGTTTTCTGGTGGCTGGACACATTTTCTGCTAGCATTCATTATGGCTCCCCCCATGTCCCAGCTGATTTCTGGAATGCAGGAGGTGACCTGCGTAGCTGACATGGTCACTCCAAAGACCTAACTAAACCTCTATGGCTTCATAATGTTATATAGGAATGGGAGGGATGGAGCAAGTCAGAGTGATGACGTTTTCTCTCATGGCCACTCCGCCTGAACAAGGGCCTGAGCCTGTTTCAGGACTTACGGTGCCGCCGTGGTGGTGACAAACTTTCCCCTGGTTCTGCTTTGCTGCGCTTGTATCTGCTTGGTGCCCTCCTCTCCAGCAATGCAGTTGCTGGTGGTGAATGACAGCTTGGCCCCCAAGGGGAGGGAGGCGCACGCACCCCAGCAGCCTACCGTGACCTCTTTGCAGAGCACGTTACAGGTACAGGCACTCTCATTTGCCCCAGCGTGGACTCCCCTTGAGTAGAAGCTGCGTGGCAGCATCAGTTGCTGTTTCTTACCAGCTCTCCGTGGCTACCTGAGCATGTGCACAGAACTCTTCGAGGTGTGGCTCGTCACACCTGAGCTGCGAGCTGATCAAGACTGCCAGGCTGATGAGGCGGTTTAGTCTCGGTGGCAAAAGTTACAAAAGCCTTGTTGAGAGAGGCTTATGTTTCACCACCGCTACGGAAGTGGTAGTGCAGCTTTTACTGAGAAGAATGACCCTTGTGTCCCATTGATTGCGCCAGTTACTTTCCAGTCTCAAAATTTCCATTCTTACGTAAAACGCTCGAATGCGTTCCAGTGATTCAGCTCCATGTTTTCCTGGATGAAGCTGATCATCGGGACCCAGTCTGGCTTCTGGCCCGGTTGAGACATAACTTGATTGCTCCAGCAGGAAGGGTTGACAGTGGGAGTGTGACCCTATTATGTGCATAGACTTATGGCGGCCACCCGCAACTTGGTGCCCTTGGAAAGTGTCGGACTACAACTCGCAGCACCCTTAGGCGTCATGACCACAAGGAGACGCTGCAGTCCAGCAAACCTGGTGGGCACCAGCTTGGGCAAGTCCTTATTGTTCCCTGTGCTTTTCCACTTCTGCATGAAATCCCTGGGTGAGGTTTCCTGTGTTGGTGGAGTTTTGATCAATATGCTGAGAACACCCAGTTCTGTCTCCCATTTTCATCTGGACCTAGGAAAGTTGTAGGAACTATGGCCTGAGGGCTGGTGGCGGTAAGGGACAAGCTGGATAGTTCTGGGCAGCTGGATCACTGGACTGCCTGTGGAGGCAGGCAGCTGTGCGTGCCACTGGGAAGGCGCTGGAGCCAGTGTGGGACTTGTGTGGAACAGTGTGGAGAGCCCTCAGGCTATAGGGCAGCATATGGAAGGAAGGAAGGAAGGAAGGAAGGAAGGAAGGAAGGAAGGAAGGAAGGAAGGGAACATGCTGAGATGTATTCCAGGTAGCATGGGTGTGCTGTAAGGCCAGTGGATCAGGGGGATGCGGTTGCAGTGTCCCAGGAGCAGTGGGCTTGCAGCTTGGAGGGCTTCTTGGCAGGAGATGCTGAGCTTTGGCTAGCGAGCCATTATTCTTTCTCCTCAAGAAGACAAACCTGGCCATGACCATTCTTTCTTTGGTAACCATTCTTTGGTAATCTTTGGGATTACTGCAATGCTTTGTGCCTTGTTTACCTTGAGAGTAACGATGTGGAAGTGGAATTTGTCCAAGCCATATTGGATAAGCAATAAATGCATGTTTAAATAAGAGCAAGAACTTCATTTTGTTCCACACAAAGCCAAGTAGGTAATAAAAAGACTGTCCTCCAGCCTATCATAGGTAACTTCCTCAGGTTTTTCTGTAAAGTACAGGACCCAGACTTTACAATAGTTATTTGTCTGTCTGTCAGCCATCCCGTTTGCATGCCTAAGCATCCCAAACCCCCAATCTGCAGATGGAGCTGCAGATGTTACTGGGGAGACATTGAAGGGTTGGGTCAGCAGTAGCTGTCCATCCCGTGATCATCTGGCTTGGGCTGCCCTGGGTGGGGTAGCTTATTGTGAGCCTGGTGCTGCTAATCGGGCCTTTCGGGGAGGCTTCAGGCGATTTTGGAGAGTCTGGGCAGGAGCTGTGGGGCTAAGCAAGTCACGGGCACTGGTGCTGTGAGTAACTGTGGTGTTCTGGGCACTGTTTGCAGACTCAGCACTACTTCCTGTTCTGCTTCCTGCTGAAATTCAGCCTCACCATCTGTTCCTGCTTGGCTTGCTTTGGTTACATGCTGCAAGATTACTGTGCAAACTTCAACTCATCTGCCTTCAGTGTGAATGTCACAAGCTGCTCCTCCATCATGCTGCACAGGTAGGGTGTTGCTCTCTGTCGAGGCTCTCAAGTGTGAGTCTTGGAATAAAGAAGCAATGCAAATGCGAACAGTTCTCTTCATTTGAACTGGGCCCCTCTTGTTCTGGGGTAGCACCTTCTGGATTTTGTAGACTTTTTAGTTGCTTCATTGTTTTCCTCCAGGATTGGGCTAGAATGGTGTGAACTCAAGGAACGGGGACTTGTGCTGCTTTCCTCTTCCTCTGGGGCAGTGTTGCAGTGAAAGGGCTGCTGTATGCCTAGCTTTCAAACACAACTGCTTCCACAGAAGCCTCACAGCCTTGTTTTTAAAGGAGAAGAAAATGCGCTCAGCATTCCCCAGAAGACCTTTAGAAGGATTTCAGCCAACCTCTCTGATTTTCCTTCTGTCAATTCTGCCAGGCGTCCCTGGTCAAAAGTGCTCACGCACTTATGCGGGATCCACTCACCCCGGGCTCAAACCAGGGTAACCAGAGTTTCCAAAACTCCCCCCTTCTGCCCAAGGAGCTCCCCCGATTCTACTCGAACTCACCTATTCCCATAGAGTTCAACTCGGGAGTCACCAGCCGTCAGACAGGGATGGGTAACTTGCCGGCCTCTAACCAGCACCGGACTCTAACCGGAGGCCCTTCTTTCCCCCCTCTTTTTGAACTGGGTCTTCCCCCAAGCAGTTACCCTTTTTACCAGAGGCTTTTTCTTACCTGGGAACTCCTTGTCTTGTCGGGGTTAGCTCTCTCAGTCTCGTTTTCCTCTCAGCCACCCTTTCCTCAAGCCCTGCTCACGGCTGGTGGAGGTTTCTGGCCAAATTTGCCTCAGCCCAAATGCTGAGGGAGAGCTCTCTAATGCTGGTCGTCCACCCATCTGAAAAGAGGTTCTTTGAGGGAGAAGGCTTAAGAATTTTGAGGCAAAATTCACCTTTAGAAACTCGGTGCCCCACGTTGTGTGACAAAACTGTTACCGGACTCAGCCAATGAACAGCTGGGGCAAACCCGGGTGGACCCCAGACCCGAGCCAAACAGAGCCTGAGACGAGACTTAGAGCCAAAACCAGCTTTATTCTAGTGCACTGTAGAACAAAGGGAGACAAAAGGGGGCATTTTGATCCATCCGTTGCCAGGCACAGACCAGTCTTACATGTCCCCCACCACTTGCATAATCATCAACAATCTCATTCAGGAATTTCCAAAATAATGTGGGGCCCACCAGACGAGCACTGGGGCACACCTCCCTCAATTGGCAGCGTTATCAAACCCTGACAAAGTACCCAGACTTTGTCACTTCGCTCTTGTCATTCTCTGTGTTAGCTCCTGTCTTCCTCCATGACTGCGAACATTGGGTGCGTTCACAGGTGGACGTTGACGTATTAGACAGTGTCTATAATGGCAGCAGCGACAGGCATCATACTTGCTCTGTTTCTTAGTCTAGCGAAAGCTCTGTGCCGAACTAAACATGCCCACACGACGATGCTCTATTTCATTAGTGCTGGTAGCAAATACAACTTCCAAATTATATGTTTGACCATAAAGTAGTTAATCCAGTGAAACAGTTTGTCTTGCCTGGATTGCAGCACCCACAGGCTCTTACAAGCAGCTAACAAGTGGTTCCTTGTCTTCGTCTTTTCAGGTGGCATTTGCGGATGCCTTAACCATAATCCACTCTGTGTGATGCCCTGTGCTTGTTGTTTCAGGGATGCAGAAAGCCCTCCTGATTGGTTTGGGTCATTTTCCAACATTCTCCTCCTGGCCCAGAAGTTTACAGCTGGAATGATTGTCTTACATACTGGTAAGCTCATTCTGTTCCTTACTGCCAGCTGTGGTGAAAAGGAAGGGGTGGGTGCATGTGTATGGACAGGAAGCCCGAAGGTGGTCCTGGCCAGGCCCTGCACATTTTCTGTAGTCACTTCTTCTACCAGACAAAACTCAGCAGTCGTGGGGAACCACACTGGGGAAGAAAAGCCCCTGTGTTGTGTTTCCCTGTCTGAAATCCTTGATGGAAATGCCAGTAAGAAAGAAACTCATAGGCACTCTGCCACCCCTAATCCAGTCCTCTCTTGCAGAAAAGAACACCCCACCGTTTCAGAGGGTTTCAGAAGTGCACCTGAGAACTATTCTTTGTTACTCACCCGGTCATGATATTGCCAAGGGATGAGGGGCGGGAGTGGGTGCCTGTTGGCCCAGCTGTAGAAGTCCTTTCCAGAACCTTATTTTAAGGTTAACTTTTAAAACTGCCTTAGTTGAAAAGATTTAAAATTGCTTCTCACAATACTACTCTCAATACCCATGCAAAAGTTAGCATAATGAAAACAAAATTTAAAACAGTTATAACCTATGCAGAAATCCACAGCACAGACAATAAAACTGGTGTCATAGGTATAAATAAAGGAAGTGGTCCACCGATGGCAAAGGAAGTGTGGCTGGGTAGACACTTTTTATATTGATAGTGAACATAAAACCTAAAATGGGCTGATTTCACAGGCTTTAATGTACCTGTGTAGCTTTACATTTTGGGAGCAGAGCTGCTGCTCTGTCAAGACGCTGCCATCCGCACCGAATGAAGCCTGAGTGAGCAGAACACTCGCTCTGGCTTAGCTTGGGCCATGCTCACTTGAAGGTGGCGCATTCTCTTCCAGACATTCAAAAATCCCACACTTGGCCAAGCCATTGAAGCAGAGCAGCAGGAAGGGCTACTCCAGCTTTAGCTAATCTTAGCTTGGCTACCAGGCGGTTCGATGGCGCGGCCAGAGCCTGCCAAGTCCTCCTCCGGTGCCAGCACCATAGAAGCACACGAGTCTCTTACCAAGGCTCCAGTGGTAAATCACCACCTCAGTTTTGCCACTTAGGGCAGAAATAAAGTAAAATGTCTTGCTTGTTGCTCATCCCCAGTGCAGCTGTAAAACAAATCCCTGACCGGTTTAGGCGTGGCGGAGACATCACGTGGGTGTGCGCGTGCGCGGAGACTGAGTGGATGTGGCTTTTGGAGGGAGCGGAGGGCTGCCAGGAGGGCCTGGGCAGTGGCCGCGGTGCCTGGAAGTCTTTTCTGGGCAGGCTTCCATGGCCATCTGTGCTCTTGGGCAAGGTGGTTCAAAAGCCACCCACTCTTCCGGAGTATTTCTGTCACTCTCCCTTCCTGTCTAGGGTAAGGCTGCAGAGAAAGAGCTTGTTGCTTCCTTTCCTTCCTTCACAGTGTTTATATCCGTCACCCATGTCCATCGTACCAAGCCTCTGTGGAGGAAGAGCCCCTTCACTAACTTCTGGTGGACCCTGACGGTAGCAGTTGTGTGAGTACCGTTTTCTGCATCCTCCAAGCAGCAGCAGCAGCAGCAGCAGCTGCATCCAGTTGGCCCCCTGCAACTTGCTGGCCCACTTCCTCAGCTCCAGCCGTATTCTTCCTCCCTTTCCCTTTCTCCCGTCCTCTTCTTGCAGTGCCGACCTGCAGCCCTCTCTGTGGGTGCCTCTGCCTTCTGGTGCCTTGTTCCCCAGTTTCAGGTCTTTTTCTCTCCGTGACATGGCATTTTACCCAGAGTCTGTGAATATCCGGCTCTATATTTTACCCTGAGAAAAGTGGCCTGCCCGAGGGTCCTGCCCACTCGCGCGTTCATGTCCAGATGCTGCGCGTGGCACTGTGCCGCCCGCCTGTTGCTTTGTGCGAGCCACACGGGTGGCTGCTGGAGGAGGCTGCGAAGAGGACCTTGGGCCGCGGCCCCCCTTCGAGGGCCGCTGTGGTTCAAGCATGGCTGTCTCTCTCTGGCAGGTTGCTGGGTCAGGTCATCCAAACCCTCCTGGACCTCAAGCTCTGGGTGAACCTGGAGTCTCCGATTACCTGCAGAGTGGGCGACATTCCCCTGGCCTCCTGGCTGCTGGGATTGCTCTCCCTCGTCCTCGTTGTGATCATCAACGAGACTGTCAAGCTCCATGAAATCAGGTGAGGGAGCCCTGCGACGCGGCCCTTGCCAGCCCTCCCCCAGTAGCTTAGGGGGCCCCCCCGGCCTGGCGCTTTCTGCACATCATCTTGGGAACCCCAAGGCAGGCTGGCCCTCCCGTCCTCGCATCACAGCCAGTGAAGGCTGGCAGAGTCGCTTGCCCTCCAGCCACCTGGCAGGAGGGGGTGCCATTGCTCCCCTTTCGAGAAGGAACCCTCCTAAGCCAGGGGCAGGCTACCCGGGGCCCTCCCAGTGTCTTGGACCGCAGCTCTGTGGAACCCTCACACACACGTGGCCAGTGGCTGGGGATTATGGGAGCTGCAGCCCAGGCGCTCTGGGGATGCCCGTTGGCCTTCCACCAGCCATTGGGTGTTTTTAGGGGGCTTCTCTCTGCTCCCAGCACGTTAAAGCTGGTGTGAGAAAGGCTCCTCCCGTGAAGAAGGAATGGCATGGAGAGGAGCTCCTCACCAGTGGCTCTCCGTGGGCCCTGCTCTGCTGCTGCTGCTGCAGTCCACACTATCTGTGGGCAGGGCAGGGCGCCAGGCACACTGCTGGCTGCACACACGCCCCAACCTCTCCGGATCGCAGCTCTTGAAGGCGGCTGCGCTTGCCCTTAGGTCAAACCAGAGGTCCAGTGCCACCATTTGCAAGAGCTGCCATAAGGGGAGCTGTCAGGTTTGGCACACCTGCTGCCGCCCTCTTAGGCTCCCAAGGGCCTGTCCGGAGCAGCCCCAAGAACATGAGGAGCTGCTAATGCATTTGTGGGTCGAGGCTATTGCTGGATCAGGGGCAATGTTTTTTCCAGCGAATAAGGGGTCTGTTTCAGCACATCAGACATTTGTGGACATTGCCCGGGGTCCCTGCCGCTTGCTGCAGGGAGCCAGGTGTCCAGTATCATCCTGTGGGCAATAGCTGAATCACTTTAGTGTACACGATGCCAAGAAAAAAGTTCAAACTGCTGTGCCAAGGAAACCCAAATCCTCGACTTGCAAAAGAGAAGGAGAAAAAAAAAGACAATTTGCATTATTTAGTGGCACTTATTTATTTAGTGTAATTTATTCTAACTGTAACACAGAAGCTTTCACAACATTAGAAATATTTTGGCAAGGATTGGGCTGGTAAGTGGCTATGAAACGGAAGACGCATTGGCAGGTGGCAGGAACTGAGAACCATGGAGGAAATCAAGAATTCCAGGCCATGACTCTCCAGCTAAGCCTCCCTTCAGCAGATGCAGCCTGTGAACCTTCCTTTGCTACAGCCGTGATGGCTGGAAACCTCTCTCCTTTTAAAGAGATGCTGCAGAGTCATACCTCTTGGCAGAGTCCGCCCTGTGCCGTGTGTTCAGGAAGAATGATGAATCTGCACAGTCTTCTAAACGTCCTTAGAGAACTTTCCTGTAGGAACGTGCTTGCCGCGGGGTGAGCGTTGCAGAGGGTCTTACGGCACCTTCTAGCCCACATGCTCTGGGTGCTTGCATGTTGGCCAGAACTATTAAGTCTCACTGCTGTGCCACATGAACTCTCTTGAGGAGGGGTGCCCTGCTGGTGCCCTTCCTGCCAGAAGGAAGAAACACCTGGCCAAGAAACACATGGCAAGCTTCCCAAGACCTCTAAGGCTCTCTGGTCTGTCGGTTCAGAAGTGTCCAGTGGGACCTCTGTGCATACTGAGCAACCCTCAGAGATTCTGCGGAACATGTTCACAGGAGATGGCGTAGTGGGACACGTGGCATTACCTGCTCTTGCTTTTCCTGACTTGTGTCTTTTCTCCCCATGCCTCCCCCCACAACCCGCCCTTACAGGGTTCGAGTACGTTACCAGAAACGGCAGAAGCTGCAGTTTGAAACCAAGCTGGGCATGAATTCTCCGTTTTAATCTCCCATCAGCAGGAGATGGCCCTGGTAGGACTGCATGTTCCTTTCCCAAACAGCTGTGTCACTTTATTGGGAGAGAAGAACATCTGTGCATGCGATTCCTTCTGGAGGCTGTGGATCGAGACCACCCAGTCGCAGGAGGGGACCGCTGCAGCAAGAGCCCTGGCGAAGGATCAGCGCCCAGGTGTGATGGCTTGGATGGCACACAGACTGCTGCTACTTTAATTTATTTTAGTACCTCTTTCCCTAGGAGCTCCTTGCAATCCAGCAGACCGGCATTCATCCAGGAGTATGCCATTTGGCGAGGAATCTTCATTTTGACTTTGTTTTTCAGCCTTTCATAATGGGACATTTTGATTCTTCACCCCCCTTGTCTGGTTGTCTACCCTTTCTGTCATGTGTGGAAGCCTCTTGCACCTGGCAGTTCTGGGGAGCACGGCTGATGGAATAAGTGACCTTTCCTGCTAGCTGGCCCTGGAGAAGGTCTCCTAATTTAGGTGTGAGTCTGCCCCCCTGTGGAAGACTAACAGGAATGCAGATGGCTGGAAGAAGGGCTTGGAGGAGATGGCTAACAAGAGCACAAAAGCGATACTGCAGGCAGGCTCCTCAGTTGAGTTCCTCTGGGATGTAAAGCGCATGAGGCAGAATTGCAAGAGCAGGGCCTCCACCCCTATAGTCAGAGCACTATCTAGGGATTGCGATTATCACAGCTTGGTCATGCCCCTCAAGGACATCCTTCCTTAATGCTAAAAGGGCTCAATCGTTGCTTGCTTCTCTCAATCTCTGTTCCTCCCCCCCCTCCCCCGACCATAAAATTGGTGATCATGAGGACCTGTGTGCACATACACACATGGCATACACTGTCCCTTAAGTAGCGGGGCCAGATTTGTACCCAATGGGTTTGCACATTTCCATCAGTGAAGACAGTTTGCCCTTTTAAGCGATTCTTGGCTGCTTTGGACGAGGACTGGCAAATGGGGCTGGCTGGTGCTCGCCCTGCCTCGTGCATGGGCTGGACTTGAAATGATGCAGCCCAAAGGGTAGCGTCCCTTGAACATGCTTAGCCCAGGTGGTAGAGCTGGGAACCCCAGACATGCTGCCTCATGGTGTTGCCAGTCTGGAGCAGGGGAATTCATCCACTATTGCTGGGAATTCACATCTTCAAACCATCCTCTTGCCTGTTTTGGCCAGCAAATTCTGCATGTTCCTTTGGCAGGAAGGAATTGGGATGACCTCTGCTGGCCAAGCTTTCTTCTCCATGTTGCTTTGTTTAGGGTCCCTTAGGAGAAGAAGACTCTTTCTCAACAAGACGGACTCTTTTACTCTTCCTGCCCACACTTTGCATTTGTTATCCGGGCTTCTGGTGACCAGACAGAGGTTATCTTGGAGTAAATATTTTGGTATCCTGTGGACTGAAGTTCAGGGCTTCAGGATGAACTACTTCCAGAGGTGGGCAGAAAGTAGAACTGCAGCTGTCTTTCTGACAGTTGACCATAGTGGCAGGGGCTTCTAGGAATTGAAATCAAAACCATCTGGTCATCTGCCTTCTGTTCTCCCCAATCTATTCTGCTTGCTGGGTTCCCTAGACCATCGTGGCTGACCTGACACTATTATTTCTATTTTGCTGCGATTATGTTTCCAGAAGAGTTGTTAAGTCCTGCTGATTGCAACGTGGAATTGTCTGTGCCCACCTTCTCCAGCCTGGTGCCTTCCAGATGTGTTGGACTATAATAGTCATAACTCCAGATAGCTAACCAGGGAATATGGGAGGTGTAGTCTAGCTCAAGTGGAAGACACCAGACTAGAGAAGGCTGCCTTTAGACTTTCCAGATTACCTCACAGCATAGGGTTAAGAGCACTGCCCCATTATGGCATGGCAATTTGCTCAGCTGTGTTTACTGTCCCAAGGAAATGGCAACATGTTGACTATTCGTGTTTGTGGCTGATCACCATTTGGGGGTCCTTTATCCTGCCACACTGGGCAAGATGGCACTTAACTTTGCCAGATAATATTTCTTGACCGAGGCCTGCAGGGAGAAGAGATGCTTGAAACTGAAGGTTTTTAAGAAGCTTGTTGCATGGTGCTAGGATGGAGGGTGTTCCTTAAAGTCCCCCTCCACAAACACTCGAGCATTTTCTCAAAAGTTGTGATGTGTCTATTGGCCTTGGTTAATTTTGACTGGGAATTTGGTCAGGAGCTTGTTTTCATATTTTTAAATAGGTTACTGTCTAGAAATAGTTGAAAATGCTTCCGCTTTTACAACATTGCTCTTCCCAGCATAGAGCCAAAAGCTTTTCATCTTCTCACTTGATGCTCATGTGTAATATTTGGAACTTTGAGAAATGGACACATACTGTAACTTTGCATAGCCACTTTTAAACAATCCCTTTTGCCCGTTATGAACCAGTTGGGAGACCTAGCAGCTCAAGCTGTTTGTCACAGGGAATTTTCAAATGTAAAACCCAACAAAAGTGCAATGGGGCAGTTGCCTCGCTAGAGAAGGCACTTTTCTGTAGTTTTTCCCATGTGATGCCAGATCATTCTGAAATAGGACTTTCCTCCCTGCATTTTCATACAGGTATTTCCCTCTCCAGTTGTCTTAGATGAAACACAAACGACTGACTCCTTTGGACGGCTATCCCTTGAAAGGTCTTGTTCCATCAGCCTGTGTCCCCACTTTTTTTGGCCAGTCAGGGCTTTAGGACAACACGGGGCATGGCTTTAGGAATGAATTGAATCCATCAGATCATTTTTAAATGGTGTATATTTTATATTTATGAGATTTTTTGGGGATGTACGTAAAAATAGATTTGTACTAAAAACTTGTAAATTGTATAAAAAAGCAAGAGCACCTGATATAAATGGCAATAAATGATTGTCTTTGATACAATACACTTTTTTGAGGCTGTGTAATTATTGTTTGAAAGCTGGGAGAGGCTTTGATGCTGGCTGCTTCATTTGATACTATGAATTCCATCCAGGGTGTCATCCCTATAGACCAATACTGGTTGGGAAAGAGACTTGGACCTCTACTGTTGAGAAAGCAAAGTAATTTGGAATGCCTTTGATAGCATTGAGATATGTGTGAACTTTCAAAGTGCTCTGAAATGCATTCTTAGAACCACCCTTTAAAATAGGCCAGTTTTCTTACTTCATACATAGCAGGTGAGGAAGCAGCTCAGAGAAAGAGGCTTGCTTCAGAGCCGAAGGGAGATTTGAACCAAAGATTTCTTGGCTCATGTAATCTAGTTTGCAACTGAGTGCACACTTACCTTGGGAATAAGTCCCGCTGAACTTGACGGGGCTTATTCCAAAGATGATTCTAGGCTTGCACTCTCAACACTGTGCTTATGCCCGTTCTCACCCACTGCAGACAGTTGCTGCTGATGCTCACTTTATATCCTCATCAGATCATGAAGCATATAGATCTCATCAGATCAGTGCACGCATCCGTCTCTGAGACCCTGGCAGGCAGTCCCGCATCCTTTCTGTACAGCTGCTACTGATTATTTCAAAGGGGCACATACGAAGTGTGCACACTTAGGCATGTTGTATTTTGAATCGCTCCTGTGTTTGTACTTTGGCAGCTGTACCTGGCACAAAGGTGCAGTGAGTGCCGGCACTTAGCAGTATGCGACTGACCATTATCTTTGAGTTGTAACAGCCTTGCTAATCAAAAAAACCCCTGAAATCAGCAAACATTCATATGGTGAACTTCACTGAAGGAAAAGAGGAAACTCAGTGAGCTAGACACAACCATCAAAAGGGAAAACAATTCCCACTGTTTAATACCATTATGTTGATGTTAGTGAAAAACAAGAACTCATGATTAACAGAAAGAGGCCAGATGGTTTAAAAAAAAAAAATAAATTCCTGGCTGGTGTTTGCCAGGACTAATTTCCACAGGCTACTTCCTGCTACATGTAGCAGATGTGGCCCTGATTGGTTAGACACAATCGCATCCATACATAATTTACACAGCATACGCTATCTTTAAAATAAAGAACTAGCTTTTTAAAAATACGCATTCTCTGAAAGACAAAAGTGGACATTTGACTCCTTAATTCATGATAACAAGAAAGAACAGCATTTTACTGCCCCCAGTGGCTCAGACAGTAACGTTCCACCCTACACCCTAAAATACAACAGAACTCTGGTTAGTAAATATATAACAAACCCACGTTTAAAATATATACACATCTCTTAAAAAAAATCTTTTACAGTTTTATCAACAGTGAAAAAATGGACTCATCCCATGTCAGCTAGTGTGGAAATTCAAACCTTTAAAAAAAAAGGTTGGAAGAAACCCTTTCTATAAAGTGCCACTGGCTGCAGCTATTTTTCTGAATTATTCTTTTAGCATTAGTCATCAACCAGAGGATGACTAATCCACTTGACAAGATGGATAAAAGGGAAGCCAGAAAATAAAGAGAAACTATGTTAGTGGCCAAGACCTGTCAATAGGCCATGTCATAGATTTAAAAGTTTGCCAGCCCTTGTTGCTTTTTCCCATCTCCATTTGGATTTCGCCTCCTTCCAGAGCAGTGCCACTTGCCACGTCACGATTCACCATGGAGAAACTAGAGCACAGAGCATCCTTGCTTTGTCTGCCAAGGCCTTCGCGGTGATGAGAGGGTCAGTTGTTTTCCATTCAGTTGCTCTGTCTTTCTCCAACACTGATGGTGTTGGCAGAAGTTTCATGACAGATATACCTTACCCTCATTTCAGATGTAGCCAGAAAACAACAGCTTCACGTATAAATGGTGGGACTTGCAATCTGACACATTCTGATTACACCAGGTTGGGAAAAATGGCTCTGTAGTCTGAAGTAGCGAGTGTCTGTGATTGTATTGTTCTTTCCTATGTTCAGTCATGTTTCCATAGGATGCCAGGTTTGTACCATCTTGGGCATATTTCTACAGGTGTTGCTGATACACAAGCACCTCTTCGTCAAGGCTGAACCACTCTGAGAAAGGAGTTGGTGCACCACACAGCTGTAACTGGGCCTTTGTCTCCTGCAACGTTCCACAAAGGTGGTATCTCTGGAGTGGGTGACAGAAAGCTGCCTTAGACTGGGTCAGCTCATGGTCCATCTAGCCTGGTCCTGTTGACACTGACTGGCAGAGGTTCTCCCAGGTTTCAGGCAAGTGCTTACTGAGCTGTACCTGGAGATGCTGGGGACTGAATAGTGGACTTTCCACAGAGAAAGCAGGTGCTCCAGGGGGGTTTCAGTCCCTCTCTAATGAACAAAGAAGGATGACAGAGATGTTTGATTCTCTACTGCAAAAGAGGCAGGGAAGAACTTGGATGATTCTGGACAAGATGTTTCTTGGGCAATTCCAGTGGGACCATAGGACAATGTCTCCCCTTTTAACCTTCCTATGTTTTTTGCTGCTGCTGCGTCTCTCTCTCTCTCTCTCTCTCTCTCTCTCTAGAAAAATACCCCTTGAGGGGGCAGAGATGGGATAATTGCACATTGTCTTTTGAATGGCAGTTGGGAGCATCCTTTGTAACTGGGAAAAGCACCCTTTTGAACTGGGAAACGTTTCTTCTTATAGTGATGGGGGAGCCTATTCGCATGCCACGCACTGTTTTATCCTCTTTGCCAGTTCCCACTAGAGGGCGCTATAGACTGCAGCCCACTAATCGGCCCTTTCCTCCCAGACTCTATTGAAAGAAAAGCCAAAAGACAATCTTCTTTCCCGCTCCCAGCCCTCTTTGCCTGCCCCAAGCATTGAAAGAGCCCAAGGTCCTCTGGAAAGAAGGTCAAGTAGTTTTCAGTTCCCCTGAAATCCTGTTATTGAAATGTAGAACCCATTTTGCTTGTCTGAGAACTTGGAGAGCCATAAGTAGTGCCAACTGCTTTTAGAGGGAGAGCAGGGAAAGGAGCTGAGTGAGGGATTTCAGTCCAGCCGAATTACACGGTGCTTCCTCTGCTGAATGCTGGAAAGGCCCCAAGGGCTTGTCTTGCTGTGTGAGCTGCCAGGCATTAGCCTGGTTTCATTTGGGCAAGCAGGGTGGCAGCAGACTTCGCTGAGCCCTCGGCCCTGGCCTGTGGAGGCTGACACATCGCTGGCATCCTCAACATGACAGAATGCGGGAACAGGCAAGAAGTGTCGCTGCGCAGGGCTTTGTGTAGGTGGAGGCTGTCGCTCCCAGGGTGCCCTCAGTATCCCTGGCACTGATCTTCCCCATGATTAGTCAAAGCCGTCGGCCTTCACTCGGCCCCTTAGCGCCGTTGCGGGTGGTCAGCATTCACAGGCCTGGCGAGGTCCTGGGACACAGGTGGGGAAGTGGAGTTGATGCATGTTCTCGCTGCAGGAATGGCCCTGCATGTAAGTGGCTGGCTGTGGTCGTCTCCGGCTGGACCGTCACTCTCTGGAGGAAATGCTCAGGCGAGCGAGATGTTAAAGTGCAGACTGGGGAGGCCGGAAGGAGTCGGTGGGACTCATCCCTGAGGTTGTCCACTTGACCTCATGAACGGCAACAGTGGACGGATGAGCCCACAGCGCTGCCCCACGGGAGGAAGCCGGCCTTCAGTCCAACATGGCGTCCAGCTGCTCTGCTAGATCATCAAACATGTTGCTGATGTCTTCGAGGATGTTCTTGGCTGAATGGGCTTTCCCATAGTGGCTGAGGAGACAAGACAAAGAAAGGCTCAATGGGCCTCGAGCCGCTGGGCTAGAAGTCGAGAGCTTATCCCTCACCAGATCTCTTTTTGCAGGAACCCCCGTGTGCAACTGCTTCTGTCTGTCTGTCTGTCACAAGAAAGGCTTGCTAGGCTGAGCTATTTCAGTGATCACCAGAGATTATATTTTAGGGTGGCCTTCTCCAACCTGGCCCCTACAGAGGCACTGGAACTACAACTCCCAGCATCCCAGGGATGCTTCAGGGCTTCTTGGGTCATTAAAGTTGCTGTGATAGAACGCCTGCAAGTTCCTGCATCAGACAGCCTGCTCCTCACATTCGTGTCAGAGGACAGAAACATTACACATTTAAGCACAGTGGGTGAAAGACGCAAGTGCATGAGTATTGCAGTGCGCCATGTGCACATGCAAGGGCAGATGCAATCACAAAATGCGGCTTTCCCCTTTAAATACATAGGAGGGTAAGTAGGGGGTAGTTCTTTTACTTTTAAAGATATGTGTTAAAATATTCTAAAACATGTGTTAAAATATTCTATATTTGCAGGCTGTCTTTGGCCCCACTGAAGCAGATCTTGGAAAAGCACAGCAGCAATGGAAGTAACGCACACATCTGAAGCACCTGCAACCTATTAACCGGCTCCGGCCTGACCCAGCGGTGCACAGGTGTGTGGCAGCTTTAGCTGGACCTCACTAGGCAAAGGAACCGAGACAAAAGGGAGGAGATTCTGGGAGATCATCCCGTGCTCAGGAGGTGGAGGAAGGCTGCCCTTCCCATGATCGCTCTGGTGCTCTTTTCCTGCATATCTGGGCTAAATGCCTAGCACGGCTCTAGGATCCTGATTTACCTGTGAATAGACAGGTGTTAGAGGTTTCCAGGAGCACCTTTGCTTAACCCACTGCACAAGCTATACCCATCCCTCCTCCCAGAAAAGAGAGTTGTGACACCAACACCGATCCAATGCCATTGCAAGTTCTGTGATCTTCTGGGCTGACCGCTCTCCAGCATGCTTTACACAGGGCTGCCCCTGAAGGGGACTTGGAAGCTCGATTACTTTGGAATGTTGCTGCAGCTGTTGGCAGGGGCTGGAAGGCAGGGACGTATCATGCCGGTTCTGCTGCCTTCCCTTTGCCTCCCGTTTTAATAGCTCCTGCAGTTTTGAAGCCTGCTTTGTGTTCAGCTTGTGAGTTTCTCTGGACAAAATGGAAAACTCTCCAAGCTGCAGAGAGGTGGGGCACATGTGAAAGGCATGAGCAACCCCACCGGCGTCGTGGCAGTAACTCTTGCGGGGCAGGCACTCCTTGGGACAGGCTCAAAGCAAATCCAAAATTGTGGGCTGCTTTATGAATCCACCCTAGCAGAGCAATTTGAACAATTTCGCCTGCTTGGAGGAAAACTTTTGTAGAGCAAAGGGTGACCCAGCCCATCCAAGCCACCCTGTAATAATTCGCACAGCAACCAAGAGCAGCGGGTTCATGCTGGGACAATTCGTTTCCCTGCAGCTGCTAGGAAGCTTGGGGAGGCCAGAGGTGTGTAGTGGGGGTGGGCAGATGACAACTGAATTTTATAAATTAGAAATTAGAAAGAAAGAAGCCCTGCAAATAAAGGAAGTGCCGGTGCTGTTTTCCCAAGCGCCCCGGCTCTGCTGTGCCGCTGAGCAACACCCTGCTGCACATGAAGGGCCTGCCCAGCAAGAACAGCCACGTGGAACCAGGCTGGCCCTGGCTGCCGGCCTGAGCAGTGCAAAATGCCTGCCGGGCGTGCACAGGGCTGGGGTGCCTGCGCACTCCGCGATCTGTCCATGCCAGCCTGCAGATGCCTTGCTAAGGGGCGCACTTGCTTCTGCTTGCCCCCTCTCTGTGCCCAAGCGGTATCTCACCTGTTTGCTTCCTCTGCAGTGATTTTCTTCTCGGCAGCTTCCAGGGTGGACGCCAACGACGAGTTGGTTTGCTCCAGTCTTTGCTGGGCCTGGATCGCGTCTGGAGATGCGCTCAAAGGCCTCGTGGAAAGGGATGCTCCAAAACTCGAGGCGGGTTTGCTGCCCGGCCCTAGCTTCACCGGGTAGGGGCCTGTCGCCTCCAGCCCCACCTCAGTCGTGGCCCAGGGGGCAACTGTGTTGCGAGAGTTCTGCAGGACTTGTTGGTAGATGGATTTTGGTCCTGAAAATACCAGTTTGGTTGAAGCGACGGATGTGTGCTTGGCGGAGAGGTCTGCAAGGAGAAAGCCGGGCTTAGTGCCCTGGTTGACCTGCCCGCAATTTGCCCCATGTGGATAAGCAAGCCGGCCGAGCTCAGCCTCCCCCACTTGCCATCTGCCCACACTGACGAGCTTCATCCCCTGCTGCTGATACCATATGGCCATCCCACATTCCCCCAGAAAGGAACAGCGAGCACCCCCGCAAATCCCACAACCCAGAGCAGCAACCCCTTCCCCTGGACCAGGCGAGGTCAAGACGACTTTCTGGAGCCTGCAGCAGGCGTGGTGATGGCTGGTTACCCTTCTCCAGGGGGCCGCCCCGTCTTCCCCAGCACCCTGCTTTTCCCTTGCCCGTCGATCGTTCGGCTCCCCAGCTTTGCATGCCCGCCCTGCCCCATTTGCGATGTTGAAAGTCTGCTCCTAAGGCTTTGGTGCTGGCAGGGAGCCTTTTCGGTCAGAGCAGGCTGGTCTTCCTGCCCTCGCCCCGTTGCCTTGATCTGGTGCCGGCACAGTCCCGTGCTTCTGGGGCTGGCACAGCCATTGGCTCTGCTGCCTGCCCGTCACGTGAGCTTGGTAACTGCTGAGGAGCCCTCCTTGCAAAGGTGGCGCTAGGGAAAGGGCAGTCTGGGCTCTGATCCCCCCACCTTTTCAGAGGAAAACAGCATTGCAGAGCTGCAGCAGCACAGAAGCTTCAGGTTATGCAATGGAGCAGGTGCAGAGTTCTGCAAGCGCCCAGCATCTCTCTGCTGCTCTGGGGGGTCCCCACCCACAGGGCAGAAGGTGCGGCAAAAGGCTGCTCAGGGACCAGCCCTTCCCTCCTCGAAGGAGGGTTTCCTTTGGAGGAGCAGGAGGTACCCAGACGTCTGCAGAGGCCCAGCCTGCCTTTCCTCTTCAGGAGGGGGTCACAGCAGCAGCTCCTCCATCCAGGGACATTCTTACCTCGTCTCTGTGGGAGCGTGCGTATGTGTGTGTGTTTGCACTCATGTGCATGCATATATAGGTTTTATTCTGGAGTTTGTGGGTACAGGTTGTGTGTGTGCATGCGAGTGTGTGAAAGGAGAGGGGCCTATGCATTTTTCCAAAGGGTTCCTGCTGGTTTTCTGAAGGATACACGTAGCATCATTGCTCCTGAGCAGCCCAGTCCATACTTCTTATAAGCTTGGCATAACCTGGGATCTTGAGCTTGACTGGTTCTCAAGCTTTGCGACGGATTTGCAAAGGCCTGGAATTTGTTCTTATATGCCAAAAGCTGAGTTTCTGTGTGGCCCCGAGACTATCACTGCTTAATTTTAATTGTGATTCCTGCTCAGTGGATTCTCCCCTCGCCTCCCATCATCTCTGAGTCTGTGGAATGGGACTTGCTGCTGAACAGGAGCCTCTCAGTCCAAAGGAGCGCTTGGCTTGTGTGTGACTGTGAGATTCCCCCACCCCACCCACTGACATTTCTCTTTGGGTTGCCGACTGTTGGCGGTTCAAAGCCTGCACCCCTTCTTCTGACTCCCCCCCTGCCCAGCCAAGCAGACCACCAGCCTCCCTGCCTGCGGCCCTCACCCTCTGCCTGCCACAGCTTGCCAGTCTTGCCCATCTTCCCCTTCACCTGCTTGAAAAGCTGTTTCACCAGCCAGAAGGTACCACTGTTGTGCTCACCCAGCCCACGCCCAGCATCAATCAGCAGCAAGCCTTGCATTTCCTCCTCTTGTCCCTGATGGAAAGGGTAACCCAGTGCCAGCAGGCCGGCATCTCTGGCACTTTGTGGGGGAGATACATACATCGTCCCCCTTTTGGATGTACACCTTAGTGTGGTGAGGGGGTTTGAGAGTGTCAGAGGAGCCAAGAGCAATGCCACCAGGAAGCAAGACTCTCTTGCTAGGCTGGTCTCCTAGCAGGGTCACCCAAGGTGGAATGGTCAAAGCTGGGACACCAGGCTAAAATGTGGCCGCCCTCTCCAGGAGTAAGGGGCTGAAGAGCTGGCAAGATGCTAGAGTAAGGGGCACATCAGCAGAAGCGAACGGATCCTTAATGGTGATGGGGGCAGACACTTCGGAAGGGCATCTCCTGGGTGGCAGTAGGCACTGAAAGCGAAAGACAGAGGTAGCGACGCTCAAGCTAACTCTGGTTCGTCCTCCACCGAAGAAGGCAATGCGAAAGCACTTCTGCATCGCTCTGACCTAGAAGACCCTGTGATGGAACAATTCCGAATTAAACAAGAGGTAGAGCTAGAAGATGCAACCGCCAGGCTGGAAGGCACCCCGTGAGCTACTGGGGAAGAGCAAAGGACAAGTACGAATACTGCTGCCGCTAATGACGCAATTAGATCAAAGCCAAAAGGAAGTCTGGAGGCCTACAAGCACAGAGGAAAAAGGAAAGTCTGATGCTGCACAACAGTGGGAACATGGAAAGTGGAAAGTATGAATCAAGGCAAACTGGAACCCGTAAAGCTGGAAATGGAACCTTAAATGGGGCATTGTTAGTGAGAGAGGTGCAAAGAGTTTCACTCTGGAAATGACCAACTGAGAAGAAACAGTGACTCTAATACTGAGGCATGATGTAGCACAGGCAGTAAGGCTACAAGGCAGATTCTAACCAAATAATATCAATCAGATTTCGTGAACAACTGGTCCATGTAACCATCGTTCCAGTCTAAGCTCCAACTACAGATGCTAAATAAGAAGAAATCAAAACTTTTATGCAAGGATCAAAGAGGAAATTGATAACACACCAAAACAAGCCATGCTGATAATCATAGCTGACTAGAACGCAAAAGCAGGAAACAAAGCAGAATCAAATGTTGCAGGAGAATTTGGCCTAACGGTCAGAAACGAAGCAGGAGAACAACTCACAGAAGCCTGAGAAGCCAAACATCTATTTATAGCCAATACAGACTTCAGGAAACTGCTCAGCTGACTGGACATCACCAGATGGTCACTACAGAAATCAGTCACACTGTATCATTAGAAGATGGAGAAGCTGTATTGTTGTTGCCAAAACAAGACCAGGAGCAGATTGTAGTTGTGACTATGAAATATTAATATCCAGTACAGTGCCAAAAATACAATTTAAATAACATTCCTGAGGAATTTAAAATCCACATAAAGAAGAGGGTTTTGCATTACTCAATTCAATTGAGTGTGAACCAGAAGAATTGTGGACTGAAACCAGAGATATTGTACAGAATAATGCAAAAGGACTACACTTGTAGCAAAAAGAAAAACAAAAGCCTAGATGGATGACAAAGGAAGCATTCACTATTGCTAAGAATAGGCGAGAAGCAAAAGGTGACAGAAGTAGGGTCAGAATCCTGAATCCAATCTTGCAAGGACTATCCTGTAGAGAAAAAAGGAAGTACTACCATGGCCAGTGCAAAGAAACAGAAGAGAACAACAAATGTGGAAAAACAAGAGAAAGAAATCTTCCAGAAGATCCAAGACGTCAAAGAGAAATTCAAACGCAGATCAGGAATGCTGAAAGACAAACAGGAGAACATAGGTAGAAAGAACATATAGGAGAATTATCCAGAGGAGATTCCAAAAGAATCCTATGAGAGTCCTATGAGGAAAAACCTGCTCTGAAAGCAAGTGGAAGGAATAAGCACCTGGAGTAGACAGCACACCAACAGAACCATTCCAAGCCACAGAAAAGATGTCAACAGATATGGAGAACAAAACAAGGGCCCACAGACTGGATACATTTGATACACATTTCAGTCCTCAAGAAAGAATGCAGCACCCACAGGATCACTGCACTAATTCCCCACTGAAGCAAAGTGATGCCCAAAGTGTTGCAACGAAGAATTTTATCCTCTATGAAGTGAGAAACGCCTGATGTCCCAGCTGGATTCCATAAAGGAAGAGGTACTCAAGATCATCTCACAAATATATGTTGGCTACTGGGCTCACCAAAGCGTTTTAGGAGATGAATGCTTTATTCGTTGCAGGCTACAGCAAAGCCTTTAACTGTGTGGATCACAGGAAGCTATAGCAGATTCTGAAAGACACGAGGTTGCCTCAGCACCTGATTGTCCCAGTGCATCACCTGTGCCATCGACAAGAAGCTACCACTCGAAAAGAATATGGAGAAGCAGGATGGTTTCCTATAGGCAAAGGTGTCAGATAATGTCATATTTTAGCTCCTTATCTGTCCAGTCTGTCCACAGAACATAAGAAAAAATGAGTGAGGATCAGAGGAAGGAGGAGTGGAAATCTGCAAAAAATATATCAATAATTTAAAATATACAGAAGATACCATGTTACTGTCAGAAAGCAGCATTGAATTGAAATGATTCCTGTTGATAATGAAATGAAAAAGGACTGCAGCTGAACACTGAGAAAACATAAACCACGACTACAGAAGAATGATACAACTTTAATGTCAACAATGAAAAAATGGAAGATTTTTAATACTTTGGCTCAGTCATCAATTCAAACAGAAACTGCAGCCAAAAAGTTAGAAGACTGAGACTTGGAAGGGCAACAAAGAAGGAACTAGAAGTGATCATTCAGCATAAGTGCTTTTCACTGTTGACCAAGGCCAAAATCATCCAGATTTTTGCACTCCCGATCACGATGTATGAATGTGAAAGCTGGACAGTGAAGGAAGCTCACAGGAAGAGAATGGTGCACCTGGCACATGGTGCTCGAGGAGAGCCTGGGAACAGCCCTGGCCTGAGCGAGAGGCAAGGAAGGGGGTCCTGGAGCCCAGCCAGCCGGAACCTGCCCTGCAAGCAAGGAGGAGGAGGCTGACGCTGCCGTGCTTCAGGCACATTGTGAGCAGGCAGGGCTCCCCGGAGAAGACCGTCCTCCTGGGGAAAACCAAAGGCAGAACAAAAGAGGAAGACAATGATGAGCTGGAGCAGTTCCAGAAAGGAAGCCACAGCCTTAAGTTTGCAGGAGCTGAGCAGGGCTGTCGTGGACAGGGCATTTCGGGGTCATTCATCATGACATCCCTATAAGTTGGAGAAAAGCTTGGCAGCATTAACAACAAATAGAAATCTTCCCGAGCACACAAATAGCACTGTGAGGGCAGCCTCGGAGGCCAAGCACCTTCCCTTGCCTGCCTGCCCACAGGCAACGGCTAGGTTCCCAAAGCTTTGCCCATTGCCTACCAGTCGCTGTGCCCGGCATCTTCTGCTGGACCGATCCCCCGTGCTTCTCCAACGGCGGCGGCACAGGGCTGGCTGGCGTCGAAGAGACCGGTGACGTCCTGATCCCCCGTTCCAGAGACAAGATGCTCTTCTCTATCTCGGCGATCTGGAATTGCATACTGTTGTCATCCAGAGTGTCCCCGGCCGGGGGCGGGGCCTCCGTGACATGCAGCGAGGGCCCGCTGATGCTGACGGCCTGAGCCTGGGCGTACTGCGGCGCTGGGGCTACCGGGGCTGGGCTGGAGGCTGCCACCCCGAAGGCTTTCAGCACGTTCTGGAGGGGCTCCCTCTCTTTGCACCTCGGCCGCCTCTTCACCGTGTCGGATTCCGTCAGGTTGAACTCCAGGGCGGGGCTCTCCTTGGCTGCGGGCGCTGCTTGCTCCTCCCCGCCGGGGGGAGGCTGGGCAGCGGTGGGCTCCGAATCTGGCGCGGCGGCATCTGCCTTCAGCTGCCCAGCCGGCTTGGGCCGCTGCTTGATGGTCAGGTTGCCCTCTTCGGCGAAGGGAATGCACTCGCTGGAGCTGTTCTGCGACGAGCAGGGGGACTGGGCCCCCTCCTCCCGCCCGCTCAGCCCCTCTTCCTCCGTGTCGGATCGGGCGTCCTCAGGGCTGTGCCGCGACGCCTCCGCTGCGCTGGCTGCGGACTCGCTAAATGTCCGTCTCCGGGGAGGGTTGTTTTCAAAGAGGTGGCCCCTGCCACTCACGGCTTCGGCACCGCTGGGATCTCCTCCCAGGACTGAGTGACGTGAGCCGGTGTGGCTGGCCCCGTCCTGAGCTGAACCCGCGGGCTTTGCAGAGTGGAGCAGCAGGACGGGACTCCCATCAGCTCCAGGTCCCTCAGTCACGGCCTGCGGGTTTCTCATCGGGCCACCCTGATCACGCGTGTGGTCCCCACCTTCCTGGGTCTGCGCGAGCCCCTTCTGGGACTCGGGGCTCTGTTCGCACTCTGCATCCACCGCCTGCGCGGTGGAGACGGAGCTGAGGCGCTTGGGAGGAGGGGGCGGTGGGCCTTTCCTCCTGGCACGGATGGCGAAGGACTGACTGCGCAAGACCTTAGTGTCCGATGAGGCCTGTGTCCGTGGCACCTGGCTCCGCCCCGGCCGCCTGGTGAGGGTGGCGTACGAGCCTACCGAGCTGCTGGGAGGCGGTTCCTCCTCTTCCGCCTCCCCGTCGGACAGAGCGTAGCGGTTCAGGCTGTGCGAGCGCTTCTTGTGCTTGAAGCCCTCGCCGTCTGGCGGCTCGGCCCCAGGCTTTGAGGGCACGTGCGGCGGCTCTGCTGGACCGCAGTGAGCGTGAAGATAGGAGAAGGCCTTCTGGGCGGTTGACTGCAGCGCGGTCCTCTGGGTGGAGAAGTGGCCAGGGGCCTTGGTGTGCTCGAGCACAGGGGGCGGGGAAGGCTGGGCCTTCAGGGACACGTGGGGGTACATGAAGACGTATGGGGCTGTCCCCCTGCTGGACGTCTGGGGGGGTGTGCAGGGGGGCGTGGCGGGGCATGGGCTCGGGGCCTCCGATGGGGCTGACTGGGGAGGGAAGTCCCCTTTCAGGGTTCCCGGCCTCTGGAACTGATCCGTCCCCTCCGGCAGATTCCTCTCCCTCAGAGGGCTTCCCGCAGAACCGCCAGAACAACCGTTGAGTCCCTCGGGACTGCCGAGCTGAGGACTGAACTTCCCGTAGCTGTCCAGGCCGGGCCGGCCCTGGGGGGCCGCAGTGTTTTCCGTGAGGTGGGACTGGGTGGAAGAGCGGCTGCCGCTGCTCCCGCTGCTGCTCTCGCCGCTGCCCAGGCTCTCCTGGGAATGGCTCGAGGCGGTGCTTTGGGAGAGCATGTTCTCTTGGGAGTGCCCCGAGCCCCTGGACCGCACGCCGATGCTCTCCTGGCTTCGGGACATGCCTTGGGTACTTTTGATGGTCAGCGTCTCCTGGCAGCTGTTGGACATGGCCGTTTGAAGCTCGTAGCTCAGCTCGCTGTCCTGGAAGGTGGTCATCTTTGGGGTGAGGGGGGAGTGGCACTCCCCGTTCTCCACCGCCTCTATGGTGACGATGTCCAGGGCGCCGGGGATCTTGCGCCTCAGGGTGCTGGAGTCCGCCTGGCTCAGGCTCTTGCGGAGGTCAGCCAGCTTCTTGACAGCGAGCATGATCTTCTTCTGGTGGCCTGCAGGGGGCACAAGAGAGACAAAAATCAAGCTGGGGGCCTGGAGGAGGGCAGCACCTCTCTCTCAGTCTCGGCCTTAGAGAGGAACCCACTGTTTCGCACGGTACTTGGGAGGCCAAGCCTGTATTGTCTCAGGGCTCCCACCTGGCTTCACGTAAAGGAGCATGCCCCATGTGTCCCGTGCAGGCATTAACCTGCCATCAGAGAGATCACCGAAGGCACAATCCCATGTCCACAGAGGGCCAGTGAGGTCCAGCGGTTTCTGTGCTGGACTGGGGAGGCTCAGGTCTGAGGACTGGATGCGCTTGAGCCATTCACTGTCTCTCAGTCTAACCTACCTTACAGGGTTGTAATGAGGAAAAAGGTGTGGGGGTGGGTGGGGGTGGAGAACCACCGCACCGCCTTGAGCTTCTTGGAGGAGAGCTGGGATAGAAATGTAATGGGTCATTTAAAAAAGCTTCAATTGCAAACTACAATCAGGCAAGCTCAGCTGGAGTTTCACACAGCCAGATCTTATTCCATTTCGTTATTTTGTAGGCTGCGTAGCATGAGCTGCCGTTGGCTGACATTCTGGATGGGCAATGCAAGAAGCATCGAGTGAAACAGCGGAGGGCAGGACCGGCTCTGGAGCAGAGGATGCCGGTAAAGGAGGGAGGCAGAGAGGAGCTGGCTGGGCCAGGGGAGCCAAGACACTGGACCGCCTGTTTGAGGGAGGTCTCGGCGGCAGCTCCACCGGTTGCGTGTCCCTGATGACTTCTAAGTGTGGCTGGCGGGGGAGAGAGCCAGTTGGCATATTCAGACAATGCTCGTGGATGGGCCTGTCTTCCCCCCTGCCAAAACAGGCATCCAATTACCCTGGGAATTTGATGCGGAGCCAAATGCCACACTAATTGTTGCTTCCAGAGAAGGGGACAGGATCCCCTCCCTTCTCCCCCCCCTTTGAAAGGGCTGCTTTTGGCGGAGGGCCAGCCTCAAGTTGATGGGCAGGCCTTGCAGGCCAACACGGGGGGAAAATCATTCCTCAGCAAATCAGACCATGAAAGAGGGTGGGAAGGAAACGCTCCGGGGAAGTGCCAAGCTCTTCCACTGGGGCTTCTGCAGCCTGAGCTTCCATGGGTGCGGCGGGGGAGGCCACCCTGAGACAGACACATAATCATTATGAAGTGAGGGAAGAAAGAGTTGCCCAGCCCTGAATAGATGTCAGATCAATGGGAAGGGAAGGTTGCTGCTCTCAGAGGAGGAAGCCTTTGCATTATGTGTGTGGTCACACAACAAGCGTCTTACTGTTCGTCCGCATGCGTGCCCTTCAGATACAAACCGATCTGCAACACACTTCGGCTTGGGCTTTCTCCTCATGTGCAGGTCCCAATAGCTCTAAATTGGGGGTTGGGGGTATTTCAGTACCCCCAGTCACTTCAGTCATATGGTGTGGGAAGCACAACTATTCCTTGGCTGGCAGAGACTGAGAAAGAGCATGCAGTCTGCAAAACTGCCATAAAGTGAAAATATGGAAGAATATGTTTCTGCGAGGGTCAGCGTGGTTGACAGTTGCAGCAAAAATAATTAATAGTCTTATAGTTCCTTAAAGACTAGCACATTTGTTGTGTCATAAGCGTGTGAAGAGTGCAGTCCACTTCATCAGAAATGTCATCCTGAGTTGCTAGTATGTGTACCTTGGGCTAAGCGGTTATTTCTTTAGGCCAAGGGGTTATTTCTCTCTGATCTTGCTGGATCAGAGAGAAAGGAAATGCAAGAAGTACAAGCAGTGATGACGACAGAAGGGACTGGCTACAGTCAATCATGCCACTATCACGGCTTATGTGCAGTTCACCTCCTCTCAGCATCCCTGTTCGTAATCGTCAAGCACTGCCACCATCAAGCATGTGATAAAGTGGACTGCAGCCCATGAAAGCTTAAGCCAGAAGAAATGTGTGAGAACTGAAGGCAGGGCTGGGGACTGTTTGGCCTTCTGGATGGTTTTAGACTGTGACCTGCATAATCTCCCAGTATTTGGGGGCTTGACAAGCGAAGGTGGGAGCGCCAAAGTCGAAGATGACATTGCGGGGTTCCTTGGCAACTGCAGAGTACGACTTTGCTGGACTGAAGGAAGTCGTGTGCGCAGAGGATGAAGCTGATGAGGATATTCACTACAGGAGTAGATTGCAGAGAGGGAGACTTGCAAAGGACCACTGATTAAATATGTGTATAAATATGTGTATATGTGATCCCACTTGTGCACATTAAAGACCCTCCCCCCCATAAAAGGCACCCATCGGAAAGGACAAATGCAATACGGTCCATGCCGCTTATTGGAATGGAAACCTGGTGAAGCCAGGGAGGCTTAAGCAGAATGGGAGTCCTGGTATTGTTGGGAATCGTGTGTCCTTCCCCACGGATCACCCATCCCCGCTCAGAGAAGCACCACCAGGGTGGCAGCATCCAATGTCGGGGTCTTGCCCATGGAGCTGGAACGCACGGGAGGCTCTTGCACGGATGCAGTCTGCCCCCACCTGGCACATGCGTGCAAGGCTCAAAATGAGGAGAGAAAGAGCCGCAAGTCCCCTGCACCCCGGTTGCGCTTTCGGTATCCCCTCCTTTCTCCTCACCGAGCTTGTTGATGCCGATCTCCTGCAAGTCCTCCCAAGTCAGGTCAGTCACGATGCTGATGGAGTCATAGCCATTGCTCACCAGCTTCTTGTGGTACTGAGGCAGTCCAATGGCGCTCAGCCACTCCATCAGGTCAGCCTGGAAAACAGCACAGCTGTGATGAACTCCCTTGCCGCTTCTCTACTCTGTGCTGCCTGGAAGGGCTGGGCCAGGCCCTTTGGCCTGAGGGGCTTGGCCCAGCTTGGAAAAACTCAGGACACACATTCAAGTCCTGGGCAGGGCCAAAGGCAGAAGGCCTAAATACAAAAATACCATTAAAAAAGGAAAAAAATACCTCAAGCCAGGCACTTTTTTTAGCATGCAGGAGCAGGGGGACTACCCAAAGCCAGGAAAACATCAGACTATGGATGGTTGGAGTGGTGGTGGTGGGGGGGGGGAAGCTAGAAAGAGAGGGTCTTGGAAGCTACATAGCTTTAAAACATCCACAGGTTGAAAGAACCGGTTTCCAAATGTCACCAACTCCAAACATAATATTACATCCGATGGCATCGTTCCACCAGCAGGAGGGGATTACTGACGGAACACATTTCCCTTTCTCCCCTGCAATCTCCCACAGCCCCTTAATTTTTTTCTGGATAGTGGGGGACCCTCTGGAGCAGGCATACATGTGGGGATGCAGCGGGGGAAGAGATTGGGAAAGCCAGTTTGAAGCAACCTCTGCTTGTGCCAGGGTTGGATCCAATCCACAGATTACAACAGCCACATAAAATACCCCAGAGACCTGGGTTCCAATCCCCACAAGCCATGAAACGTACTGGCTTAATCATCAGCTAATCACTTCCTCTCTGCCAAATCACAGGCTTGTTGGGGGGAAGTAAAATGGGGGAGGTGCTCTGCTTGGGGCCCTGACCCTCATGGGGGAGGGGCAGGCATGATGCAGATGTCATGATGATGATGATGATGATGATGATGATGCCACAGATGTCTCATCCCTGGGAGAGGATGCCAGAGCCATCACTGTGGCATGCACTGCGTCCTGCTGCCACTGCTGTTAGTGGAATTCAGAATGGGTGGGGGAAGCCTGGGCAGTGACTGCTAGCCAGACTTGGTGTGTGACAGTCCCCTGATGTTAATAAATACAATGTATAATCTTATATAATGCTTACAAAACGCCTGAAATGTGCCCCATAACAATCCTCTATGGCAAGCAACTCTTAGCCCCCCTTTTAGTCTCTCAGGCAGAGAAACAGAGGCTCAGTGGAGACAACGTCATGAGAAGCTGATGGCAGAGGTGGGACTTCCAATTCATTTCTCCTGCCCCTGATGTTTGACCAAAGGGCCACGCTGGCTACATTTTGCTGAAGAACCTCCTAGCTCTTCCTACGGCATCCAGCACTTCGCCAAGCCCTGGGGACGTCACGGCTGGTCCCACCCCGCCCTGTGTACTCACGGGGATGTAATTTGGAAGCCATTCGGCAATGCTGAGCTGCCCAATCTCCGTGGAAATCTTCTTCCTGTGGCCTGGCTTGGTCACCCCAATGGCGGTGAGATCCTAGAACACAAAATGCTTTTGTTAACCTGCTACCCAGCGTGTCTCTGACCCAGGATCTGGAACAGGGAGCTAGAAGACCAAATGCTATGCCTGGTCTGCTCCTGGGCACACGAAGCCCACTTCTCCCAGACTGCCAGCAGTGACGAGTGGTGCAGATGGAGGATGGCTGGGCAACCCCGAGGCTCCCTCCCCTCCCTTTGGCTCAGCCCCCTTGTTTTTTGCTGCCTTACCTCTGGAGTCATGCGGCTAATGGTGGGCACGTCATAGCCTGCGTTCAGGAAATTGGCTGTGTAGCCCTCCAGCTGAAATTCACACAGCCAGTTGTAAATGGCTTCGGCATCCTGGGAAGGGAAGGCAGAGAGTCCTTCGTGAAGAGGATGACAATACCTTCCTGTATTCCTCGCTTCACAGAGACGGCCATGGAACACGTGAGGCCACCTATCCCACGCGTGTTGCCTCCTCCCCCTTCACCGCTCCACTGGGAGAAATCCAAACGCGAGTCCTTGAAGAGGTTTCCCAGATGGGTGGACTTTCCCAGACTCGTGCGTGCCTGCGGATAATGCCTGACTTCGTACCTTCCCCTCTAGGAGCTGCTCCGGGCGTAGATACTGGTGGGAGAAGATCCTGTCGCCAGTGTTGCAGTTGGAGAGGTTCTGGTGCATCAGGCTCCCTGCAAGGGTGCAGGGCAGAGTCAGAGCAAGCCCCGGAGCTTTGGAGGGAACCGGTGCAAGGCACGGTCATCTGGGGAGCCCCTGTGGCTCCCAGAACCTTTGTTTGTCTCACTGGGGCTTGTGCGGAAGCCACAAACCGGCCATACAGAGTGAAACAAAGGAAGGCTTTGGCTGCACTTTCTGTGTTCAAGCCACGGAGAAGTTTCAGAAGTAAAAGGTGAACACAGACTTCGGTTTAACTGCTATCCTGCCCTTCCTCAAGGTTGGGTACAATGAAATAGAATGTGCAATTTACATATAGATTGTGCAGAAATTAAAAATCAACCCACTCCTGGCCTGTTCATCCCACCGCTGGATGTCAGCTCAAACCGAAACACGTTACAGCTTTTACCAAAGGTGTCCAAGCTTAGATTGCGTTGGGCCTTCAGGGAGCAGACATTCCACAGCCAAAGGGACCTGCAGTGCCATCTCTCAACATGCCCCTGCAATGTGCACTTAATCGTGTGCTGTCGCTCCCCCATCCCCACCTGATGGTCCCCACCATGACGGGTGTCCCTCGTCTGTTCCCCCGTTTAAAGCTGCTCTGCTTCCACGCAGCGGCCTTCGCGACGAGCGTCTGCCTTCTGCCAGCCAAGGGACTTACCTAGCATGGGATGGGTCTGTCCGTTGTGAGAATGTGAGCTCAGGAAGTGATGCTGCAGATCCTCCCCACCAGGCAAAAGCGGCTGTGTAAACGGGAGTGAAAACTCAGGTCAGAAATAAGACTGGACTGGAGCAGCCTGGGATTTGGCGCGCAATGGGCCTTTCCTACATGCTCAGCATGTTGCCCACAGCATCCGCAAAGGGCTGATTATATTCTACGTATAGACAATATGCAATAGAATCTTTCTCCCACATCTCACCTGGCCGTGCTCTGAGGGATACTGTACCTCTACCGATCAGCTTTTTTGTCCATTTCAGACTTCCTCCAACCTGGTGCCATTCAGGTGCTTTGGTTATAACTCACAGGAGGCTTGCCCACTTGCTGGCTAGAGCTGATGAGGGCACCAGCCCAGGGAAGGCTGATTTAGGTGGGATAATGGTGGTGTGTGTGTGTGTGTGTGTGTGTGCGCGCGCACATGTGCACATGGGCCCCCTGTACTGCTCTGAAGGGACACCTGGCCTGAGTGGAAGGAGACAATGCCGGGCAGGGTGGGGGGTGGGGCAGGGCTTCTGGGGGGGGGGGGGTAAGGGGCATGGGGGGAAGCTTCTCCATTTGGTGCAACTGAGGTGCCCTCCCCTTACCTTCACATTCTCAATGAGGAGTCCGGTGGTTTGCCCGTTGCTGCCTTCAGTGCTCTGTCCGCTGCCCGCGCTTCTGATGCTGCCGATGCTGCCCTCGCTGCCCACACTGTTCCTGTCACCTGCTGTTTGAGAGAGGAGCCGTTTCAGCCTGGGCTGCGGGGGGGCAGGGAGGGATTGCCATTGCCCAGGGAGCGTGAGGCAAGCTAGCCAAGCCAGCACTGGAAGGCACTGGAAGGCTAGCAGCAGCCCACCACAGTTCGGAGGCCCCGGGGGTCCCTGCAGCCTTCACCACAAAGCCCTGACTGGGCTCCCCTTTGCTCCGAGAGAGGCCGCCGGCCTGTGGCGAAGGAACTCTGCTCTGCCTCCTTCTCTGCAGTGCTTGTGGTCCCTCCCCCAGGCCCAGTGAATCTGGTTTCACACCGCTCTGCTCTCACAGAGGCATCGTGGCACAGGCCCGTCTCACACCGGAGCGACAGAGGGAAATAGGAAGGAGAAGTGCAGGGCGGGAGACGCGGCGAGAGCGATCTGCCACCCAGGACGGCGTGTGGCGAGGTGTGCTGTCTGAGGAGCAAGGAGTGGCTGACCAGGGTGCATGCGCATGTATCTGGGGGCAGAGATGTGCCTACTGCATGAGAGGGCATGTATTTTGGCCGAGGACACGCACCTGTGGCCAGTACGCTCTGATCTGCAAAAATGCACACCTATGTGCAAGAGAGGGTGATGCTCACGGGTGGCTCTCAAACAAATTGAATGAATGAGCGAGTGAGTGAGTGAGTGAATGAATGAGAGAAAGGGAAGATGTGGATGAGGAAGTAGACTTCTGGTGGGATTGATCAGTGGCAGGTGAGTAAAAGCAGGGCTGGGAGTATTCCCAGGTGTCCAGCCAGTGTGCTGAGAGTGGAAGGATAATGGCAGGCGGGAAAGGGAAAGAGTGATCATATATTGAGGGAGGAGCACTCTGCGGGATGGGTCCTCCAGGAATACCATGAGATCATGCGTGCAAAGGCAGCAGGGCCGCATCTTTGTGCCATCTGTGCTATATGACTGATGCAGAAGGAAAGGCAAGAAAGTGTGAGCGGAAAAATGACTTCAGGTGTCAATGCTCAGGAGGAGGAGCCGATCCACCTGCAGCCCCCTGAAACCAGGCCCCTTCCCATCAGCTACTCCTCTCCTCTCCTCTCCCCTCCCACCCCAGGCCACATGGGTGCAGGGGGAGCTTGCCCAGCCCAGCCCAGCGGTGCCCTGACCTGGGCTCTCAGCTGCTGGGGCTGTCCTGGTCAGAGCGAGATGGTTGCAGGCTGCGGGGAGGCCGAGGGGGGCCTGCAGCAAAGCAGGCGGAGAGGCGTCTGTGTGTGGCTGCGGCCCGCCAGGAGGGGTGGTGGCAGTGGCAGCCTGCTGGCCCTTGCCAAGCCTCTGGCACGGGTGCAAGGGCACCATGCGGGGAAGAGTCAGGCCTGCATGTAGAGACAAAACATGCAGGTCAGAACAGAGCGCAGGGGGTGTGCATGCGACTGCCCGGCTGCTGACGGGAGCCAGGAGCATCCTGCAGGGCAGGGTGTGTGAGTGCGTGTGTGTGAGAAGACTGCTGCTGAGACTGGGGGCAACTCGAGTGTGATGCCGCTGGACAGGTTCAAACATTCGGAGCAAGGATGGGCAACTCGTGGCTCTCCGGATCCTTTGTCCCTCAGATCTGTTGTAAGCAATCCAGGGACGTAAGTGATGGACGGCCTAGAAATACCCTAAATAAATACGTAAAATCTCCCAGCCCCTCTCTGCTTGCTGTGCTGACTAGGCCTGGTGGGAGCTAGAGGCCTAGCCAGCATAGCTAGTGGTGTGGGGGACCACACTGTGTCCACCCCGGTCAGAGGGACAGAATGTGGGGTGCTTGTCTTTGCCCAGACTTTTTCAGAAAAGAGTCCTGCATGGAATTTCCCAGCAGCCAGCAATGGACAGTAGAACCAGAGTGTAGGATTTTGTTTTCCTTTCTTCCCTGGACTTTTCGTCTGTCCTACACAAGAGGGTATGCCTTATACGGTTCCTGCAGAACTGTATACAGTTCTTTAGTACCCTCATTCCTAAATAACTATGCTTGAAGAACACTGAGAGAGTCGAAGGTAGTTTGAAAGCAAAACCATGGCTTTTGGTGTGTATATTAATTCCACTTTCACCTCCAGTATACAGGCTTTGCAAGTTCCTGAATTGTGTTTAAAACCTGCAAAACACGTTTGAGCAGAGGTGACTGTGGGACAATAACGCGTGTGTGCATGTGTGGGCACATGCCTACGACAAAAATAAAATACTACCTGAAACAAAATGTCTCTTAAACTTTTTTCAAGTCTCTTAACAACTGTCTCCAACCTCAGGTGTCATAAGGCAGGGCAAAATCAACTTAACAGTGACTGACTCACTGCAGTGAGTGCACAGCTATATGGAGAACTGGATCACAGGGCCATCCATCCACAGGCGGAGAAAAATTGAATAATTTGCATCCAGTAAGAAATTACGTGTGGACCATGCAGTTGGCTGGCTTTCAGAATGACTGTATACACACCTCAATAAATATTACCATTTAATAAACAGTGGTCTGGATTTATCCATGGATAAACTGGATTGCAAACACATAATTGCTCCTTTCTTAAAGGAAAGGCAAGAGCTGAGAGTAGACATACAAATGTCATGGCAAAGAAAAACACAGATGGGAAAATTGGAGAAATGTAAATGCAGCTGCCAGCAAAGAAAGGAAAATGCGGGGATGGTGGTGACAGAAGTGATACAGTGAGGAGCTGCAGGGCCTTTCGCTGCTTTGATCTGGCAGTTCTCCAGACACCTGGGAACCCGGGACAAAATGACTCCGCCAGGTTTATATGACAGAACAAGCCACCATGGGTACCAGGAACTTAAAACAAGGTGGCTTGTTCAGGAAAAATAAACCATCCAGCGGAAACTGCGTTGGGTTCACCTTTTGTGGCAGCCAACTAGGAGTGGTTGTGTGAACCAGGTCAGTAGCTCCTATTCTTCCATTGTTAAGAAGGAGGTTGGGGTTATGGATTCCTCAGTTCAGTTCAAAGAGGAATCCACACCTTCCACGCCTGAATTCTTTGTTCGTGTGAAAGGTGACTGAGATTCCTGAAAGAGCAGAAGGGAACCTTTGAATATTCTTTTATGAATCAACAAGCCATGGTCCTCCTTGACTGTGGCAAGTTGACTCTGGTGCAGAGTGTGCACAAACAACATTGTGGGTGGGGGAAAGGGCCCTTTTGTGTCCACAACCATGACACTGAAGGTCCGAATATACTTTGTCCTTGCTCCCGTGAAAACAGGAACCAAGGCCAGGGAGGCCAATGTCATGAGCTTCTACAGTAGCAGTAGAAGACGACAAGGCCAAGAATTCTTCTCGTCGGGAGGGAGAAGACACTGAACAAATGGGTTTCACTGGGAAGCAGAATGACAGCTGTCCCCACCGCTCTTCCCCAGCCTGTGATCAGGCTTTTGGACTCCCAGGCCAACCTGTCCGCTTGGTGATGACTTCGACAATGGATGGAGGGAAGTAGCCCACCCGGTCAGTACCCTTCTGAGCATCGTGGATATGACCCTTCCAGCGACCGTCTGCATGCTGCTCCAGGACCTACGAGAGAGCATAGTTCCCACCATCAGTGGCACAAGGCAGGACTGCAGAATCAGGCATTTGGGAGGAACCACGGGAGGCACTAAGTTTAACTGAAACACAAGAGCAGGCTTTTCTTTAAGGACAAATTGCCTAAGTGCCTGAGCTACAAGTGAAGAAGCCATGAATTTGCCAGGTGGCCTTTGTTATTCCTGGTTTTCCTCCTGGCAACATAGACCAAAAAAAAAAAAAAACCCCAGTAGCCCACAGCTAATTTCCTTCAAAATGAAGCAGCTACTGGACACTGCCGAGACACATATTTAAAACAAGAATTAGCTATACTGCACCAACAGCAATTGGCTAAATCAGACAATCCTTCATGAAGAACTGTGCATCCAATAGATACAAAAGAACAGCTTTTGCTGAATAAGCCACAGCCCATGTTCCACCAATGCAACAGGCAGGTACCAAATCACTGATCCTCTGATTGTATGCTGGTACCCACAGCAAATTCTCAGATGTGCTCATGCCCAGAAAGATTGGAGAACCCTGTTGTTAAGAACTGTGCAAATGCTACATTCAATGAGTTGGATTCAGGAGTAGTCACACTTAGAGTAGCTCCAGTAAAATCTGTGGGACATATTAATCATGAGTCCCATCAGTTTCATAAGATCTGCTCTGAGCATGACTAATTTGGGATCCAACCTCATTATGAGTATGCCAAACACTTAGTTTCAGTTGTTAACTTTCTTTTTTTTAAAGCAAGTTTACAAGAAAGAAAGCTGAGCTTCTCAACTGAATCCAATGCCTGCTCTTGGAATGCATACCAAGGCTGGGGAATTTGACCCTCTTTCAGCACAAAGGCCAAATTCCACTTTGGAGATGCTCTCAGAAGCTGTACTCCAGTGATGTGTGGGGCTGAAGGGAAAGGAGGTGGAGCCCAACATTGCAGAAATTACTAGACTGTTCTAGCATAAAGCTCTTGCTGCCAGTAACTAAGCCTTACAAGAGGCATTTCCACTACTCTGAGTGGCAGAAAAGGTGGCAGAAAAGGCAGGAAACAACCAAATGGTTGGGGAAAGAGGGTGTGGTCAATGGAGGAGGGCTTAGCCATTTAGGGAACCTCAGAAGGTTGGACTTGGCCCCTGGACCTGTTGTTCCCCACCCATTTTATGGTCTTTATGTTTTCTGCAGAGTTATAGCATGCACATAGAGCACAGCTCAGATGCTGTAGCCTTCCTTTCGAAGCCGCACGGATTCTTCTCTGTCCCATATCTATCCTTCTTTAACTCTGCTTCCCACAACCAAACACAGGGCCTCCCAGATCTGATCACAGCAGTGCTTCCACTGTCCCGTGTGGTGCAGACAGGAACCCTCCTGCTCATATAAGCCAGGAGGTTATCTGGCTTCTGCCGATCACTCACCGTGATGACATCTCCAGCACGGATGTTCAGAGCTGTTGGGTCATGGAGGTTCCAAAAATCCTTCAAAGCTCGGACCTTCAGGATTCCTGATGCCTCTGAAGGCAAAGGGCACAGCAAAGAGAGAATGGGGAGACAGAAGAGGCATGAAATGGAGAGGGAGGAAAATTAGTGAGAAGGAAGAGGGGGAAGAAAAGACAATGTTACTCCATGGCCTGCGACCCATGTTTGTCACAGCCACTCTGTTCTCCCCTGCTCTGTCCCTTCAGTTTTTGAAGGGGGGCTTGTGCAGATTAGATTTCAGTGAGGGAGGTGGGGTGGAAAAGCACAACTCTGCACCACTCCCCAAAAGGCTCGGCAGCTACTGAAAAAAGCCCTGTGCCAGTGTCCCTCCTCTCATCAGGCTCACCTCGGAGTAGTTGCTTGATGTCCTTGCTGGCATGAGAGGTGGTGAACTGGTTCACGATGTCCAGGGCTGTCTGGTTGTAGGTGTTTCGGATATTGACATCAATGCCACCCTACCCACAGAGAAGACGTTAACAGCAAGCCTCCAAAGGAGCGCCCTCCTGTTCCAAGCTAGTTTCCACAGCACGAGTGCCTGGTTCAGCTAGATGCAGCACTAGGCCCTGCCTAGAGTTGGCGACCCGCTGCTCCACGGTCCTCGCCAGCAAGAGCAATGCAGGCAGAGGCAGTGGGCCCTCCTGGAGGGACAGGGATGGCGGGGAGTGCGCAGTGCGCCACGGCTCTCCCTCTTGCTGCCTGATGTCAGCGCCTCGGGCTCTTCCACGACTGAGCTGGCCCTGGGGCAGGAGGATGCCTGAGCTCATAGGCATGGAGAGTGATGTGGCACAGTGGCTTCGGTCCTGGGAGGCCGTGTGTTCGAAGCCTTGGTTAAAGCTCACCAGAGGCCTTGGGCTTGCCACGCTCCCTCCTCCTCAGTTTCTCACAGGAATATTACTAGCTCCATCACAGAGTGTTGTTGAGGTGAATGAGGGGGAAATAGTAACATTCTGCTGATGTAGCAAGTACTGAAGTAACAAGTGAAAACCGAGGCTCCCAGTGGGGGGTCCCCAAGTGCTGAGCGGGCTTGCCGCTCACTCTGCCCAGCCAGGGACCCCTCCACAGGCTTCCACTGTGTGAACTCTGTCCCCTTTCTTGCTCTCTGTCTCCTGTTTCTGCAGGCCAGGCTGGGGACTAGGTGCCCTCTTGCACAGAGTCCAGTCCTCCAGTTGAAGTGCTGCCCAATCTAATCAAGCTTTCAAGATAACGAACGGGGAGAGTTGTGGCCCAGCGACGCGGCATACCTGAGCAGCAGGTTAGTTGGTCATATTCTTCTGCACCATGATCAGGTACACTGTGTCGCTATTTAAAATGAGCTCTAACTTAGTCTCTCTTCATTAACAATCATGCCAATATTATGCAAATCACTGCATATTTCATCCTTGTTTCTGAGCAGTGCATTTCCCCTTTCTTGGCAATTTATAAGTGGCTGCCACATTTCTGCTTCAGCTCAGAGGTCTGTGGCTTCTGTGAGGGTAGCGGCTTTTGCTCGCTACTAAGTAATCGTTCCTGGCCTGGACTACAGCTTTACTTTCAGTCTCACCTGCAGCAGCAGCCGCACCACCTCTGTCTTCCCGTACAGTGCAGCTTCATGTAAAGCAGTGCCAGTCTTCGTCTGCTTGTTGATTTCAATGCCAGCTTTTAGCAGTTGCCTGTGTGGGCAGGAATATGGAAGCAATGAGCACCAGCAATCCAATTACGATGGCCTGAATACCAATCTCTTGATGCCTACTACCTACTGACGGAGAAGCCCGGAACGAGCAGGAGAAGGAGGGCAGCCAGGGGGGAAATAACTGGGGGTATTATTCGTGTTGCAAAAAGGACTGAATAGGTAAGCACACCATGGGTATATTTTCCCTGTAATTCAATGTGCTTAAGTTATGACATAACACTAACACTATAATGGTTTCACTATTGAAAAGCAGTGATAATTTGGAGAACATAATCTCTACTAGCGCATGATCCTAAAAACACTAAGGGCACAATCATCTGCAATGCATGCAATAGTGTGCTTAGTTCCTGTTTCCTCTGGAATACATGAATGGGAGAGAGAGAGGAGGTGATTCAGGAATAGAATAGACTGTAGCTGCTTCTGTCCTTGTAGGCAGAAATTACTTTTATGAAAGCAGCATTCTCTGTACTCTCTTAATGCATGAGAATATGGAGTAGCTGCTGCTTTTCTTCATGCAAGGAGCTGAGAGGAACCACAGTAGTTCAAAACCTCCTATAGAGAGAATTTGAAACACACACAGAAATTGAGTCATTTACTACTCAGGTTAATACAAGAGCAAGCAACCCCTGCTTAAAAAGACATCTACCAGAAGAAAATGAGCTTTCCAGTTTTGCTGCTCAGTTTGCAGGCCACAAAGATGGAGACCATGTGGTGACTCTTAAGAGGGGGAAAAGTTTGGATTTGTGTGCATGAGTGTGCAAATGCAATTGGGATTTGTGTGCATTGGCAGTCCTCTGAGCTCTTTGGCTACTATTCTGTCGACCCTATCTTATAATAGGTCCTTTAGGGAGGCATGGGGAGAAATGGTTGCTCTCTATGGCAGCTGCCACTATTTCAGTCTAAATCAATATGCTGCAGAAATTAGCACCCGCCCCTGAAAACGCACGACAGAAAGCAGTTCCCCCTCTGCTTTTGCCCCCTAAATATCGACCCAAAGTTCAGCCCTTTATTAAAAGGCCTGACACGAGCACATCTAGCGTACAGAGTGAGGCCAGGACTTGAGATTACCTGATGATCTCCTTGTGTCCATTCTTGGCTGCCAAGTGTAGAGGGGTGGTATAGTTGGGGTCACTTGGGTCTTTCGATTGTCCCTCAAGCAGAGCCACACACATGTGGCTGTTCAGAAGCAGCTGGGCCACCTGAGGCAGGCGACAAAGGATTGGGGTAATAGCCAGAAAAGGAGGAGGCAGAGGGGTGTTGAAGGCAGCACGCCTTGCAGAGGGTGTGCCACGCGACTGGCCTTCTGCACCGTTCCTATTCAACAGAATCAGTAGATGAGAGGAAGGAGTATAGCTCAGTGGCAACGCCCTTGCCTTACAGACAGAAGGCCATAGGTCCAGTCCCTGGTACCTCTGGTTAGAAAAGGCTAACATGGCAGGTAATGGGATGGATCCTTCTCTGCTTGAGACCCTGGGCAGCCACTCCCACTCAGAGTAAATGGACCAATATAGGGAGTCCCCAGATTACAAAGATCCAGGTTATAAACAACCCATACTTACGAATTTGTGGACTGCCATAAACCTTAGGGAACAACACAATACATTTGGGACCACGTCATCAGTAGTCATGTAGTTCCCTACAGATATTCACAGCTTTTCTCTAGCGATGGAGATTTGCTACGGATAGCCACAACTATCTCTAGGGAACTATGTGACATTTTAGTGACGCATCATTAGTGGTCGCCTAGTTCCCTAGAGATACAGTATTCATTCTAGGTATCAGCTCAAGCGTACCCAAGGCAGTATGCTCTGGAGCACATGAAGAATGCATAGTTTCCCTTTGGTTTTTCGGTAGCGTTTCTCCTTGTAACCAGCCCCTCAGCTGCCTCAAGGTCATTTATGGTGAGAAAAAGAAAATGGCTGGGCAAGCAACACTTGAGGCCGACTTCAGCAGAGTGACCCCACCTCTCCAGCAGCACAACCAAACCCTGACTCCCAGCATCAGGCCCATCTCCATCACCATCAGTCCATGTTAGGCTTAATGTGACCTCAAGAATGTTCTCAACTTTTGTAAGAACTGTTCATTTTATTTATTTTTTGTACAATACCATATATCTACACACATTCATACAGATTTTCTCGGTCTTTGGTACCTGTAGTTACTTTATTATTACTGTATTACTACTATGCTGCATTGTGTTTCAGATGTTTTAGTGAATATGGAAGTGTTTTGTAAGTGTTTTATATGCATAGAAAGGTAAAATATATGCATATACTAAGACCAACATTTGGCTTACTCATGTGAACTGACTTGCATACAACTCTGAATTAAGGATGTTCCCAGGAAAGGAACTCGTCCATTACCTGGAGACTACCTGAACTCTGATCCAGCACAAGGCACCTTCCTCTGCTCCCAAGGACCAAATGGCTGATACTCTCTCGGAAGTCAATCTGCTCACATCCATTCCATATTTGCTCCTCCAGGAATGATGCAGATTAGCCAATTTTTTGTTGAGGGGGGGAGTGTTAGAAGGGGGTGGGGGGGTCCCCTGTTATACATCCTCGGTGAGAGGAGGCAGCTGCACTATAAGCCACGCTGGAGGTCCAAGTCTGGTTGCACAACAGCCCTCATGAACGATGATGCTACAATGTCTGGGGAAGTGCAGGAAATAGTGCAGCTAGGCCTAGCTGCAGGGATTTTAATTATAGGGTCGGGATCCCACCCAAGTAGGGCAGATGTAGCAATAGGCCTTGATGGGAGAATAGGGCCCTCTGACCATCTGCGCAGCACTTGGGGGGATGCTGGAGAGGGTGTGGGAAAGGCACATGGGCCGGGATCCCACCCAAGCTCTCTGCCCCTTCCCGATCTCCAAGGAGGACCAGTGTCTCTCAGAAGCCACTCATTCCATTCCAGCATTCACAGCTGTCTCTGCCTTGCCTCAGAACTCTTAGGGAGAAGAAATCCTGGGCCCTCTGGAATCGGGTCATCCTCGTTATCACCACCCTCTCATTTTTCTTCCTTTCTCCAGTCTGCACCTGCCCATTTCCTTCAGCCTCCCCATCACAGGCTTTCTGGCTTCCCAGGGCAGTTAAGCAGGACAGGTCTCTGGGGTAGAAAACAGTTTCTTCTTCAAGGGCCTTTTCGCCCCACTGAGAGACTTTAGGTTTGAACTGACCTCACCTACAGGAATAACGACACATACATCGTGCGTGCTCTGCACCCTGGAGGCCTTGGGAGTGTTATTGTACATCACCGTGATTCTGGCCTGCTTGTGCTATCTATAGCCTTTTTGTGATAAAGTAGTCCATTCACGCCACCCCCTTGCCTCGGGATGAGATGAGAATGTCGCCATTCCCCACAGCCCCCTGTGCTCAAACCAGCCACTGCACATATATTGGCAGTTCTCCCCAAGGGGGTCAGGGGGATGCTTCCCACCCCAGGAATTCCTTCTGAGCAGCCTCTGCACCTGTCCTGAATATCGGAGACTGGAATTCACTGCTAGCTCCCAGCTTTGCCAGGTTGGAATCCCAGGCCTTCTTTCCCAGCTGGCTTTGGTTCTGCCTTTGCAGCCTGTGGGGATTATTGGAGCTCAGGCACTGTCTGGTCTCTGATGGGAGTGGTGGAGAAAGTCCTGGTTGCTGCCTGGATTGCCATGGCAATGGAGACCTCTGCGGGCTGCATTAATGTCCCAGCATCATGACAAGGCCCTCCAGGCCTCTGGCCCATTTGCATGCCCTTGTTGTGTGGTTGCCCCAGGAAACCCCTTTCTGGAATGTGGGAGGGACATCTAAAGACTTTGCAGTGCTCTTCTACCCCGACCCCTGAAATGTCTCCATGTCAGCAGCCCTCAGATCCGCGCGAGGTCAGTTCAGGAACGTCGCACAGGCCAGGGCCAAACATCATTCGTTGTTCTTGACAAATGTGCTGGGCCTCCCACTGCAACTGTAACCATGTCCTTGTAGATGACTACAGACGGGGCCTGTCATTGCCCCCTGTGCTCTGAATGGCTTGGCTGCAGATGCAGCAATGCGGCCAGACGTCTCCCTTGAAGGGCCTGACAGTCCAAGTCAGTTTACAGATGCAGAACTATTATCCACAAGAATGACAAGTAGCCCATCAGCAGCATCAGGACTCCAGACTCACTGGGGCTCTGTCAGCCACATTCGAGTCTATCTGCTTTTATTTAAATTGCATCTATTATCTCTAATTTTGCATTTGTGCATATAAATTAGCAGGCACAGATGTCATGTGCTTTGGTGCCCCCTTTTTTCCTTCTGGGGATGAGAAAGTGAATTCCTCAGTTTGCAGGCAGTGGCTTACCTTCAGCCTCCCAAACTCACAGGCCAGGTCCAGGGGAGTCTTCTTTGCTTTGTTGACAAGGCATGGGTTGGACTGGTGCTGGAGCAGCATCTCAGACTGCAGGTGGAAGGGCAGGAACATGGAGAGAAGAAAGTGAAATGGGGAAAATCGGCCCCAGGCAACACAACTTGCTTTCCTGTGATCCATGCAGCATGAATTCAAATTCTTCCTGCAAACACCCACAGCAAAATGTTTGTTGATCCTACTGGTCCTATGATAGGCCTCTGCTTCTCCTGCTGAGCTCATCCAAATCAGTCCCTGAATCTGGTGTCTGATGCAGGGCCTGGTATTCAAAGAACCTGAACTTCATCATTCCCCCCCTCCACTTTTGTGGGAGGGGGTGCAAGGTTCTAGCTAGTGTACGGAGAGGCTTGAAAATATGGGAACAATGTCTGATGGAAGCTCACAGGAATCTGGCAGAACTTTACACTTGCTTCTGGAAAGTGTTTAAGATTGTATGTGCCTCTTTTTCCATGTCTGCCATTTCCTGTTCCCTGGCCCTAATCATTAAGCAATAAATTTGCACAGTTGTAGTCACTAGAATCTAAATATTCTTAAAAGGGAGCTTTTTTTATTTTACAGAGCAAAGTGTACACAGCTTTGGCTATGGGTTTTGCTCAGGATAAAAATACCGCACAGCTTCTTACTTCTCAGACCGAGGTAACTTTTCCATTTTTCCCTCTTTACCTCCTGCTGAAATCTGAGGCAGGGGGTTATCCTGGATACTGAAAGTGAATTCTTTCCATTTCCCACAGTAACTTGAGAGCCCTATCCATGCTTTGTGCTGGGGAGTCTGGTTAATGCAGCAACGTCATAACGTAGTTTTCCAGTGGGTGTGCAGGTGCTGGGACAGACAGGTGAGAAGACGAGGGTGGTTGTGCAGTGGGAAGGACAGAGGGTTTTGTGATCTGGCTTGGAGAAGCCAAGGAAGTCTCCCCCCTCCCCCCCAGTGGTTCTCCACTCACCACTTCATAGTGGCCATACTGTGCAGAAAGGTGCAGCGGGATCTGCCCATCCAGCGATGCCATGTTGACGGAAGCAGCTGCCCGCAGCAGCAAGCGCACGGGCTCCACCTTGCCTTGCCAGGCAGCATAATGCAGCGGGCGCATTCCTGTAAGGAGACAGCAGCATCAGCGGGCTGGCTGCACGATGTGGGAGCTGCAGGGCAGGGCTGGCAGAAGACAGCGTTTCAGCCTGATGCTCCCAGAAGCCCCTCTCAGTACGCCGATGTCCAGAGATGTGGGAGTTAAACTCCAAACATCTGCCTGCCCCTCTGGCCATCCATGGGTACAGTGGGCGGGATTGGTGAGGGGCTTTATTCTGGAGTGGAAAAGGGGAGGGTAGCACAACTTCCTGCCAATGACACACGAATCTTAATCAACTGGATTTCTCTGTGAGAACGACACTCGCCGTCACATCATTGTTCAAGACAATTTCAATTCATGGGGCTGCTTAAGGGCATTGCCTCACATTGGCTGCTGGGGGAACAAAAGTTGGGTCTTCTTCCAGCTTGAAGTTTGGCGAGAAGGCCAAGGAGGAGGCAAGCAGCCTGCTTACCATTGATGTCCTTGATATCCACCGTGGCCTGTGCCTCCAGCAGCAGCGAGATGAGCTCCAGGCTCCCAACCAGAGCTGCATGGTGTAGTGCTGAAAATCTGTGAACAGGGAAGGGGAAAGCATCCTTGGATGGAGCCAGGCACCTGGGACCCCTTAACTTACATCCCAATTCCACCCGATCTGTCCTTCCTCTTGGGAGTCATGCAGGCCATTTCTCAGCTCAAGTGCAAGGCAACTGCGAGGTGTGTGGCAGTGGCATCAAAGCTCTCAGCACATTTCCTGTAATCATCTCCAGCCTTCAGCTACATGCTGAAGCCTTACCGTCCCCGCACTTCCATTTGGTAACACTTGTTTGACCTGTGACTCCAAATCCTTGGCAGTTTCACGAATCAAACAGCAAAGTTTTTGAGAGCATGGTGCAATGATCAGAGCTCTGGCCCAGAACCTGATGGGCCAAGCATGCTTCCAGATAAGGCTTTCACCAGGCCATTGGCCTGCTTCACTGATGCCAGGCCTAGAAGGCATCTTCTCCCACCTGACACCTGCTTATGTTTTCCTGCTGCTTCACTCTCTTTTCTTTTTATACAGAAATTCCACTAAGAAGAAAAAGATGCAACAGTTGCTGTGTCCATTCCAGGAGGAACTTTCTGTCTGGAAAGACTCCCTAGTTCAAAACGCCAGTCAATCATGAACTTACGTGGGAGAGCCTGGGCCAGACAATTCTTCAGACTAATCTACCATATGGGTTTGTTGTGCAGAGAAAATGGAGGGAAAACGGCCAAGCAGTCCCCTCTGAACTCCTTGGAGGAAGGTCAGGCTACAGAAGCAATTAAAAATGCCTTCCAAAACATTCCTAGTCACCAGTGATGGATGTACAGTAATACCTTGGTTCACAAACACTTCTGTTTGTGAACAATTCGGTTCGTGAGCAGAAAGTTCGGCACAATTTTGCTTCCATTTGTGAACTCTGCATCGGGTGACGAACACACAGGAACATGAACGCGGCCATCTTCCCCACTCTGACACGTGGTTGCGGCTTCCTCTAGTCGAGATCACGGTCACAGACTCTCCCTCCAAGCAATAGCCTCCTCCCCACCCACCTCCCTTGTCCTCCATGCCAGAAGTCGCCTCACGCAAGCTTAGTGTTCTCTCTCTTCATACTGTACTGTACTTTGATTCATATTTTTGTGGTTAAAAAAAATTATTACATATGGTTCAGAACGGAGTAACCTTATTTACATTGACCCTTATGGGGAAATTTGACTCGGTTCGTGACCAATTCGGTTTGCGACCTGAATCGTGGAACGAATTAAGCTCGTGAGCCGAGGTACCACTGCATCATAACACTGTCCTCCTTCCATCACATGCTCAATATCTTTAGTTGTGTTACATCAGCAAACCCACTGACATTATATCTGATGGATTTTCCTGCCCAAACAAGCTTCCTAAAGACCCAGTCACCACCGAACAGTCATGAAAGCTACCAAGCCAAAAAGAGAGCTCTAATTAAGCCTGAAGAGAAAAATGGCAACATCTAATCTGCGGATAACATTCAAGATCATTCAGTTGCAATCCCATTTCACCAAGTATCTTCCATTCTGAAGACAGAAAGCTGGATTTTCTAGTTTGCTATCCCAAACAGAGGTATTTTCAAAGAAACCCTGCCTTCCTCTACCAGCCCACCTTCCCACTTGCTTCTGAAGCTCTGGTAGACGCATCCATTGCCACGCCTGGCAGAAGGAATAAGAGCTACCAGAGAAGTTACTGGACCGAGCTCTGTTACACAAAAGCCAGATTTTGATATACACACAGAGAGTTCTGTTAGATGAGGCATTCTTTGTGTAATTTTAACATCAGCTGCAGCAACCCCAGTAACAGGCTGGCTTGTTTATTTTTGTTTTTGTATCTTTCCAAGTTTCTTAGACCAAAATGAAAGACGCTATAGTGCAAATGATAAATTCCCCTTTCCTGCATTTCCTTATACAAAACCTGATTTCTTCTTTCTTTGAGACTATGCTGTGTATACTTAGGTAGATGGGAAGATTCTGCCAGCATGGTTCTTGGGGCACAGAACAATTTCCTATTGGGTCCAATACTGGCTTTTGTGCTCCGATATTCCATTTCACTAGACTGGTATATTCCTTGTATGGGAAGACATGGAGTGGCATAGAGCAGCGTACTTTAGAATGGGAGCGGGGAGGTAGATTTCCAGATTATTTGGACTTCAGCTCTCAGAAAGCCCTGGCAGCATGACCAATGGTCAAGAAAGCTGGATGTTGAAGTCCAAAACATCTGGAGATCTACTCCAGAAGTTAGAATACTAGTTTCCAGCTTAACAGAGCAATTGGGCCTCTTTTTAACTGGCATGAAAGGAAAAGTTATCTAAGTGCGGCTTTTCTAATCACTGAACTATTCTAAAATGAGAAGATGCTTGTGCCAAATTTCTCCCTGCCATGCAGCCCTTAAAGATACGGAAACCCTTTAAGCAGCTGCACCTCAAAATGTGCTAAAGGTGTCTGAGTGGCATTTTCATTCCTCTTAAATGAAAGAGGGGTTTGCATGAGAAGTCCTATAAGCAATGTTACAAGTCAGTCCTGAAGAGTGACTGCTGGTGGAGGATGGGGAGTGCCTTGTTTTTTGGGCAGGGCTGACCATGAAGCAGACAGAAAAATGAACGTTGTGGTCTTGGGAACACAGTCCCGGGCATGGAGTACATCTCCTCCCCTATGTGGCCCTGGCTCTGGCGGCCTCTCTCCCCGCATGGCTGTCCCAGTGTCTGAGCGTGTGAGGCCACGGAGGATGAATAGGCCCTGTGTTTCTGGCCTGTGAAAGAAGCTTGTTTATCCAGGCTCTTCCCTAGCCCCCCGCAACCCACCCAGCTCCCGCCTTCCCTTCCTCGGTGCCCATTTCATTCTTTCAGAAGGGACGAGGCAGGCGCAGAGCCGACGGGGACCAAACCTCCAAGGCAGTGGAGAACTGGGAGCCTTTATCCCCGATGAAGCTTGAAGAGGGTGAGGGACAACTTAAGTCGTCACCCAGCCCGATGGCTGGCTCTGGGGGAATGTCCACAGCAGAACGGGGGCAGGCGGTCCATCCACCTCACAGAGAAGCTTTTCTGAACGAGGGGTGGTTAGCAGCCATTTCAGGGTGAAATTCAAGGAGGGAAACCCCTCGCACATAAGGACAGTAGCCATGGGGAGGGCTTTCCCTTAGCCCCAGGCGGCCGGCTAGCAGTCAGCTCCTGCTGCGCCTCTCCTGCAAGCTCATGTCCCAATTATCCTCACAGCAACCTCTGCCACTAAAAAGGGACCTGGCAGGCAGGAGACTGGCCGGAGGCTCCAAAAGGGCAACGTGCCCACACAAGAGGCAGGCCCAGAGAGCTCTGGTGGACAGCGCTGGAAGGCAGCAGCACTGCCCTTGCCTAGCAGGGATAACAGACAACACGGGAGGGTCCTGAAGCACTTAGAGGCCTCGGTTTAATTCTCCATGCCATTAGAGCGAACAATACAGGGTGACTTGGGGCCAGTCTCTCACTCTCAGCCTCACCTACCTCACAGGGTTGTTGTACTACGGATAAAATGGAGCTATGTAATTTGCCATGGCTTCCTCACAAGAGGAAAAAGTTGCGATGCAAACATAATAGAATACTAGCAATAATAATACCCCATGGGGTACAACCAAAGCTTTGTTGGTTGCCTGGGTGCCCTCTTTTATAGCAGATAGTTCTCTCTTTGAAAGGCCACTGGGAGATCCTCCTCTGCTTGAAGGGCTGCCCAGTCTCATTCTGGTTCAGAGATTAAAAAAGGAACCAGGAGAACCAACACCTGCTCCCATTTAGCACCTGCACAACAGGCTAAGCAGGGAGGCACATGGGTCACCCAGTTACTGGCTCTGTGGCGATATCTGCTGTGCCTCTATTAAAATTATTACATTTTTTTCCCAAAACATGAACCTGCACATCTAAATCAGCACAGGGAGATGTTACGTAACCCTTTGCCCTCCTTTTTGGTGCTGCATTCCTTCTTTTCTGGCAATTCAGGCGGCCACCTGATCTCCATGGTCCAGCCTGCTACTGCGTTAGGGTCGCCCTCCTTTCTGGCAGGGCTCCCTTGTGTGTAATTGCTGCAAAGCAGAGAGAAGTGCAGCAGGAGCAGCTCTCCCGGACAGCGAGGGGGAAAGCCTCCCTCACTGTCCCGCAGGCCTTCTGGAGAGTGAAGCCCTGACCAAGAGTGAGGAAGCAAGACCAGCCTTCCCTAATCTGGAGCCTTCTGGATGGGTTGGAATACAGTTCCATTATCCCCAGCCAACACACCCATTGGCTGCAAGCTGGAATTCATAGGCAATGCCGCTCTTTTTGAAGAGGCAATCACAGCAAAAAGAGGGCATGCTGATTAGCGGTACGATGTTAACTTCGGAGATCGGGGTTTGACCGCTCCAGGACCCAATGGAGCCCTCTGGAGATGTTCCACTGCAGCTGCTAAGCCCTGCACGGATGTGTCTGAGCAACAGGACTGCACACCTGATGGAGCATTAACACTAAGGACAGGGCCAGTCCTACCATTAGGCAGAGTTAGCCATCTCCCTCAGGCTGCCGGGGAACTGCAGCCAGAGCCACATGGCTGCTCCTCTAGAGCTCCCTGATCACCCCCCCGCCCCCCCCCCCCGCACTGCTGGAGGAGGACCGATCAATGTGTGCCACGCATGGCCTGCCCTGTGCCCCTCTAAACTCACCTGCTGTCCTCGGGCATGGAAGAGGACCCTGTCCCATATGGCTGCCTCGAAGGAAGATTTGACCGTCAGGCCAGCTGACATCTGTTCTTGAGCACCATCTTGCTCTAGCATGTGTGTACGCCCACGTAACTAGTGTTGCAGCCCGAGGCCTGTCGCAGTCACCTTAACACCCACCCATGACAGGTCATCGTGGCTGCTTTTGGGCTGGCTCACCTTTTGCTCCCTCTGTCAACATTTGAGCCCTGAGTCTGGTAAACAAAGGAAGAGCTGCCCTGCATTGTCATTATCTCTGTATCTTTATTTCCTAATTCCAACCTGTTTGTTCTGCACTTGGCCTGTTCCAGCTCTCCATAGTTTAGTATGGATGGAAACTTTGGGAAATAAGAGCCAGTTAAACTCCTAGGCCATGTTTCTTGAAGAGTCTCTTTGTACAGATACTTATCTCATACAGCATCTTGGCTCAGAAGTTAGTGCATTCTTTGCCCTTCCAACTAGGATCCTGTCACAAGACTGAAGTCTGACAAAGCCACATTTACCTCAACATCCATCTGAAAACCTGTGGGTGTTGGTTGCAATTTCATTAGCCTGGGGAAGCAGATGAGTGTGGGAAAGTGACAACTGAGGAGCAAACATTTTGCGGTACACACATATAGGACAGGGGGAAGTAACATTGGTACTATAGGAAGAGAAATACAGGAACATGTTCCATTAGTTAAGCAGCATGAGCTAAATTGTAATGCATGCTACGACCTTAATCCACTGTGATTTGCTTGTCACTATTCCGGGAAACTATTGGTATTTTGTAGTATTTTTCTCAGTAGAGAATGAATTCTTGCCCTCCAAGTAGGTGCCTATTACTGTAGTCCTCAAATCACGCTGATGATGCAAACGCTATCCCAGCTTCCCCACATTGGTGCGTTTTAGATGTTTTATATTTCAACCCCGATCAGCCCCAGTCAGAATGGACAATGGTCAGCAGCGCTGGAGTTCTGGTTCAAAACATCTGGAGGCCACTAAATTGGGAAATACTGTTGTATCCGGTTATTTCAACAAGGCATCTCCCCTGCGGTTGTTTAAGAACTGGACTTCCTTCCCTATTCATGGCTTTTGGATTCTCAGTTGCAAGGGAAACGATACCCAAGGTTATACAAAAAGTCAATGGGACCGAAACCCCAGAGCGCTTCCTCTTATCCTTGAATCTGTAAGGGGGTGGGAGGATATGGAGGAACTATAAAACTGCTTATCCTTTGTTAAGCGAAATGTTCTCTTTCCAGCTCATCAACACTTTGGCTACTGTATAAACAGATGTTACCTACCCATCTCCATCCTGGTAGTTCACATTCAGCCGTTTAGTTGATCCCAAGAGTTCTGTAAGAAAATAATAAGCAAGAAGGGGGGAAATATGTCAGTTCAGGATACAGGTGAATAGCCAGATCAGTAAGGTTGAATATAGAACTCGCATTCACATTCTGCAGTATCTGCCACAGGAATTTGTTGTTCTCTTTTTTGGGGAGAAGCACTCTAGCTATAAATAATGGGTGATCAGTAAGTTATCTCAGTGCACCATGCGAATGCGACCAGACAAGCCACTCAGTGGACTCCTTGTTGCTCAGTATACTGTCTCCAGTGGCAATTTGGAATGGATATATTAAAAGATATTTCAAAGGACAGGGCTATTATATTATTTATATTATATTATTATCCCATCTTTTTTTTTCTTTTGCAAGGAACATGGGGGGGGGGGCTTACATGCTTCTCCACCAGTCCATTTTAATGCTGCAACAACAACCCTGCTGGGCTGACAGTGAGTGACTCACCCAAAGTTAACCCGTGAGCTTCGTGGCCAAGACCTCCCGAGGCTCAGTCCAGAACCCTAACCGGCACACCCCACCGACTCTCTATGGCTGACTTCCATCATGCTGACAGGATCGGCCTTAAGGGGACCCCCTCAGCGCAAATGCTCCTTTTGCCTCTCTGCTTGCCAACATCCCTGAAGGACATTCGAAAAGAAACCGGGCAGCCATCTGCGTGGGATGGTGTGACTTGGTGTCCTCAACAGCAAGGTTTGGACCCGATGGCCTTCCTGGCCCTTCCAACTCTATTGTTCTATGATTCTATGATGCCTGAGCTTTCTTGCTTTCTCGGGTGGTGACAGGAACAGATCATCCTACACACTGGGTTCATTCTCCCAAGAAAGGCATTCTGGCAGCTCTGGGATCTCATGCAGGGATCACAAGGTGCCCTCCTTCACCCCCACCTGCTGCCCCATCTACCAAGACCTCGGGGCTAACCTTGCAGGGCACAGGACAGTGCCTGACCCATCCCTTCAGTTTCTCCTCCTCTCGAATTCCTTCAGCGTTGCCTGCTCTGCACCGTTCTCCGACACCAGCCTGGTACCAGCCTCATTCTTTGACTCCTCTGCCCCCAACACAGCTGCTGCCAAAACATGCCTATTGCCAGGGTCACTTATCATGTCCACAGAAGAGGATGGGGAAAGTCTCAGTCGTCATTCCTGGGCTAATACCTTCATTCTGCTCCTGTCTGGATGGCCTTTTATAGAGCTGGTGCCTAGAAAAATGCAGTGCTGGGCATTTTGCTTCCCCCTCTCTGTCACTTACCCGCTGCCCACAGATGAGATGGCTGGCATTTTTGTCCCACAGATAGGGGACAGAGGGTCCAGAGGCTGTGAATGCAGCAATTATTTATGTCTGGCGTTCCCTTCCTCCTGTCCAACCTCCAATTTCTCCATTTTCCAGATACTGTGGGGTCTGGGGAAGTCTTTTTCATCTACATGGAGGACCCATCTACATTTCCAAACCAAGTATGCAAACTTGACCAGTTTAGATTTTCTCTTCCTTACCCAGAAGCCAATTTAATTATTTTCTTCTACAGAACAATGGGGACTTTTATTCTGTTGCAAAACAGAACAGAAAGAATGTACATGCAGGAGAGGGAAACACATTACCACTATTTTTAACCACATATTTGTATGTATTTACATAAAAGGCGATGGTAAGGTATCACTTTTTTCCTTTTTTGCTGAATACTGGCCTTCTGTTTTCATGATGTGCATATAGACAGACAGATAAATACAATATCGGTCTATCTTTTAGCATCTGTAAAGGTCCTGGGCAAGGTGTCATCACTGCAACTGTTTGTGTTGCTCCAGAAGCCACTAAATTGACATTGGCTAGCCATTATTGCCATAATACATACTGTATGATACTGTGTAGTCTATAATAAGCTAGTATGTTAGCAATGGAAACCATCTGATGTTAGACAGGTGGGGTAAAGTGTCCCTGTACAGGCTGGGGCTGTAACTGTATCATGCAGGTGTCAAATAGCTTATTGAATTATCAAGCAAGTTGAGTTCAGTCTCAGTTCGATTTTAGTTGAAAAGTGTACAAATGTCCATTGAGAATGACAATCCATTCAGTTTTGTACCATGGAGACGCAATAACAAACACTCCCAGATCCACAGCACCTGCATTTCAGACCGCAGGCAAAAGATGGATTGCAAATAACATATTCATTAGTCAATTCTGGCCACACATTTAGATTTCCACTCCAACTGTGAATGTAGCCTTCGGTTTGTATTCCTTTCCCCACTTTCCCAAATAAGCAGATATCTATTAATGATGCACGATCTAGTCAATCCTAATTACAGAAAGTAGAAGTTCTTACATGTTGTTAAGGCTGCAATCCTTAACACAATAATTAGGAAATAAATTCAGTGGGGGAGATGTTGAGTAGCACTTGCAATTATGCAACACTTCTATGGTATTAAAGGCCATGAAATGTCCTCAGAACTGAACACGCAAATGTCCCAAACAGTTTCTATGGCAATTACATCCTGCACTTCTTGAATAGCCAAACTGACTGGGAAACTGTAAAAGCAATAGAATTACTCACAATCCCTGTAAGGTCGACTGAGTTAAACGGGGAGATCTAGACAAATGTGTTCAGGAGAGCAGACTGAGATGATTTTTTAAAAAAACTCTAATGTTCCTAATTCCCACAAATCTGTTGTAATTATGGGAATTAAAACAATGGTGTCCATTAATCTGAATAAAAGCAGATTGGCTAAACTGAGATGTTTAGGCTCTTCCTTACAGGCTCCTCTTGAATATCCCTCCAGAGGGAGGGAGGGATCGCAGGACTAGCCCCTTTTGGTTCACAGGACACTATTCCTGCCCAGACTTTCCTGTTCCCTCTGAGCTTACCTACAATTCCCACAGTAGCAGAGGGAAAGAATTTCCCCCAACAGCCACATATTGTTCCTCACTGTGATTCTGAGTATGTTCAGGTGTTTTGATAGAGCTGAATGGATAAGTAAGGCAAGAGACCTACTTTTGGGGGCGATCGATGCTCCTAGAGCTGGTTTGTTCATATGGACCCACTCGGCTGCCCATGGTTTTTGGATTTTCCTTGGAAGCGTGGCTATGGGATTTGTCATAGGAGTGCCTGAACTTCGAAAATGAGCACTACAACACTGGGGGTAATAGGTGGGCAGGCGAAGAAGACCAAAGCTCTGCTCCAGGGATATAAACAAACTACGCTGCTGCATCTACACGTCAGTAAAGGATGACTAAGTCAAGTTTTGAGACTAAGTATGTTTTGAGGAGGGATTCAGAGAGGCCTTGTGGTTTAGATGTCCTGGGTGAACATAAGAACAGCCTTGCTGCATCAGGTCTGTGTGTTCCTTCAGCCTGTGCTAGCTGCATTTCTGGCAATTCTGATAGTCCTCCAGAAGACCCATTTATCCCCTATGAGTTACCCAGTCTCTTAAAAAAAAAGATTGTGAATGACCTTTGCAACATCTTTTGAATGCTTCCTTTTGCCTTTGTCTTCAAAAGAGGATGAAGTTCTAGAGCCGGAGGGTCAGTAATAGTGAGAAGACACAAATGGACTCAATGAAAGTGACAATGCTGAAAGGATAAAGTCTCAGAGATGGGAGGGTGAGGCAATGGAGAGAAAAAGATAGGGAACGGAGAAAAAGGCAGCACGTTTTGGACCACTAGATGTGGGCCATCAACACTGTACCCTGCTTTGTGAGGTTCCCAAGAAGATCTGGCTGGCTCCTTTCTGGTCTTTGGTCTGATTTAACCAACAAGGCAATATGTATATTTGCAGTGCCCAGAACGAGCAAGATAGACAAGAGCACATCTGCACAAGTGTTCATTTAGGAGACTGGATACACGCACTCGAACCATGCAATGTCCTGAAGGCCATTTGTGTAGCGGGTTTCAGCTGATGCTGTTCTGCTGTTAATCCAATATGAGGGATGAGGTTGACTATGGGACAAATGTAGGCTGGTCTGGGCACTTCTGGCTTCACAAATGCAGGGACAGGCAATGCCAGGAGAAAAGGATGGGTGAACATTGCGTTCCAGGTAGGATAAGTATCTACAATTTGAAAAGGTTTTCATATTCAAGGTAAAAAATTATTTTTAAGAAACTTAATGTAGGGAAAAAAGAAAACTGAAAGATTCACCCCTCCAAATTAAGGGCTTTCCATGTTTCTCCTGAAAGAATGGTTTGACTCTTCACCTGTCCAACTACTTGAGTGGTGAATTAAGGTTGCTGCTTCTTTTCTGACAGATTCACCAACTTTAATAGATACGTGCAGGCAGATATAATATGATCTTTTCTGTGTTTGGGAAAAGCTGTGCCTATCGTATTTGGCTGGTACAGATGGGTGAGAATGTTGTTTCCATCTGTTTTGAATAAGAATCTATTTGGCTGGTACAGATGTATAATTTTTCATATTTGGGAGAGAGAGACCTCAAGATTTTTAAAAATCTGAACACAGGAGGAAGAGACAGATTCACCAATCCCTTGTTAGCACTGCACTAAAACGCTAAACTGAAAGCAGCAGTTTGCTAAGCCTCACAAATGAATGTTTTGCACAGAGGGGTGTGTGTGTGATAGAAAGTCCGCAGTTTGTACCATCCTCAGCAAATGCCTTGCATCCCTCCTCCTCCTCCCTCAGCACTGATAAAGGTTGCTGGCTTGATTTTCCCAGGCTCGCTCTTCTGAACATGGTGTGACCTGAATTCAGATGTTTTCCAGTTCTTTGGAGCACAGCTTCTGTCTTGCTCTGCTCTAGTTGCTTGGAAGATGCTGGCTGGGATAAAAGATTATATTGCAAGAGTGGGAAAAGCTTCACCACTGCCACTGGCAAGGCATGGGAGGCTGAGGGAGAGGTGGGCTCACTGACATATGTAAATGTGAACTGAAAAGAAATTGTGTTTTTCCTTGGGCGAATCACCATGTTTTGTAAATAGATATATTAATGCAAGCCCATTTTCAAGGCAGTGATTGCACAGGGGTGCATGACAAACTCAACTGACATTGTCAGCCTGCTGG